GCTCACTGAATTAATGAGGTAAACAAACAATGCCAAAATAGAAGGAAAAATCCCAAATTTTATGTATTTGCGTGAATCCGTGCACCTAAATTGCATACGTCACGCTACTCACCCAAAACTTTAGTATAAAATAACCGTGTCAACTTATCATGTTTGAAAAAATGTTTTTTACCCTTATTCTGTTGTGAGTTGGTCTAAGAAAAAAAAATAGTCGGTCTCAAAATAAGTGCAGTCACTGCAGTCGGTCACAAAATTATACATCGGCGACTGACGAAATGAATTAATGAGGTAAACAAACAATGCCAGAATAGAATGGAAAAATCGCATATACGTGCATTTAATTTCTTACGTCACATAGTCGGTCTCAAATTAAGTGGACACTGCAGTCGGTCTCAGACTCAATAAATTAATGAGGTAAAAAATGCCAAAAAAGAAGGGAAAAATTTTGTGTGAATCCGTGCACCTAAATTGCAACGGTATAGTATAAAATAACCTAGTCAACTTGTCATGTTTGAAAAAAAAATTCCCTGTTATGAGTATGTTGGTCTAAGAAATTGAGAGAGCTTGTTACGAAGATTTTGATAGCTTAAATTATATTATTGATTGTCATACGAATAACATTAGTCGAACAGTTGGTAAGAAGTTATCGGAAGCAAAGTTTGTTTCAGAAATACGTAAAAAAATCTTTAAATTATGAAATGTTAAGGCGATTTATTGAACTTAAGAATTTTTACTTGTTGCATATTTAATCCCAGTAGAAATTAAAACGTATTTTACTCATGTTGTAAGTATTTTCTGGCCATCGGAATTCTGCAAAACCTTTCCCCAGACCCCAAAGTCCAGTAAATGGCATTGCAGAGACCATGTAAGCGTCCCCGTGAGACAAAGTCCTCTCAGTTACAGTGAATCGCCCTGTTAGTAGTACCACTAGTGGGTTGGGCGACAGACTGTAGAATTGTTATTTCTAATCTCACAAAACAGGCGAAATTGATTGACGGGCCTCAAGATTCTGTCCCATTTCTTATCCTCTCGTTAAGGAGAATTTGATCCCATTTGTCATGACATTGACTAAAATTTTGCAGGCCCAGTCCCCCAAAATTAAAAGGTCAGTTACAATATTACATATCTGAAATTTTTTCGCGTCTGCGCCGGTAGATTCCATTATGGCACCATTCTTCCACTCCCCTGTGGTCTTATACTGCCTCAGCACTATCATATTCACGGGTATAGTGATAAGTGAACTGGCCAGAAAGTAGTACCGCTGGTGCGTGGTACGTCAGCCTGTACAAATGTTCTGACAACTCTTGCAAAACGGGCGGAATTGACAGGGGCAGATTTCGAGATTCTGTCCCATTGACTCCTAATTTCTGGTTCTTTGTTCACACGAATTTGCTCCCAGAAATGACCTCAAATGCCAGGATATTGGTTCAATTTTTAAACAATTTCTCAGGTTGCTCATAAGGTTCACATAGATTTAATAACAAAATCAATAACAATCCTCATATTATATGACAAACTTTATGTCAACTTGAATACAACTGCTTTCCGACGAGATAACGATCGGCGAACAACTATAGGCAATACGATCTATGTTCTACCGGGACGCCCAGTGGTACAGTCAGTATTTTGTTGACATTCATTGCAGGTTGTGATTGTGGATGGCGCCCTAAATTTGGAACAGCCCCACCCCATCCCCAGCTTCCAGATCAGCTACTAGTCCCTAGAAAACTATCATCTGTGGTGTTCGGCCCCTGACTGCGTCACTCTTATTAGGGACATTTTGCTAAACACCCCCCCCCCCAACAAAATCTTTATGTACGCCCCCGTTTCCCTCATAGCACCCTGCGAGGCGTGTGTCCGTGTTCGGTAAATTGTCTTTGACCACCGTGCATAAGCAATTACATAATATCTCCGAGATCGGAACTAGTTACCAGCACAAAGGGTGATATTATGGAGAATATTCCTATCAATACAAAAATAATTTCAGAGTTTGAAGTCATTCGTTCACCTGGTTAATGGCAACAGTATGGTAGATAGATTTTTACGTAATATACGACGCGCCATTGTTAACGATACACCTGCCCTTCCCCAACTAGCCACACTCGACAACAAACATTAATTATTTGTGTCTGGAAACAGAATATTTTGGATGAACCACATGGTTTTACATGCACGCCAATATGTACACGGGACCTCAGTTTTTCGTCCCATCCGAACGACTAGACAGCTGTCCTTGTCAGGCCCTCCATCCTGCATCACTGACAAGGGGAAACCACGACGGAAAATCTGGATGAACTTTCTCGGCCAATGCAGGGATCGTACACCCGACCTCCAGGCTAGCGAGTCAGCGGCTTACCCACTTAATCCCCGGGTCTCTTTTCATAACAAATGCCACATACCTATTTTTAACTAAACTATATAGAGCATTTGCAATAGTTATTTTACTCCAAAAACAGTCTGTCACGATAGTGGATGGGCGGACATGACAATCTGTTTCTACTACAAAATATGGGCCTGTCCCTTTGTAGCACTTGTTAGCTTCATTTAAATGCGTGCATTAACCTCTTCCAGCCCACGGTGGTTGGGGGTTGGGAGTGGGTGTTTTGGGGGCTCTCGGGCATGCACTGTGGATCACCGAACTTATTAATGAAACACATTGGTCCAATTCCACGTTTTTAAGTGACAAGCGAATGTTTTGTTGTCTGGTAATGGCCTAGTTACTATTGGGTGGATATTAAATGCGTGCATTAACCTCTTCCAGCCCACGGTGGTTGGGGGTTGGGAGTGGGTGTTTTGGGGGCTCTCGGGCATGCACTGTGGATCACCGAACTTATTAATGAAACACATTGGTCCAATTCCACGTTTTTAAGTGACAAGCGAATGTTTTGTTGTCTGGTAATGGCCTAGTTACTATTGGGTGGATATTAAACCGCATTTTTCTCCCTCCGTAGTCCGTGCATGTTTCACCCGACGAGTAGAAATTGGTGCTAAAAATGGGACCAAGAAATAACTTTGGGTGTGGCCTTCGAACTATAAATAAAAACAAACTAGAAAATAATTTTATTTTTATATTTATAACAAATAAAAAAAAACATTACAATATAAAGGTAATTATATCTAAAACAATATAAATAATGAGCTTGTAAAGTATCAAATATGGATGTCAGTTTGCTAATAATATAGCCAATATAGATGCATTATACACATTGAACTTTGTTTGAAATTAACGTAAATGATAGTTAAATAATAGAATATTTATAAAGAATGTTGGGGTGGGGGGGGTGGGGCTCTCAGGTATAAATAAAATAATCTATTTTTGAGTGCATGAACCTGCTAGAGATCATAATGTCTTTAAAAATTACGCTTTAATTTGGATTTTTGGAACATAAAAATTGTACCATCATAATTGTTAGATGTAATCCCCAAAGAAATGAAGGGGTATGACTGGACCAATAACCATGTCCTGCCTCATGGACGACAAACCCCACGCTTTATAGTTTCAATAATATGCCCTGAATATCTGTCGAAAATAATTGTCAGACTTTATTATTATCACATGTTGACTAATATTTATATTTTACTGATATTTCTTTCAGATTTTAAATGTTAGGGAAAGTGAAAATAAATATTAATCAAACAAAATACAATCATGTGTGTTTAATATACTAGTATCTCATATTAATCATACACGGTGTTTGTTAGGTTCATGCATACAACCACAGAATAATCGTATATTTGACGAATAGCCATCTATCTTAAATATAAATATACGTTTTCCAGGCGACAAAATATACAAACTGGACATCTAAGTATTTGCCCACCAGCGGCAATTCGAGGCGCAACTTGTCCAAATTCGCTTTGTTTAGTTTACAATGTTATGAGATCAATTCCCTGAAAAAATATTGACATCGTTCTATTAAAATCAAAATACATGTAAACATTGAAAAAAGATCGAATGGTAATATTATGAACCACTGACGGACGGACTGATGGCATGGTGACAACAATATACACCAGAGAGAGAAATGGTGTTTAACGTCTACTCGACACTAACTAGGTTATTTTGGTTCAATTTTATTTCAATAATTCGCTTGCGCGTAGGGGTCTTTAGCAGTGGGAGGAAACCGGAGGACCCGGAGAAAACCCACGAGGTTGGACAGGCGAACCTACACATTGTCACGTACAACAGGGGAATCGAAACCACGCCAGTTGACTCAATGACAGACCTTATGATATAACGCGTACGCGCTAACATTCGGCCATCCAACCCCCCTTTATACCCCACAGTAACATGCAGGAGTTTTTAAAAAAATATGTTTGTAATTGAGTGTTAAACATGATTTTAAATCTGACAAGTAAACAGTCTGATCAAAATCTATTATCAATTACGTTTCGGTTTTTGTCTGAAGAACTTCAGTGCAGCGTTAAAGTAAGGTGAAAAAACTAAATAAATAATAATGGAATTTCAATTAGAATGAAAAATTATATTTAAATTGGTATTCAATTTGTTAATTTGGAAGATTGAGTTTTATTTTTTAATGAATAAAATCTTTTAATTAAAGATACATTATGTAAGATTTAGATAAAGAGCTAGCCATACTTGCTATAATAGTTCGAAAATAGTGTAAAATGAATAATTTGAAATTAGCCTTTGAAGTTAATGTCTAATTAATAATTTAGAAAACATTTAAGGCCAAAAGAAAGACCTGCAATAGGCAGATTTAGCTCTTGCATAATGTATGTTTAAGTTACACGAATAAAAACATTTATATAAAATGATTGTAATGAATGCCCGAAAATAATATAAACATTTAAAAATGGTTATATTATACTTGGATATTATCTAATTACCAAACCTACACAGAAGCTCTTTTGTTAAAATACTCAAAACATGTGTTAATTTTACTAATAAGTTAATTGAAGAATTTTCTTTGCCAATACTTAGGTTTATATTTATAATAAATGCTTTTAGATCTATATAGAAATGTGACGAATACTGCTGACACCTCTTACAAACAAATAAGTATTAGAGATGGGGAAAATTCCTAAATCCACAACATTTCTCAAATTATTTCATTAACGACCAGATCTTTCATTTAGGAAAGTAAAATTGTCGATTTTATTAAACAAATTCATGGTATCCGACAATGAAAATGGTCATGCTTCTACTAACGTCCGTGTGGCACCCAACATTCAACTAATATCAGAGACAACGAGTTTACGTGTAAATATTAAAAGTACAATAACAACGTAGATCTTAAATGGACAAAATTATCTACCACTGCATTAAAAAAACATGATATTTCGGCAATAACAAGGTTGTTATAAATAATTTGATCAGGATAAAAAAAAATCTAGATAAATGTATAATAACATATCTTAGAGAAATTAGAATAATATAGGGGTCCAACAGTTAGAGAACTGTACTCGTTATTAGAATGCCTTGGATTCGAATCTCCGAGAGTAACCTTTGGGCTCCTTCAAGCTTGGTCTCCATTTGTTGGGGGTGATGTCTACGGAACTGAAGAGGTGTGTGTCTAGTCATTCGAATGAGACAAAAAATCGTGACCCACGCGTGTACACATTGACGTGCCAGCAGGAGAGCCCTCGACAGTTGGAATTTGAAGAAGAGTAGTAGGAAAACCGCCTCCCAGGCAAAATTCCCCCATCTCGGATTCCACATGTAACCATAGTAAATATAGATAACCGAATGTTAATTTCAAAATGACCCGAGTAATGTTAAGACGTAAAACCCCATTCATTCTACGTAATACAAGAAGTGGGATTTGATTCAGATATAAATTCACTTTTAACAGAGATTTCTACTTTGGCCACAAGACGGAACAGTTCTATATGTTTCTAATATGTATATTGGTAAAAGCGATGTAAGACTTTATTGCCACTTCCCAGATAGCTTGTTCTGTGTTTGAATCAACTTTCCTGGTGAAAACCATCTGTGTATTAATTGGCATTAATTGTCAACCGTATTCTTGTATCATTCCACTTTGCTTCAGAGAGTTATCGCCCTTATGTTTTCTTGTTCTGTACTAAAACAGTTGAATACATCTTAACAAATGTTGATCTTCAAAACCTACAACTATCCTTCTTTAAGATATTTGGAGACAAAGGTTGTTAGTGTAACGTGAATGGAGATAAAAGCGTTATTGCGGATCCCGAACAAACGGTTGTACAGAGAAAGGATAGACTTGGTCTCCAGAAAATCTCTCAGAAGTAAAACCAAATCACAAACCTAATAGATCAACATTGTCACCAACCATTTATTCTGTAGTACCTTTTCCCTTGGGATATTGATTATTGGTTTTAAGTCTAACTCAATTATCCAAAGGACCATTTTTGACATGTTGATCTCCAGACCTTCAAGAGATACACTAGAGGCAAATAATGACGAGTATATGAAGAATGAAGGAACACCGGCCGTACACGCTATAGACGCAGCTGTATAAGAGATAGGACAGATGTCTCTAGAAATCTCTCAGAAGTAATACAAAGCACAAACCCTCACAAATCAACATTATCACCAACCATGACGTCGACTACATCTCTTCTGGGCGAAAATTGTGAACTCTGGAGGGTCCACAACCTTCGCATTACACACTTTTTCACAATTTGCGTACAACCGTGATAAATTTAAACTTTTTTTTATTTAAAATAGATAATTGTGATCTCTCGAGGGTGTACAAGCTAAAAACGTGATTTTTCATACAATCAGGGTCATAATCCATGAAGTTATGGTCCGATACATGCCAATATCGAAAGGAACCAATATCTTTTGGGAGATAGACCTATATTTCAAGTTTCGTCAAAATCGGATAAAAATTGTGACCTGTAGAGGGTCCAAAAACAAATTGTGGACTGGCGGACGGACAGGGGCGACGGCATAATACGTCCACATAAAATTGTGAGCGGATAAAAAGAAAATAAAGATTTAATGTTGTAATTGCTCCATGGTTTTGAAAATTATAAAAGGTTTATTTGGGGTAAATTGAGGTAGACATTTCTGGTGTTGCTTACCAACACAACTATTTGGGCCGATTTTCACGAAATTCGAACTTTAAAGAACACCGCATACACCATAAATATTATTAAAGTTTAAAGTACTATGAATTAAAAAGTACACATAATCGCCTGGCTTGGACTGTATCATTAAAACAACATCATCGTCCATGTTTCATTATCGTCGTATCCATCGATATCGCCATCACCAACATTTCGTTATTGTCGTCTCTCATCGATACCACTACCATTACCATAACAGCCAATCTTAACTGTGGATACAGAAGTAGGCTACAGCAAAAATAAGCTATATATGAATTCCTTAAATGATAAGCGGTAAACGATGTTCCCGGAAGTTTGTAAATTGGACGACAGTTTCGATTTTGAGAGTAATTTATATAAGGCAACCCTGGGGTCAAAGTTCACCACATGTGTCACCAGCTCACTGGCTTCAATCAATGAAAAGATATTAGAAAAAAATGGAAGTGTAAACGTTTGTAATGAGAAGTACCTTTATACGTTTTGAAGAGGAAAGGCGCATACCACCTTTTGTACGACATCAATATTATTACTTCCATAAAGAGTACTGTAAGTAAACCAACACAAGAAAAACAATACCCTACACAAATTAGGGTGAACATTTGCACCACAATTGTCTCAAGAAAATATTCCAACAAAACTTTTTTCTGTACATGTAAATCAATAAAATATATTTATTCCCATCATAGTAATCCTACCTCTCTATAGAATCTTTGGCGTTCACTATCAACAAAATGTCTAATAGTATGATTGATATACTTTATAATATCTTGGCTGGTTTTGGAAGAAATTTGGATTACAACTGAATTATAATACTCTAATATAAATCAAAATATCCGAATATATCAAATATGGCACCCCCTTACCTACAATAAAATGAAGAAAAAATCAATGTAGTTATTGTTAGAAAGGTGATGGTAAGGGGGTGCCATATGTAAAAATATTACATCAAACATTTATTCTAACGGTGGTTTTTCCGAATACTTTTCTCCGCATTCCATCTGGCAAGAGTTCTCTTACGTACACGTCAATGTGTTGCGGTGGATCTCGGTTCTCCGTCCTATCATTTTCCTCGTCAGTCCCGGAGGCGTTTCCCCTGACAAGTGGACACCGGGATTGATAAAGCCAGAAGGTTCCTCTCAGCCCCCGCAAAGATTCAAATCTGGGACACTGTAATGGCGAGTCCAGTTCCCTCAACTTGACCCCGGGTATAGAATTTGTTCAATGTTTCATGAATAAAAGCAATATCTCTCACCCGCTATAATGTAGCAAAGAGGCATAGGGTTTTAAAAAAATAACCTGTCATTGTTGAACTATTATTACCCTACTCAGGAGGTGGTTATTTCAAAATTATTCCAGGATTCCATTAACCATGGGCACTTAGAAGATATATCCCTCTCTGTCGGACTGCAGAATCGTCTATCTACCACACAGTACCTGAAATGATGTAAATATCAAGAATTGTACGGCTAGACCTATCTATACGCTCACTAGCAGTACTGTCAATCAATAGCAGTGGACACAGATACAGATAAGATTTTTCAGAAACTGTCTTGAAAGGTGTTATAGCTAAGTCCTTTTCTCAATAGCAGTGGACACAGACAAGACTTATTATATTGGGAACTGTCTTGAAAGGCGTTATAGCTAAGTCCGTGTCTTTCTTGTTTTTAAATTAATAGAGAAAATAACGATTTAATTTTGTAATAGCCCCTTAGTTTTCAAAATTTTAAAAAGTTTTATTTGGGGATAAACTGGGGTAGACATTTCTGTGTTGCTTACCAACACAACTAGAGTCGGTGGTCGTCTTTAAAGAACATCGCATACACCATAAATATAATTAAAGTTTAAATTACTATGAATTAAAACATACACATAATAGTTTGGCTTGGTCTGTGTCATTATTACATCATCATCGTCCATCGTTTAATTATCGTCGTTACCCATCGGTATCCTCATCACCCATCGATATCTCCCACCATTTCGTTATTGTCGTCTCTCATCGATAGCACTACCATTACCATAACAGTCAATCTTAACTGTGGATACAGAAGTAGGCTACAGCAAAAATAAGCTATATATGCATTCTTTAAATGATACGTGTTAAACGATGTTCCCGGAAGTTTGTAAATTGGACAACAGTTTCGAATTTGAGAGTAATTTATCTAAGGCAACCTTGGGGTCAAAGTTCACCACATGTGTCACCAGCCCAGTGGCTTTAATAAATACAAAGATATCAGAAAAAAAACTGGAAGTGTAAACTTTTGTAATGATAAGTACCTTTATACGTTTTGAAGAGGGAAAGCACATACCACCTAGTGTACGACACCAATTATCACTTCCAAAAATATTACTGAAAGTAAACAAACACAAGAAAAACAATACCCTATGCAAAATAGTGCCTTCTGAAATTTTGAACATTCGCACCACAATTGTCTCAATAAAATATATTTGTTCTCATTATAAGTAATCCTACCTCTCTATAGAATCTTGTCTAATAGTATGATTGATATACTTTATAATTATTATCTTGGCTGGTTTTGGAAGAAATTTGGATTACAACTGAATTATAATACTCTTAATATAAATCAAAATATATCAAATATGGCACCCCTTTCCTACAACAAAATGTGAAGACAAAATCAATGTAGTTATTGTTAGAAAGGTGATGGGCCCAGTTAGTGTGTAAATAGGAAATAGTGAGAGAGAGAGAGAGAAGTCAGAATAGTATATGTTTACAGGGATAAGAGGGCGCCATATTGACAGGTCCTGATCTAATTACATACATTTATTATATATCATGTAAAAATATTATTCATACATATATTCTTATCCCATATAACCTATCCATCATGCGTGTAAAAATATCACATCATAGATTTATTATAGATCCATATCACCCATCGTATCATGTTAAAATATTACATCATAGATTTATTATAGATCCATATAACCTATCGTATATCATGCATGTAGAAAAATTACATCATAGATTTATTTTAATCCTATATGACCTATCGTTCCATTTAAAATATATTACATTGGAGGGAGGGGGGGGGCTGGTATGGTACCTACGGCTCTTTATACATTTTGTTTTCTAGCGATTGATGTTGTACAGGTTGGGTGGAATTTGGCATGGGCAGTGATTCGTCTACAGTAAAATGATAATTCGGTAATAATAATTTTTTTAGATATATTGTGGCCATGATAAATTAACGGTTAAAAAGTTTATGAATTTTAATAGGACGTCCCGGACTTCAATCCCAGTAAGACCCGAGAATAGCCGGAGCGGTTTCTTAACCCTCTGCCCAACATGCCAGGGCTAATGTCTGCAAGGATGACAGAGATTTAGTCTAATCACTCGGGTGAGACACAAATCGTGGCCCAAACGTATACTCACTTGCGTGCACGTCACATAGAATATCTGTTAACAATTGGAATCAATAAAGAATAGGTGACAACGCCGCTGCCCGGGAGAAATTCCCCACACTCGCATTGCACATGTAACCATAGTGAATAAAACAAACAAATGTTAGTCTCAAAATCACGGGAATAAAGTGTCGTCAAGACGTCAACCCCATTCCACTAAATACGAAAGATATTTCAGATATAAATTGACTTTAAACAAAGATTTCTACTCGGACCACAAGACGAGGCAGTTCTATATATTTTCTTTTGTGTATAAGGTTAGTAGATATTAGACAATGCTGTCTCTTCCCATCTTGCTAGGTATGTGTGAATCAGGCATTACAAGTCTTCAAGGTTCATTCAGATCATCTGTATCTGTCTTCACTCTGGTAATATGATGCCATAGCTTGGCCGATGGAGTTATCATAATTGTCAACAAGAAAACTAAAACTTGCCTTCTTTGAGATAGCTAGTGACCAGAAAGATATATACATCTATTATCAGGTATCATAGAAATTGTAGGAAAAAAAACAGGACAACAAAATATGAACGATGTGCGCACATCTAAGAGAGAGCTAATATTGTCGTCTATTCTTCAAGTTTGGCATCAGTTTCAATATGTTTGGTGTCAATTATGCAACCAGATGATTCCTATAATATTCATACCGTCTGCTATCTCTACCCTCGCACAAAACAGAAAACATTTAGAGCCGCTTAGTCATGTGACCTGAGCAGAAATCGTCACTAAAGTTCCATCTATCAATCAAATACCGCATAGTGTATTAAATGGAATGGGGGTTAACGTCTTGGTGACATTTTACTCTCGTGGACATTTTGAGACTAGCACGGTTGTTGTTTTTTTTATTTACCAATGGTTTACGCGTGAAATGTGAGGGAGTGGACTATGACCCAAGCGTTAGCGTTTATGCTTACTCTTCTCCGAATTCAAACGACCAAAGGTTCCCTTACGTACAGGCCAGTGTGCACACGATTGGGCCCCAATTCTCCACCCCATCCAAAAGATTAGGCACACTTTCCTCCTCAGCCCCACAGGCGTTAACCATGATGAGCGAGAAACCTATTTGAAAACCCCCGAGGGTTCTTCTCAACATATGCGATGATTGGAATCCGGAAGTCTCTCTCCCAATGAATATAACTTTTAAAAACCGTGGCAGTTCCTTCCTAAACCAATCACTGAAACTAAGGAGTAGGAATTAAAATAAATATCACCTCGTATTGTCATTTCCTTAATCAGGTGGTAAATATTTCCAAACAATAGCAGGAATCACAGGCACTTAAATCTCACTACATTGTCGATCCAAACTCATACCTGAAAAATATAATAGTATGATGCATAGTGCCACTGTAAAAAACCTATGTTTATTAAGTTGTTACAGTAGGCGAATGGATAGAATGTCTCCAACATTTGATGAAATCACCACATGTTTCTCAAATAACACTATCTTCAACAAACATTCCAACTACACTTCTCTGATAGGTAAAGGAATATTTTGGCCGTTTAATGGTCCATATAAAGCCGCGATAGGTCACTAACCAGTAGGTCCAGGGTTTTAACCCGGTTTTGGCCGAGCAAGTTACCCGGGATTTTCCAGCGTAGTTTCCCCTTGTCAATGTTGCAAGACGGAGGACCCCCCAAGGATCAGCGTCTAGTTGTGTGGGTGGCGAGAAAGTCTGCGGTTTCGTATAGATGTTGGTGTACACGTAAAAGATCCCTTGGAATTCAACTAAGAGTAGGTGGAAACGCCGCTGTCCAGACAAAATACATCTTGTCTTATCTAAAGGAAACAAACATCGTGACTTACCATTTGGTAGGATGCAAGGTCTATTGGTAAAGTGGTCGTCGCCGATCATAACCGGGTGTAACACGCCATTTGACTGGGTACAGCATTAAGATATAAGGGTAACAAACCATTAGTACATGTGAGGGTCACACACCATCTGAAAAAATATTTAAAGAGAGCATTAGGAACAGGGTATTGTATAATATGTTCAAAATGAAAGCATGTCAACTCTGAAGAGTGGTATCTGATGTTCAAGAAAATGCAAATATACCCTATCTCTTACATAACACGCATCACTACTTATAGCTACACAGAGCAATGTTTACCTGTATTTCAGATGCTGAAGACTGGTCATTCGAAGATAACCCTGTGGTCAATCAGATCTCACGTGTATTCATTTTCACCATATCAAGGTATTTTGACGGTCTTCAGTTTCCAGACTTGTGTCACACTATATTGACATTCACATGGAAAATGAAATGGGCTTTAGGGTCCTACTGTTCTACTCCGATTGAACTAATGAAGAAGGGCGAACAACATACAGTGTGCTTATTCATTTTGCCCTGACAGTTGCGAACGGCCTACTCTTATTTAAAATTCCAACTGTCAACGATTGTTTTATGTGCACGCCATGGTGTACACGGGGTGTCGGGTTTTCGTCCCATGCGAACGACAATATGTTGTCTCATGTTAGGTCTTCTGTCCTGCACCAATGATGAGCATGGAAAAGGTGACGTTTATTTATATTGAATAAAAATAATGAACGATATTCACTTACACCACAATAGTCACACATCATCATCCGTCAGGCTGGGTTCAGGGTATGTCTTTATGGAAAGCATAAAATGGTCGTCGCACCATTTGACCAGTTCTAGGACATAGTGTGAAGTTGGGACACCATTTGAGTGGATTGGAATATGTCTAATAAATTAAAAGAGAAAATAATATGGGGTTCACAAGAGTTGGTTATATTTGAATGTGTAAACTAATCAGATACAGTAAGGCTTTCGATAAAAGTAACACTCCAAAAACTGATTTCAGTTGAGCCGAGTTTAGGGGCTGAAACTGGTCAATTTTAATTTCAACCAATCAAACAGAGAATCTCCACAAGAGCCTTTTTTTTATATTAAATATATAAATATAATGCCATAAAGTAATCTCGAATTAATGGTAACATAATTAAAGTTCTCCCCTGTCGTGGGAAGACATTAGTGCGAAAAGATCCTTTCTGTTGGTCGGCTGATTTGAAAATGAAATGACAGTTGGCATTGAAACAATACAGAGTGAAATTTACTCACGACACCTTACCTCTCTATTAACCAGACACTCGTGGTTTACGCCTCTCAAAATGTGTATCTGGATATAATAGATGATTCTACTAACTTCACAAACCGTGTTTTTAGCATGAACCCAAGCTGTATCAACCGATACAAAAGCTGGGAATTGGAGTAGTTTTCGTTTCAGTGAATTTAGAGATCAATCAATTGTGGGAGACCAGGTTATAGCTCTTTCAATCTATCTCTACTTCATTTAAGAAATGAAATGAAATGTTTACCGGTACCCGGGCCACTCGGACCAAGGATCACTCGGACCAAGACCAGTCGGACCCAAAAAAAAAAAGACCAGTCGGACCAAAAAAAAAAGACCAGTCGGACCAAAATAGAGACCACTCGGACCAACCTAAAAGACCACTCAGACCAACCTAAAAGACCACTCGGACCAATCAATTTATATTGGAAAACCATTCTGACCTCGGGATTTCGTACCATCCGAACGACTATCCGATGAACTTTCTAGGTCAACCCAGGGATCGAACACGGGACCTCCAGGTTAGCGATCCAAAATCCTACTCAGTTAGACAGGTTGGATGGCCGAATGGTTAGCGCCTGCGCGTTTTATCCTAAGGTCTGTGATTGAGTCATCTGGCGTTGTTTCGATTCCCCGGTTGTACGTGACAAAGTAAGGTCGTTGTACAACCTGGTGGGTTTTCTCCGGGTACTCCGGTTTCCTCCAACTATTAAAGGCAACTACGCGCAAGCGAAGTATTGAAATAAAATAGAACCATATTATGTTAGTCCCGAAATGACCTCTCGCTCTCTCTCTCTCTCTCTCTCTCTCTCTCAGTCCCCGTTATTTAAGAATAAAACAAAAGATATAAAACAGTGCGTATTGTGCATAATAAGGTAATCAAACCCCCGAAAGGTAGCCTACAGAAATAAGTGTACGAATACTAACCTTGAAAAGTGAACAAATAGATTGGTGTGTAAATACTTATTAATGATATGTTAAGTAACCTTGAGAAGATAATAAACCATTAAAGTTTCTGTGCTTCGTTTGCATTTCATCAAATTGATTACGGTACTTAACATTTAATTAAGAAAAAATCAAGATATCAACGGTAGATAAAATCCAGGCTTCATTCGTTTTTTATAGTTGTTTGCAATTGTTTATTCCAAATGCGTATGCATATAGGTATTACATTATTTTATTACATAGCATACAATATGGCGGATACAGTTTAACACGGGGCAATAAATATTGTTCATGCATACATATATTAGAATATCAGTCAACCATATACCAACAATTTGCTTATTAAATTAAATAAAACGGTTACTATAAAGTTGTTATATACTGGTTACTAGGGTGTATCGTTTCTTCGTAGGCTAATATAAATATTCCAAGATTTTTTCAGTGTATTGCTATTTGTTGAGCTAAGTAAGATCGATAATTTATATACTGATGGTTTGTTTCTGTACTGATCTTTTATATACTTTTCTCGATATTCCGTATAGACAGGACATACTAGAATGAAATGGTGCTCATCCTCTTCATAGGCGTACGAGCCGGGGTCGGGGGGGGGGGGCAATCTGACTTTTCGCGCAGACAGGTAAAGTGAAATGAAATATTATTATTTCATCTATTTGGCAAAATAAGGTGCCCGAAATCTAATAAAACACCAGTTTTACTTTTATTTTAATTGAATTTGTACTGAATTGACTATGAATTAAAACATTTTGTCTGGGGTCACTCTACTTTGCGCGGCATTTTCGGGCATCGATTATTATTTGTGAATGCAGCTGCAACACTCTGATAGGATGGTTGGAATTCAGGTCGGCATTGAGTGGGATTTAGGTTACAAAACGATTGGACAACTTTGGAGTTGCTTAACTCACGGACTCGAATAGCAGAAAAACGCATTTGCCCTCATATCCCGCGACGATTGGTTGTTTGTTTGTTATTCGGGTCAGCCATATCGGACAAGGCAAGCTATATCGGACCACATCGAAGTTGCTGTATTCAATATTCAAAATTTTCTCCCGACGATCCACCGCCTCCGTGAACTGTAAACCATTGATTGGTTGATTGGAATTCGAGTCAGCCAGCTAGGCTTGTTAGAATACTTTGAAGTTGTTGTATTCACGTGCTGGAGTGGTAGAAAAACGTGTTTGTGGTCGTCAAATTTTCCAAATTATTTTTTTTTTTTTGGGGGGGGGGGGGCTAACCCGAATTTTTTCGGATATTTCGAGTTCTGCCCCCCCCCCCCCCCTAACAGTCATCGAGCCCGTACGCCTATGTCCCTACATCATGCATGTTACACAGGGTACAAAATCTTACAGCTCTATCAATATTAGAGTATCTACTAGTTTCAACCATTAGATTATGTGCTGGTTACCGCCCGCTTCCACCGGGGGGGATATCTCCCGTCCTGGGTTCATTCGGATTAAAAAGTGGCCCATCGAAAGAATGCAGGCTATTGAAGATTACAGCAGGTAGCACCTACTTCTGGTCATATCCCGTTTATAGCGGATACCCAATGATGACTAATTGTCACTTCACCATATGTCTAAATACTAAACGAAGTGGAACCATTTTGGACTCCTACTCTTTTAAAGGTCCAACTTTCCCAATAGTTTTCAAATGCAAGTGACTTTAATAGAAAAGTAAATTATTTTCTTTCTTTCTTTTTTTTAATTTTTTTTTTTTTTTTTTTTTTTGTCCTTTTTACGTCCAATAAATCTCCAATTTATGCTAAAATTGTTCTGCTTTTCTTGGAAATGTGTAGACGCACGCCAACAATGCGAAATTGGTTGTCGTTAAATCAGAGCTACTCCCCTTGATAAACGTGTCAGTGTAGTCCTGCTTGTCCAAAATAGAACCGAATGAACTACTCTCTTAAATAAAGTTACGAATGGTTTTAATCACGTGATAAATTGCAGACAAAATGGCTGAAGAAGTTAACGAAAATCAACCGAGGCATCGGTTTAGCAATGGTAATTTAAGTAATGGTGAGTTTTTATTGATATTTATATCTAAGAAAAACGAAGTATCGTCGAATGAATATTTGTCTAAAGTTCGGCTGTGACTAGACCCAGGACAAGAGAGTACCAGCAAATTTAATATGTTGTCTCTTTATTAATGAAAAAGAGGTCAACTCATTTTAGACTGTTTACGTTGAACTATTGAAATCGTGTCCTGCTTGTGAGTGATTCATATGAAGGATCGACTAAAGTTTAAAGTTCACACCATTTATATGCTTACAAGCATGAATGAGGGAAATAATTGATGATAAGATACTCTTGTGCCTATGACTATAATATATTGTATTCGAGTGCATGTACATCCTCGTGACGTGATCCTGTTTCTTAATAAAATTGAACAACTACTCACAAACTTGAAACTATGGCTACATAACAATCATACCCATTGCAAAACACAAATTCACTCTGAAATTAATATGGTAATTGCATAATTTCCTATTCAACATACTAAAATTTTATTCAAATTGCATCTTAAAAATAGTTAAAATGAGACATGCAGGGGGCTTTTTGAAGAAAGTTTCACAAACTCACAGTGTCTCGTGACTCAGATCAAATCATGAAAAACAAAAGTTAATAGGCTTTTGTATTTGACCAGAAAATGGTAGTCCAGTTGCTGCAGAAAAGTAGCACTTTAAACCGCTGTACACATGCTTTGCACATTTAATCTTGTGGTGCAAAAAATAAAAAAATGTATGTCAGTACACATAAGTTATGAGGAATTGGAATTTAGAATTGTCTCTGACCCTGTTTGAATTATTGTGTCTGATTTAATTTGAGAAATAGTACATGTACATGTAAATTGAATGATTTTGACCTAGGTTACATTCTAGATTAGAAGGAACAATAAAATGCAGTTATCAATGAGATAGATAATATTATTTATAATAGTGGAAGAGGTTATCTTGATAAATTATATAATATGTTTATGTTCTTGAGGCATGAATCATCATGGCCTAGGTTCATTTTCCTTATACATGTATAAGTAGGTTGATATTATCTTCAATAATCAGATAACCTAAACAGAATATGTACAGATTATTTTTTAACTCATCCAAATTTGCATTTTTGTTGAAAGATTATTGATATTGGTCCATTATAATTTGGTCTAAAGTTTATGTTGATTTCCATTCCATACCTTCATCTATACACATATAATATTAATCCCGTTTTCATGTCTGGTTTTTATACGCCCACATGGAAATGTGGTCGTATATTGTTGTATGGTCTGTCTGTCATTCACAATTTCTCAAAACTACTTATAAATTCTAGAGACAAGAGTGTGGTTCCCCTGCAATTACTACTAAAGACATTCATTATCCAATCTTTGTGAAATTTACATATGTTATTTACACTCATGAGACAAAGAAACATATTCAGTAGTTTCTGTTAATTACTACATGTAGTCCAGTTATGGCCCTTGTTTCACTTTGTAGAAACATGTGAATGCTCTAACAACAAAATTTATCATTCGATCTGCATGAAATTGATATTACTGGCTTGTAATGCACTTATTACCTCCAAAAGATTAAATATGTGACAGCAACAATTTAGCAGCTGTGTGCATATGTTTATTAGCCTGGCAACCAATCTTTTTAATGCTTGGATTTGCTGCTTAATTACACAATAATAACAGTCTTTAAAATATATAAAATACATGTAGTACATATTTTTGACTTATGAGAAATATGTGACATGGACTGTGCTTTTAAATCTAGTTAAAAAAAACTTTAACTATAACGTAACCTACATATGTGTACTATTTGTAGTAATAAACGGTTGTAAGATAAGTCATTTTATTTGTACTAGATACATGTATGTGATATTTATTATCTACAATATAGCACAGACTGAGACATGTACGTGTTGTGATAAGCAGGATATTATCTGATTTGTACAATGTAAACACTTGACTGATATATATTATGAATTGGGATGTTGTTTTCAACCAGATTATAACATGGCCCATCAAAAGATTTAACCAAACATTTATATGTGGTACTGGCTTGTTAAAATTACCTGCAGATTATACCAAATCACCTGGTACCATTCCAGTTTTCTTCCACTGCTAAAGACCCCTACGCGCAACCGAATTATTGAAATAAAAATTAAAGAAAACATATGTTAGGCCCGAAATGACCTAGTTTATGCCAAGTAGACGTTAAACCCCATTTCTCTCTCTCTCACCATTGTACCATGCCTTTGAGCATTATACATGTAGATTGCAAGGTATTTAAAATCCCACAAATGTTGATCAAGAGCTTTAAAGATATATTTACTAGATAAAAATAGATTGAAAAACATATCCAATGAATTGTAAGATAGCTGCTATTTTGTATTAGAAATGAATGGATGGGTGATGGCTTTATTTAGTAACTATGTTATATGCTGATGAGAACTTGTCTTTATAAATCAAAGTACATTTCGTTATCTTTTAATTGAACAAGTAATTGTGTGTTAAAGAATAAAACAAATTGTTGTTAGCATGTATAAGATATAATACAGCTCATCTGTTGTCATCTTTAACTTGGCTTTCAACTTTCCACTGGTACTGCTACCATATATTTGATTTGTTGTCATTCAATTGGCTTTACATTTTATAATTCTTTTGTTACCGGTAACAAATATTATTGGACTTATTTTGAATTATGCTGTGATACAATACTGTTGATGTATTTACACATGATCTATTTGTATAAAATATTTACTTATTTCAGGAGGAAATATGCCAGATATCAAGAAAACTTTCTCTCCCAATTTACAACGGATTCGAGACCAAGCTCAGGTATTTGCAAGCAATTATATATAATTATATATACCAGCCACTGTAAAATTCTTACAAGCCCAGTCCATCAAATAAAAAATCTAAAATACAATATGGTACAATTGATTTTTGAAAGCAGCATTGAGTTCGAAATATACACCTACACTTAAAATATTCAATGTTTCTTGTATGTATGTAATACACATACGCAGATCTGCACATACACCCCCGCCACCTCTCCATCTTTTTTTTTGGCAAGACAGATACATGTATTTGAATATTTTATTTATATGTAATATATTTTGTAGATTCTGAAGTCTGATATGATGAGTAATCTAGGACATCAGCTTGATGAATTATTTGAATCCTTTGTAACGGAAGTTGAACGAATCGAACAAGAACCTCAAGTTGATAAAAACTACAAGGCCTTTGAGAGCGCTAATAAAAGGTAAATTTCATTTTTGTTTTAATTTAATAAAAATGTTTAAAATCAGAAATACAATTGTAGATTTCAATGGAATTTGACCAAAATCAAAAAGAATTAGCACCTTTGTTGCTTGTAGATAAATGAATTTGTACTTTTATTTCAAGCACTGATAATACACACAATTGTATGTACATGTATAATGATAAGTTTGTATGCCAACCCTAATGCCTAACACGGTTTGATGATGTTGTTCCTTTAAAAGAGAAATCTGTTCGAATTGTTTGATTTTCTAAAAAAAAAAAACCCAACATTTTCAAGTTTTTTGTATTTTAGAGCTAGAATGCCTATATGATGTATTAGAAGACTAGAATGTTTGATTTGTGTATTTTAAGGATAGAATATTTTTATGTATAATTTTTTTAAGGCTAGAATGTTTTTATGTATGTTTTTTAAGGGCAGAATGTTTAATTACAGAAAACCTAACGTAGGTATATGTTCACCCATCCAACTGTTGATTTTATACTACCCAAGGGTTTTTAATCATTATTTTTTGGGTGCACCTCTTCACTTGTTTATGTTCCGTTTAGTTCACCCTGTTTCATCCCTTTACCATGGGTTTAATATTTGATTAAATGAGGAATTAAATAACTGATAGCTTCAATATACCTTTGTTCTAGGGAAGAATCATTGAATCTATTTTGATTTGTGTTTAGGCTTTACGAAAGGGTGTATGATGTCTTTTTCCATTTAAAATGTTACAACCACAGGTCAAAAATTTTGATTCATAATTAAGTGAATCATAGGTTGATATTGAACCTATAAATGTTTCAACATTTTTGGTAAGCCAGAATGCTTATGACACAAAACTTCCACTAATTCAGTCTTTATAAATTGATCATATGTTAATCCTGGAGTAGTATTTAAGAAAACAAATACCATTTATGTGGAATTAGAATACAATCACAGTTTTCTATGTATAATGTAAACCAGTGATTGTATTTTATTTAAATGTTCTTTACATCTTGCTTTATACACTGCTTTTGCTATTTAAATTCAATTACATGTACATGTTAGAGCTGTTTATCAGATTTGAATGAGGTCGAAAGCTAAGTGAAATATACTAACTCTAATTCATATTACATGTTAGAGCTAACTGAAGTATACTAACTCTGAATCTGATATCCGTATATGTTTGCAAGGTTCAAATCTGGTATGAAACAAGAACTATAAGAAACCATGCCATCTGTAGTGAATAAATTTACAAAGAAATATAACATATAAAGAACATAACTTGACAAAGAAATACTAAATCAAACTGCCTGTTAAAATCATTATTCAAATCACATTCTGTACATTACTGAACAAGGTACATGTATATAAAGACCAAGATATACTGGAGTAAACAACTAAAAAAAAAATAATCATGTATTGCAATAATTATTATAATTAAACTAAAGTCCTGATATCATATTTTACAATCTATAAGATAAAACCTTTATTTCTTGATATTCTGGCATAATATTAAAATGTTGAATCATGACTGAACTCTTCTTTGCTTAAATCTTGGTTGAAGAAAACTTTTTGGGTATATTTAAGGGTGTTCATTTCCCTTGGCTGACGTAAATCTATGAGGCATGCAAAAAAAGGTGCATTCTCGTTTAGTCTTTGAGGTGTGGCTGTGGACATGTTTAAAAGAGGCATTAGCACTTCGTGGCCAGTTGATTAAAACAAATGATTATCAATTTATCATGGGTTTAGGCCTAAAACATTTAACTGTCAGTTTGTTTAGTATTACAATTAATTGTTTAGAGATTTTCAAGGAATTTAATGAATCCTGTCCTGGTATTTTCAGTAATTAGGAGAGACTACATTTATTTTCATGATGAGTGATAATGCCTCTTGAAAACTCTGCATAAAATAAAAGAATTACCTCAGTATAGTTTTAAAGGAACAATCTCAGATTATTAGATTGTATAAAATGCTTAACATGGTTATGAAATTTGTATAAGGGGTTGTTTTTTATTATTTTACTTGATAAATGAGACTTTCATCAGGTAACCATGTTAATTTCCACAATTATAAGAGCTTTAACACAGAATGAGCTAATTTTATTTATCGGAAATATGTCTGGGACTACTTCTTTATGCACTTGTTAATTCTTGACAAATCATTTCATTTCAGCTAATTTTAAAGTAATACTTATTGACTTATATTACATACATGTAATATATATATAGGGTAGTCATAAGGCATGTTTCATTAAAGGTGGAAGTGTTCGAGTGAAGTCCTTCAGTATAATATAGAGGACTCACTATAGGGCCACATGTGTAAGTGAATCCAGGCCACATGTGTAAGCGAATCCAGACATCAATGTTATAGTCAAGCCCCATTGTATAAACCTAGACATAAATTGGTTGTGGTTGCAATTGTTTTGTAATTTCATGCACAAATGTTTATACTAAAGGTTTTGGGAGACAGTTCATTTAGTAGTTTCATTTTGTCTTGTTTTTGATAGTGACGTCTGACAGGTGTTTGTGCGCGTGAGTGTGATCCCTTGTAAATTTACCAGCTGTCACATAACATTATTATTAGTTCTAGTTAGACATTTAATGATCCTAATGCAGTCAACATTTGATCAAGCATCTTGCTGCCTTACTAAAACTGACGTTACAGAAGGTCAATGAAAATATTCATCATTTGAATGATGAACAGAAATTAGAAGATCAAAGATTTCTATTCAGAGACAAGACAAAATAACCAAACAATCTAGACTAAGATCATCAATACTGCTTTTAAAGTACTTGATAATCTCTTCTAAAGAACTATATTCATAGCTCCGTTTTCAGAAATTGCTTGAATATATTAAGTTTACTCAGCCATAATGCCTTTTTCTATAAGTGATGTCTTAGCTTGACTGGTTTCTCACAAAAAAACAGTCTAAAACAATGCAGAGAATCTGATAAATACATGTACAGTTTCAAGCTTTATGTAGGTATTGAGAAATTGGAAAACTTTTGAGATAGTTAAAACTAAATATCAATTGTTTGAGTCTTCATGCTTATACTTTGTTTCCTAGGTTATTTCATAGTAGTATACATAATTTTTATTTTATTTCTTCATGAACTACAAAATAAACCCAGCTATACAAATCTTTTATCATTATAAGACAAAATGTATCGTACATGTAGTTCAGTGCTTGATCAGGGCCTTTAGATGGCCTAAGCACTGAAGAGATTATGGTATCCCCATGTAATTAAAACAAACCAATCTGTGATGAAATACAAGAAAGCTGCTAATATTAAAATATCATTTTCTAGGTTTTCTGATCTTAAAATGTGTAAGTGCAGATTAGTGAAAGGATTAACAGATAGTAATAGATTTTTATTATTACATGTACTGCTATTATTAATATTCTTTTTCTATATATACATCTGGGTTTTCTTTTTTATCAGTTATTGTGAGGCTTCTTTATACTATGTATTGACTGGTCATTGCACAGGACCGAGTATGCTTACTTTTATATAATGCCTGATGCATAACTTACAATATTGATTGTACTGTTTTAGTAACCACAGGGTTTTTGGTGGTTTTTGAAAAAATTTTGTTGTATATTTTGATTTTACATGGTTACATGTTTTTATGTTCATTTAATTTCAGTAAAAAGCGTTCAGATGGCTCATTACCAGATAAAGTATTTGTCAATAGGAGATCTGTTCTCAGGTGGGTGACTACTAAATTGTAACTTGTCTCTTGGTCCCAAAATTCTATCAAAGCATTTCTTGATTTTAAAACCTTATCAAGTAGAAACTATGATTACAGCAGGTTGATAGATTTATACTTGAAATAAAAGCAGGAGGGAGTTAAACAATTTTCACTTTTAGATTGTTTGAAATTTATTTGACTTTGTGCTAAGTTTAACATGGAAACAACTTTCTATTACTAGAAATCATCCGTATATCAAACTATTATTGATGTTTGTGTGTCTGTAGTACTATACAAATTTGATATCAGTTTGATCTCTTCTGCAATGAATGTATAATTAAAAAATTTGAAATTTATTTTCAGTGAATTATTTGAAGTCAATCATATTCGAACAATATATCACATTTTTGTGGCTATTCTGATTGTATTTTCACTGAATACTTTTATACATGACTGGATTCATACTGGAGGGTAAGGTTACATTGTAATTGTTTTAGGTGTTAATGAGGGAGTAGTAGGAAATTAATCACAGTATCACTTCCTTCTCCACCAGCTAGGACTGTTAACAACTCATTGTTAAAGGTCCAATTACACTAATGATTAATATAACAGTTCTCGGTTAGTTATTAATTTCATTTTATCTTTGTTTCATTTTCTGCAGAAATGTGCAATTTGATTGGTCAAAACATTAGGACCAGTTTGCGTTTTGGCTAGCAATATGATTTGTTGATGCTTTGAAACATGATAACATTTAGTCAAATTGATGAAACTTGATGCGTAATTTCATTACGTTAAGCAGAATGTTTTATAAAAAGGTAAATGTGCTATTAATAAGTGTCCATTTTGGGATGGAGGCGTGGGACATCAGCTTGTTGTCATTCTATAAAATGTTTAATTTGAAAGAATACTTGTATCAGTTTAGGTGAGGGACCCAGTGATCCTATGCAGTTGCAATCTCTTTTGTACATGTATCAATGCAACTACACATGCATGACTTAAATAAATCATTAGATATAAATTGTTCACATTTAAGGGATTTTGAAAGGAGGATGGTACGTAATAAATGATAAGGATTGACGAACATCTGTCATTTAATTATATTTACAAGAGAATAATTTATTTGTACCGTACATGTATATTATTATATTTAATTGATCAGTATTAAAGTCATTGAGTACTTATATTAATATCTATATTTAGATACATTAAAACTCATTAAATAAATCATTTGCTAAAGGGTCTATTAACCCATGGACCTTATAATACATAAGGTCCATGATTAACCCAAAACGTTATGAAGATGAATAAAAAAGCCTGTCATTTCAATATCTTTTTGTAATGCTGTTGTTTCAGGGTTTTTTAAATATACATAAGATAAATAATACAACATTTGACATATTACACATTAACTTCTACAGTGAATTATTTAAATAGTGATTTTAATTAATTTTATTCTTCTGTCATTAAGTTAAACCAATTTGGAATTTAGTTCATCATTTATGGGATCGATTTTACTGTTGGATATGTGGGTTAAAGTGAGGTTGCTATAGCTAGTGCAGCCTAACCCCATAATAAAGTGAAATGAAGAATTTTTTGTATGATAGTCCAATATGTTCTTCATTTCCCAAGCTTAAGAAGAATATAATTGCAATTCATTGTTATGATTATTTTACTTTGAAAATATTTTCAGGCCAGTTTTAGATTTCGGTTTGATTCAGTGGAATTTTGGGCAATTTCCAAGAGTGATAGCACTGTGGTTATGTATGAAATCCAGTACTCTGGTCATCGTCTATCCTGTTTTTCACTTCTACGCCAACAATAGAAAACCAGGCAGGGCCAGTAAGTTAGAATTATAAGATTAAAACAGATTTTGATAATTCAAATTTTATTTTAAATAAGCAGAAGTAATTTTGGCACAATTGACTCAATTTATTACACCGAAAATAGTAAAGCATACATGTACAATATAATTTCTCGAATATTTCTGTCAAAACAGTAAAAAAAAAAAACACTATAATTTATGGCATTTTCTGGTAAAAATGCAGTGCAGCCAATAAACATTTTCCTTATTTAAATTTAAAAATTGTTCAATTTGAATCATTTTGGACAATTCTTATTTTGGTACTTTCTATTGTGTAAGGTAGAATGCCTATAATATTTACTTTTATTCTGCAAAATATTTGGCTTCTAAATAGAAATTTAGATCTTGTATCTGTGACAATTATACACTTAGAAATGTCCAAATGACCGAATTTTTAACTAAGCACCTTGTTTGTTTATAGTAATATTTATTTTAATGATTTTTATTTTTTTTCCTAGGATTATATGATTATATATGGCTTGGTATTTATATAATCTATCAGATGTGTTATTTGGTCATACCTCTGGTGTATTTATTTGATAATAAATTTGCACCGGCCTCATCTATTATTATAACTTGTGAACAGGTATGTGTATTATAGTACATGTTATATCAATTCAATCTAAGAATTGTGTTGAGTCTGTGAGTCAGGCAAGTAACCATGTCTCATTGTTCTAATGGAATGAAAAACTTGTACACTTTGATGTGCTTCTTTTATTATTGTTTAACATCTGCTTTCACCAGGAGTGATATCGCAGACATGTTGTCTTATTTCTATTATCTTAGCGCATGCACAGAGGTATTTCCTGTGGAAGGAATCCTGAGTACCTGGAGTAAACCCAGAAGTTTGAGAAGGTGCCCCTATCTCCAAGTCACGTACGCTCAAACCATGACTGCAAACCAGAATAACCTGCAAGCTAGAGCTCGAAGTGCAACACCAGACCACCTCTAGCATTTGAAGTTCTAGTAAAATAATGGTTTAATATAATGTGAAATATTATTTTATGTTTATATTTTTAGCTTCGTTTATTGATGAAGACTCATGCCTTTATTAGATCTAATATACCTCGTGTTATAAACTACAAAAAAAATGATGGTAAGTTTACTGTATTCTATAGGTCTATTGAAATATTAATATTATTAATTGTTAATTTGTTTTAACATGTTTTAATGTTGCCATAAGTACCAGTGTTGATAACTGTTGGCAAATCCGGTTAGCTGAATGCAACGTTTCTAGCGTAATGAGAGTTACTTCCCTTGTACTGTTTCTTGAAAAATTAGAGTAAAATGGTGATATGTCAGTATGAAAATGTTCAGCTAATGACAGTTTACCGTCCATATTGAATGACACTGATTCAGATTAGGTCGTTGGTGTAGATTTTGATAGTTTTGTAATAGAATTAGGCCTAATCAACACATTATTTGATGTAGTTCTAGTCTGAATAATTAAAAGGGATTCACAACAATTAATTTTTAGTTTACAGCATACAATTTGCATGAAATATCTAAATTAGAGTATTTGCCATAGTAATTTCTGGCATAAAATTCATATTTATGAAAATATTTTTATGAAAGGTCTATAATCTACAGTTGTTTTTTTAATGAGATGACTTTAAAATGTATATCTATATTATATTTTATTTTAACACTATATTGACCATTATCACATGAGATTTTATGACGTTATGACATCAAACCTCTGGGTCACGTAAAATTTAAATCTAGAATAATAATGTTAACAAACTATCATTAAAGGCACGGCAAGCCAGAGCGTTTGCAAATACTGTTATCTTTAAAGTAAAAAAAATGTACTATTTTAATGTAAGGACTATTGTTATCATCTGATTAAAAACATCCAAGTATAAAAAAATCCTTCATGAAAATCGACTGGATTGTACGAAAAAAATAGCACGATTATTATTACTTTTTTGGGATAAGTGATATAAAGATGGCAGAGTGAAATCAATACAAACCAATGTAAAATGGTCATAGATAAGGAATATAGAATGGCCGTAACTTAGGCTAGTATTGATCGATTTGAATCATTTTTGGACAGAAGTGTTTTAAGATTGTGTGCCCTTAACTTCAATATTTCACCTTCATTTTGACTGACATCCGTATGACGGGAGAAAATTTGTGTTTTTTTGTGACAAATAAGCAACAACAGAGAAATAAGTAACCTACCCCTGATTGCCTTTCTGATATGACTTGAGGTCAAACTGACAGGATGTTGACAGACTTTCATTTACATAGCTTGAACTGCTATAGCACACAGTAATTATTAATGTCAAATTTTACTATGTTCGTTTCAGATGGTGAAGAGAGAGCAGTTATTCCTGACTTTTCAAAATATTTATATTTTCTGTTTGCACCAACTTTGGTTTATCAGGATTCCTACCCACGGTTAGTCATTTTACAGTCATTTTTACTGAAAAAAACAACAAATCTTTGGGAAATCAATATCATTATGTTATGATGATGTTTTAGCTCTGAAAGTTTTCTAACACTGGCATGAACTGTTTGTCAGAATCTTGAATTTCTTGATTAACAAAGTGGAAACATGATCCAAGATTTTTCAGGAATCAAATTTTGTTTTAAAAATATTGCACGCCAAATCACAAACAAATCAAATATAATCGAACCTATCTCACACATGATTCAAACCGGGTTTTAAAATTTGAAAAATATTTAGATAAAACATTTATTATTATTTTCTTTTATTACTAAAGGCAGAGTTTGTCTTCCAATATTTTTCATTATTCATACAATGGTATTAAAATTGATTTAAGGTGAGCTCAGTTGATTTTTTTTCAAACTGAATTTACATATATCAAACCCGAAAAAATCATTCAAATTTCATGTTCATTGTATATTACAAGATTATTCAAATTACATTTTGTATATTACAACGTTATTCAAATTACATTTTGTATATTACAACGTTATTCAAATTACATTTTGTATATTACAACGTTATTCAAATTACATTTTGTATATTACAAGATTATTCAAATTACATTTTGTATATTACAAGATTATTCAAATTACATTTTGTATATTACAAGATTATTCAAATTACATTTTGTATATTACAATGTTATTCAAATAACATACATGTTTATGTTCATAAATCATTCTTTATTAAAAGATGAGAGCTGGTCATGTGGATCTGCTATATTGTTTTGGTTCAAAAAGTCCATGGAAATATGTGCTGTATTCGTGGAGCATTGTCATGCTGAAACGTGTACAGATCTTGATAACAAGGAGTAAAAATTGGTCCAATAGGGCCATCACGCACAAAGTCCTGCAGAACTGTAGTCATTGGCTAACAGTGACACCACTGAAAAAAAAAACATGTGGGCTCCTCACAGTAGCAGCCGGCAACATGCAATCCTGCAGGATTTATACTGACCCAAGATTTTTAAGGCCACATTTCATACCCTATCTATGCACCATAGAATTATGATTTTTAAAAGATTTTGTGTTTGAAAGAATTGATCTGTGGATAATTTTCGCAATTGTGAAAACATGATTCTCATCATGATCTGATGTTGTTACATTCAGAATTACAAGATTAAAGTGTATCTCTTAAACGAGATTTGCAATAATGTATTTATGAAATTGGTACTACTCATTACTGTATATTATTAAATGTAATATTCATTGAATATGATTAAAGATGCATTATGTCAGAGCTAAATCTGCCTATTGGAGGCCTTTGTTTTGGCTGTAAATGTTATATAAACTATTAATTAGACATTTATTCACATGACAAGTCAATAATAAACTCTCAACAGCATATTAATGGTAGCAGTAAATAGCAATACGCTATTCTTATCAAAACTTCAAACAGTAATAACTTTGCAGAATAATAGAAGTTTGACTTATATGTTCAATATATTCATTTTTAATTATTTATTTTTAAACTATTATAGTAAGAAATGTCAGCTCTTTGTCTAATTCTTACAAAAGTACGTCTTTAAAATCCCAATTCTAATTAAATTCACATTATTGTGATATAATAGAATATCAAAATGATACCTAACAGTATATTTCTTCAGTAAAATGACATAAAAATTGTACATTTTAACACTTGTATATGCCTAATTTTTGTGCTACATATTCTCGTCCTGACATTTGACTGAATGTTAGTTAAATTTCCAAGTTGCATAACATTTTACACAACTTTAGGTCATGTGACCAGGAAACATGTCAAGAGAGTTACCCACACTTATATTCATAAACCAACAAATTATCAGTTACATGTTTTTATGTACATATCATTGGTGCCTGCCTATCTTCGTGTCTGCACATCATATTATATATGTCTGTTGCTGTGCAATCTATAATCTGCATAACATTTGTCACCTCTGTAAACTCGAGCCAGTTGTGGTCTCATTTCTACAAATTGTGACAAAATGCTTGCCATTGGCATTAACTATAGAGGCCTCAGATTTTGTACTGTGGTGCTTTTATATTGGTAACAGCTTTGGATTCACTATGAAATGTATCATTATGTTCTTGTCTGTGTTTTGCTGTGCACATTTCCCACATTGGCTATTTGTTTTTCTGCCTATAGCAAATTGCACAAAGTACTGCACTGGCATGATAATATGAGATTTTGTCATCACTGTGTAAAATATTATAAAATAAAGAACAACATATAGATTAGGTTTTTAAAGTAGCAATGTTATTATTAAAATTTATAAAAACAAATCATGTCTAGTATTCTGCATGGAGCTAAAAATAAAATACTATACTATGACCATCAATCAATTTGTTGAATCTTGCAACCTCCTGAATTCTCAAATAAAATGTTTGAAAACTCGACTTCCTAACTTAGTCAACTACCAAAATAACCTTTATTTAAAAGTGTTGTTATCTTGAGAACTCCAAAAAGTACTGGCGCTTAAACTGTTAGAATTTCTAAATTAGTATGTATAGTAAGTTCCAAGTAGATATTAAAGGCAAATTATTCCATCTTATTACATAGAATCATTGCTACTTTAATACAGCTAATATAACTCGTATTTCATAAGAAATCCATTGATGTTAAAAAGAAATATTGTTTTATTTATTACAGGACACCATCAATCTCATGGAGATATGTTGTCAGTAATTTTGGTCAAGTTTTGGCGTGTATGTTCTACATTTATTATATCTTTGAACGATTCTGCGTACCAGTGTTCCAGAATTTTAACCGAGAACATGTGACACTGAAAGGTTTTATGTTGTCAGTATTTGGATGTATGTTACCTGGAACACTAGTTCTATTTATAGGTAAGACATTCAGCTTACATTTTGGTAGATAAAACAGTGAATGTTACATTTTGGTCAATAAAACAATTGAATTTGGTATATTGGTGTTGTCTGTTGATACATAAGATGTTCTGGAGTTACATTAATGCATACTCCTGGCAGTGTTTCGTTTGATTAGACCTAATCCCATTCAAGCACTACCGTAATGAAAGCAAATTTCTGTTCCAAATTATGACTGGTCAATAGTCCGATTAACAACCAATACCTAACTGTGGAACAATGTCATTCGGGTTTAAACAGAGCTCCACATTGTTTACATAACGTTACGTTATGACTCACAAAATATTTACGCACAATTAACCAGTGCATAGAAGAATATTGCAGAAATATCAACAGTTACAATGTAAACAATACAGATTGGAGTCGAACAAAGTACTTTCATCGTTTTTAATACCTTAAACCACTGTCCAAAGTTTTAGAGAAGACCCCAGATTAAACGAAGGGCTGTCATGCTGCTGTACTTGGGATAGATTTGATTAAACGGGAAGAATAGACACACTCCCTCAAAAGCTCAAGTATCATAAGTCAATCCAGCAATGGCCAGAGAGGGATTTCTCGGGCCATTGCTTCAGGAATATGCATTAATGTTGCTATTTGGTAGATAAATTGTTGATATGGGCAACAATCTGTTTTATGCCTCATTAAACATTTCGTAGGGGTTGTTTTTTTATTTGTTATACATGTATTTTATTTTTCAGGTTTCTTTGCTATTCTACATTCATGGTTGAATGCTTTTGCTGAAATGTTAAGTTTTGGAGACAGATTATTTTATAAGGTGAATGACTCTTGAAATTTAAATACCAATATGTTGAACAATTTTAATAATTTTAGTGGATACGATAATAAATATATTAATAGATGTCATATTTGAAAATTAGAGGTATATGTGACCAGCTCTGACTAAATGACAAAAATTGCAACAAATGGGTTTTTATTCTCCAACTATCTTAGTCAAACACTTCGTGTTTTGGTTTTTTTTTTTTTTTTAAAATGTATCTAATGGTGTATACCAACTTCAAAGCTAAATATCTCAATCATTTTCTTAGATAAACATATATGACAAATACCAATTAAAGGTCTGTTAATCCAGATTTTGATTTGTATCTTTAGATTTATAAATTACTAGTTTGTAATATGTTGGTGTGCTGTTGTTATTTTCTAGGATTGGTGGAATTCTACTACGTTTGCTAATTACTATAGAACCTGGAATGTTGTTGTACATGATTGGTTATATACCTATGTATATAAAGATGTATATTATGTAAGTCTTTTATTACCTACATGATTTTAAACATCTATAAAATAAAGCATGGGTATTTCAGTGATCCGGCTATGATCGGCAAATGATTCACAGGAGTTTTTTTTACAATAACTCTTAGATTTCCCAGATTTGTTCATTATATAGAACTTGAGTTCACAATATCTATTTTGAATGAGAGTAAATTGTCTACATTTGATATATGTTTTTCATGACACAAAATTTTCTTCTTTTTTTTTGACTAAGAGTGTATGATTTTTTTTTTCATTTTTCAGTTAGTTGGTGGGCGAGCTGGATCAATGGGAGTCGTATTCATATTTTCTGCTATATTTCACGAGTATATTCTAATTGCTACTTTTGGTTTCTTCTATCCTGTTTTGTTTGTTATGTTTGCTGGAGCTGGCTGTAAGTATAGATCTATTTTTTTTATATACCCACTTTTTATGTGGAAGTCCATTGTCTTCACATCAGTCAGTCTGTTCCACATCATCAGTTGTATCCAAAGATATATGTCACTGTCGCCAGAGTTTCTGAGAATCAATTTTAAAACTTGATGGGATAATTCAACTAGGCCTTACACATATCTCACAATTACATCTAGTCTCACAATTACATATATATATATATATATATATATATATATATATATATATATATATATATATATATATATATATGTATATATATATATACATATGTCTAACTTTTACATTTATATATCACGTTACATGCATATCTTACATGTAAGTCTCTTAAATATATGTATATGTCACACAATCACATCTACCCAATACCCCACAATACTGACAAATTCTACCATATACCATCACATACTACCTTATTATTGTGAAAAACTAACTCAGTGGTTGAATTATACCCACCAAAAATTGAGTTAAATTGTGAAAGTAGCAAAATGTTTACAATAAACTGATATACATAAATTTAATGTTTTGATTTCTGCATTAACATGTCTTTTCGTAAATTAGTAATACATATACAGCAATATTATTATTTTGTTTATTTGCAGTTGGTTTTATATTTTTAACTGATAAAGGAACCGCGAGAGGATTAAATGTATTTATGTGGGTAGCATTGTTTATTGGGACTGGATTATTAATGTGTTTATACAGTATGGAATGGTATGCCAGAGCTAATTGTCCTAATTCTACTGTAAGTACCTTTAATAATAACAATAAGCCAGATTAAGATAGTTAATCAAAGAATAAATTCTAACATGTTTGAAGGTTCCATTAGGTTCTATTGTTGTAATGAAGATATATTTACATATTGTTGATATTTGAACATTAGATTGATCAATGGTTGAAGATTACATTATGTTCTATTGTTGTAATGCACACATATTTACATATTGTTAATACAGGGCCGGCGGAAGCAATTCTTGATTGGGAGGGGGGCTTCCATCCTAGGTCCTTATAGGCGTGGGTCCAGGGGCCGCAATAACCTGGAGAAAAGAGTACGTACGGCCAAATTATTGGGGGGGGCTAAAGCCCCCCCTAGCCCCCCCCCACTCCGCCAGGCCTGTAATATTTTAACATATATTTGATTTGTATCAATTGTCATCACTAGCCTCTATTTTATTTGTTTTACTGTGTAAATATTATAAACTTTGGTATAATTTAAAGGAGCTAACCCTCTTTGATGAAGATCAGAATAAAGTATTGAAACTGGGTTGTTCTGATGTATTACTTTGATTAGTGATGGAACAAGGTCTATACCATTAAGTTTTAAAATATTAAACTTTAGTTTTCCTCTCCATTTTCAGGATAATTTCTTGGATTACCTCATTCCACGTTCCTGGAATTGTGATTTTACCAGTCTGAAGGCTAAATCTTAAATGATTAAGAGGAAGTAACTGAATATGAAAATGGAAAACCAAAGATAGGAACCATATCTCTGTTTATATAGATGTTGTTATAGTTTGAGGAATTAAATAGTCAAAGTTTGTTACTGTAACCATGACAATGATTTGTTATTGTGATATGGATGGTTACTTGATTATTAAATAAATCCTGGGCTACACATCTATAAAATACAAGCTGTTAATCTTAAACCATTTTTGGTGAGATTCGAACTCATTATTTGAATTTCTGGTCAAACGGACTAAGAGTTGTACATTGTATTTGAACCCATTAGGTACCAAATCTCCTACTATTTTTGGCGTCATTACCAAATCATCTTGATCGCCAGCTAGCGACATGACTCATGTTTATCGACACCAAGTGGCTGTAATAGTGGTTGTAGGAATAGCGATACGGTAAGTTACATGTCTTACGAAAACATTCTCAAGTGTTAATGTTTGGAAGAAAATTTACGCTGGAAATCGCATGTCTTTTTCATATGAAAGATCTTTCAGTTTTCTACAAAAAAAACCCTACATCTGATGTGCAGTATGTGAAATGTTATGAGCTCTTAAACATATATGTGATATTATGACACCATAGTAAAGAAGCTTCAGTAATTTGACATTATTTACAATTTTTTAGTACAGTTTCTGAAACGTTAATATATTTAGTGGCAGGATTTCTGCAAAAATATGTCATTTGTAAATAGTAAATTAAAATGTTTGTTAATGTATATTAATGTTTGTTGACACAAGATCTCCATGCTATCATCCATAATATTAATTAATAAATTATATTAGTTACTGTAAAATAAGACGTCAAAAGGTTAAATGAAGTCATATTAACTTCACTCTTGTGTTAACCTGAACATTGATTTCTTGTATTACAATTTAAAACAACCTGTGCCTTATTCTGAAATAATGTAACCCAATCTGATAGGCTGTGATATTTTTAAAGTTTATCCTGGCATAGAAATAATTGTGTTGTCTGTTTAAAATAATATTCACTTCTGCATAAGATTACAAGAAACATTCATCATTTTTCAGCCTAAGCTGCAGTATTTTTCAATGTGTGTAACTCAGGGCAGGCCCTGAAAGAAAAAGAAATCACATTACAATATATTTATACCTTTTCATGCTCAGTAAGCAAATATAGCTTGAATATTACATCACTATCACTGCCTCATCATGTTTAGGACGAAAACTACCAACTTTGTGGTTTTCCAAGTTAACTGTTTATTATTGCCTTCTTCTCAGTCCACTACTGAGTTGTCTACCCTTGGCAAGGATAGAGCTTCAATTGTGTTATTACTAGATGATCATACCCAATTTCTTTTCAATTGTTAGGTAACAATGTAGATATCATGTACATGTACTTGTATAATTTCTAATCAAGAACCAATTGGCCATGCTCTCATATTGTTTACTGCAACAAATATTTGTTAAAGTCAAAGCAGTGACAATTTGGACTGGATCAATCAAGGCTAATGTGTTATCAAATCTTTGATTATGTTCATATTGTTGTTCGAGGTATTCATTATGATTAATAAAACCAAACTTCTATACCTATGTCATTACTATGTAATGTATAATGTAATGTAATTTGAAAATGTAATATAGGATGTAAATTAATAATTATTTTTAGAATTATTGCAAGGAATAAAATGAATCACAATGGTCAGATACAAATTATTATTGTATATACCACTGATCAGATTTATGTAATTTAATAGATTACATGAATTTACATATTTTAAATGTAACTTTCTATTTTATCCTAAATTAAATTGATCTATATTAAAATAAATATATATCAATTTGATTGAGTAAAAAAAACATCAGTTTGATTTAATGTTTATAGAATTATAATAAGGCATGAATTCAAATCCTTAATGTTACCTATATAATTCAGTTATATATGAATTATTAAAAGTTCAGAAAAATTACCTTCCCCAACCGCCACCCCACCATAAACACAAACAATGAATCATTCATTGCATGTTCATAGCTGTAAACATAAAATTAATAGGAAAATACCAAGAGTTAAATCTGTCTCTGAATCAACCTTTCCATGATTCCTAATACTGGATCAACTTAGTCATGATTCTAATCTTGCCCATCTTCACAATGTCAAAGGTTCAAGGAAATCAGCTGTAACGTTGATTGTATTAGACAACTCTATTGTTTAAAGAAACGTTATCTTAATGCATGTAGACTGTTAATGAAGCAGAAACCCCGTTAATTTCAACGATCAAAACACTGCAGTTATGCAGAACCTTTTTAGTCTGGGTTTCAAATTTGTATTTGTTTTCCAATATTCATGTTTTTAGGGCGTGACTTACATGTATGCATATGCACTTATTACCATGTCTTTCAAAATCAAAACAAAGGCTAATGGGTTGATTGGTTGCTATTTTACAGGTGGAATCAGTCAACCAATATAAGGGCAACTGCTAGCATATTTTTTATACGCTCACATTTTCACGTGGATGTAGATTGTCGTTGCCCCTGACCATCTGTTCACATTTTGTTTGTGGACATTCTACAGGTCAGAATTTTTATCCGATTTTGACGAAACTTGAAAGATGGGGTTATATCCCAAAGATCTTGATGAAACTTAAAATATATGTTTATATCCCACATATCTCGGTTCCTTTCGATTGTGCATATTACAGTATGCTACTGGTGTGTGTATGTTTGTTTTACACACAATTTTTAACTTTTAGATAGTCTAATGCGAGTATACATGTGTAGTATAAGACAAAGAACCATGATATTGTGAAGATGAATACTGCCTTTTCCATTTGTATAAGTAACAATTGTTATATAGGTCTGTTTATTTATCTGTTTATTTGTTGTATTAATGTATCTGCCACTATTAACTCAGTATTGATGTAACATAATGTGCATGTATATAAATGTATATAAACCTAAATAAAACCGAAGACTGAAAAGGTATTGTTACTGGTGTTTTCTAAAGGGCAATGTACAAATTTGACGTAGAAATAGTTTTTATACGCCTACATGTTGATTTGGACGTATTATGCGGTCTGTCCGTTCACAGTTGTTTGTGAACACTCTACAGGTCAGTTTTTATCTGATTTCGACGAAATTTAAAATATATGGTTATATCCCAACGATTTCGTTTCCTTTAGATGTTGGCATGTATCCGACTGTAATTTCATGGATTATGACCCTGTTTGGACGAAAAGTCGTGTTTTAGCTTGCTGGCCGATTGGACTAAAGTGGTTTAATTCCTCACGTTCCTTCGAGATTAATTAGGTAGGTCATCGGGCCCGTAGCCACGGTGTGGCTATGGGATGGCTAAGCCCCCCAAAAAACTCGAATTAGCCCCCTTCCCCCAAATATTTCGCCGACAATAATGATATTTTTAGGAGTGTTCAAATTGGTAGGCGACTCGTAGGCTCATAGCATGGTCCACCGAGGCCTGCCTGTCATCATCACCTCCTGGTCCTTTTGTCTTGATACCATACGTGCGTTGTACATAACTACTGTGAGGCGTTTTGGTCTACTGCCACTGAACAGAGTGAACACGTGTACTCATCACACTCACGTACTCGAGGCTCGGCTCGTCTCGCGTAGTCCTACCGGCCTAGCATCCGACTCGTGTCCAGTGTTGCCATTTGCACTGGCGGAACTGGCAAAACATTTTTGAACGTTTTGAGATTGAGAATTCGATAGCGACGAAGACAAGACAATGGATGCATTTGTGATTTGAAAGAGACCATCGTCTTCTGATGACGTGACTACAACGTCTACCACACCGGCAGCAAGATCAGCACTAAGGAAGGGGTTGTCCACCTCATTACGCTATAGGAAGAAAAAATAGCTCAAAATTAGCTCGAGCTCTTGAGACTGCAAAATTTATCGCCATTTTCCTGGGACATGTCCCTTTAAACCCATAAAAGAGGCCCTGGTTTATTTGTTCCCCTACAAGGCGCCGGTTCAAATGTTTGCATTTGCCTTCACCCGATGTAGGGTTCCTTCGGGCGACTAAAATGTAGGTGCCTATTGTGTCTAACATAAGGTGCCTATCGTGCAGCCTATACTGTAATTCTATGAATAGAATAATAGAATACCTATAGTTTAAGACGTACGGGGAAATTTTTGACTGGGGGGGGGGGGGGGCGGTGGTGGTTGGTTTTTAGTATGTTACATAATAATAATAAATTCGCTGTTAAATTGGAAACATTCAAGAACGCAATATTTTTTTATACAACTTTTACAAAGTACAATTGTGTGGCCACATTTTCCCAGCATTTGGTGCCCAAAATGGGGGGGGGGGGGGGGCGGCCACCCCCCAGCCCCCCCCCCCCCCCCCAGTTCGTACGCCTATGCCTATAGTTCACTTGAATTTTGATACTACAGCCGTATTGCCCGGCCTAGAGTTCTCCGCATAAATCAAAAGACACTCTCTACTACCCTCAAGATGATATCGGCGGGAGGCGTCGAAAATTCAGCCATTTGCCTACACCTGATGTAGGCTGCCTACGGTTCGACTAAAATGTAGGTGCCTATTGTGCAGCCTATACTGTAATTCTATGAATAGAATAATAGAATACCTATAGTTCACTTGAATTTTGATACTACAGCCGTATTGCCCGGCCTAGAGTTCTCCGCATAAATCAAAAGAGACTCTCTGCTACTCTCAAGATGATATCGGCGGGAGGCGTCGAAAATTCGGCCATAAAACCCTGCCTGAGGCACTTCAATTTGAGGCCTAGGAATGCACTCAGATGCGAGGAGAGAGCACCAAATTTTCAAAATTCGGCGCTTCGCGGTGGCCGGCTTCACATCCTCAGCCCCTCCAAAAGATTCTATAGCCCCACCAAATTTTACGAGCTGGCTACGGGCCCGTCATGTTAGGATGATTACATTATAATGGCTGTTAGAAAATTAGAGATTTTTCACCTGTGGAACGCCTGGAAGATAAGCTAGTATCGAATAATGTTATTGCTTTAATTGAGCTACACCCACACCCCTACTGCTTACAGACTGGTCAATCTACTGGGTTTTATTAAATAAACAGTCACCGTTGAATATGGCATGCTTTAGATATAACACAGAGTTTACAGTCAACAAATAGACGCCCACCAGAAGCTGCATTTAAATGGTGGTTGTCAAAATTTGGGTGAAGGGTAGTATGTAATATTGTGAAGAAATAAAAATAAAGTTAAAAAGTAAGAAAAATAGTTTATTTAGGATATATAATAATAGATTAGTTGGTCATTTCTGAACATATTATGCATTTGAAAAAAAAACCCTCGATATTAAAAGAAATACGATGTGTAAGTCCAGAATCACCCTTCTTATATGTGAGATTGGCAAGCACTTCGTCAAGTACATGCGTAATGACATAATATCTATAATCGATTTGAACAAGCTACACATTTAGCCATACTGTTTAAAATGAAGGAAAAAGCAACAACGTAATACGTGTAAATTCTATCTGAACTAAACTACAGCGTTGTAAAGTAACACAACTTGCGTGTAACATTAACTATACCACAATCAATATTTTCTCATGGCTTCTTCCACACAAAACAGCTCATATGGTTGACTTTCCTCTAAAGATCCACCGACCCAGTCTAAGGCACATTTTCCATATACGCCTTTTCACCGGTTACATGGACTCGGTCCCATTACAAGCCGAAATTTTTGCCGGCGAAAACGCGTACATGGAAAATGGGCCGTACGTGATTGATTTAGGCTATGTTGGTTTAAACTTTCGTCCAAAGATTCTCTCCACTAAAAAGGTAATGGATGAAAGTCCACTATATATATATAATGTAAAATGAAACTAGAAAATAAACAGTTAATTAAAACGGGCCGCTACGACATGTTGTGTTTTTGAGTTGTCCATCTGCGATATGATCTTCATATGGTGGTACTCCATCTTTCATCATTTGATCACGAACCTGAAAAAAACGTTTAAATTTATATTAATTTTACTCTTCATTGATAAAACATTACATTGTACATCCATAGAACATTGGTTATACTCTCCGAACGCAATCTTATCTAAATTTGATGACCATATTCTTTCTTTAATTTTCTGATTCTTACATTGTAACCTACCTGCAGGTAGGTGTAACATTTATATTAGATAACTGTACTCCAAATAGTGATAGCCTCAGAATAAGTCCCATATACCCATTCCCATAATTCACCACAATACATAGTCATGCATACCAATGAAGTTGATTAGATAAAACTCTCACGTGATCTGAACGCCGACATCAAACAAATTTAATGTAGTAAATAAAAAAAATAAAAAAGAGACTAAATACTTATTCTGACTTTGATCAGATTGGTTCAAGCGACGTTGTAATGGCGCGTTCCGTTATCTTGACGATGTCGGCGAGATTGCTAATTTAAGCGGAAAAAAAGGTGTATCTGTTTAAACCGCAACATGTCGATGTCTTCTCCTTTTCATTCGTTCCTGTGGTAATATGTATCTATCATGAGAAATGCGACATCAATGCTGATTAACTTTATGAACGATAAACGCCATGCCATAAATTGACGGGTCAATACCACACCCTCTCTCACTTTAGTCATTTGATTTTACATTTTATATTCATTTAGTGAGTTCTTGAAACCGCCAGGACTTTTTTTCTCTTTTTCTTTCATGTATATCTCACCTCTTCTGCTTTCTTAAAAACTCGGAGAAGATTTTCACCAGCTAATTTTTTAAGTTCAACATCAGTCCAGCCTCGTCTAGCTAATTCAGCGAACAGTGCGGGATATGTGGATACATCTTCTAGACCAACAGGTACTCTGTTGAAATATAACAAAATATTGTATAGGATATTTATGAAGACTAATATTTGTATTTGCACTGTACTGAAGTAAAACACCAAACAATACCCCCGCTCGGTAAATTGAGTAAATGTTAACGGACTAGAATATAATATCACATTAAAGCGTTGGCCATGAAAATAAAAAACCTGCCCAAAGAAGATTTCTATGACTAATTTTACCTTTCCACGCCATCATAATCAGCACCAATTCCCACATGATCAACACCAGTTAAGTTTTTAATATAATCAATATGATCTGAAAAAAATGATTAATTATATTAAATTGTCATCATCGACAGTAATGACACAACAGTGAGGTGTACGATGGAAAAATACATAAATATTATGTCGACGACAATGGTGATTATTAGGGCGACGGGCCGATAAGTGGTGGAACAGTATACGTTTAGTGATTTGGGTTGATGCTTCCTATTCGATGCTTCATTCGTTTCTAAATTAATCTGAAACCGATATAGCGGTTTCTCGGCAAGGGTCAAAATAACCACAATGGTTCCAATTATTGTCGGGTCAATTACCAGAGCCACACATACTATATTACATTCCCACGTCGACATAGAACAATCAGATTCTCTCTAGGAGCCGTGATCATGTACACAGCGTATGTTATTAGGACTTAATTCAGTCGCCCATTATCTGTTAATTCCGCTCGGATCGAAACACACTATAAATTATCGAAAAACTTAATCGATGGGTATAACAGTTATAGGATTAAAAGACATATTAAGTTGTATCGAAGAATGTACTGGTATAATACTATAACGGATTCAAGTTTAGGAATACATCGTTCTATTTAGTTGTTGGGATCATTACCCACGTAAGGTTGAACTTAATATATGTGCTACTTGTAGTTTCTTGTATTAATATTATATAAACAAGGTTTTACAACAATATGCTGTTGCAGAGTTTCACTATATTAAAAGTACACAACGTGAAGAATGAATAATGAGTCCATCCATAGTGCAGTCAAAATATAAATTTTGTATTTAGTGTCATGCGCAGGACCAATAATGGTGCACTGGTACAGGTTTATCAAGTGTGGCAATAGTTCCTGAAACGATACTCTTCGTCGCCACTACTTAGGGAATATGTTCATTGTAAAACTTACCGGCAACTTGAGCTAATGTTGCTTCCGTTAAATTATTTGGAGCACAATTAACGTAATCTGAATAAAAGTTGACCATTACTACACCACCATTTTCTTTCTGGAATGAATATGAAGTAAGTGTCTTGTACGTAACTGTATCGATTACAAGGATACTATAATCGATTAATCATTTCTTGTCGTCAATCCTTGCAAACACTATTAGACTTAACCATCTACCTTGAAGCTCTGGTTTCTGATAAAACAACTATCGTGCCTTGCATGAGGCAAGATATGCTTACTAACATCTGATATGTGCACACTGAGCTAACGATTTTTGGTTTATATTGACCTCGTGTCGCTATATTTTATAGTATTTATGTATATTATAGTATTCGACGTTTTAGGCAAGTATTTGAGATGAAACGATTTTTTCGGTATCATCAACACTATGTAAGTAAGTTCATACTTTTCATGTACGTTTTGTTGAAAGTCATCCATGCGGAATGGTGTTTAGGTCTCACTGACACTCCACTGACGTCTTATGTATTTACTTGATGTATGTTAGTATCTATACATAACTAAGAAATACATAAATAACATACTTTTCATGTATGATTTATTGAATGTCACCAATGCAGGGTGATGTTTAGGTCTCATAAATAGCACACCAAGGTCTTATATATTTACTTCATTATGTTCGTATCTATACACAAATAAGAAATAAATGAATAACTTACTGTTTTTAAGAGTACGTTGTCTCTGACATTGCGGTTATGATTACATATCGCCCAGGCTGAAGAATGACTGAATATAACAGGAGCTGTCGATACTTCTAGAGAATCTAACATTGTCTTCTCAGATACATGGGATAAATCTACTAACATTCCTAATCTATTCATCTCCTTTATAACTAACTAAAATACAAAAATAGTACTTAAAATCATTAACAAACTGAAAAAAAACCAAAAAAAAACCCCACTCAGCTGCTTAACTCGTTTTGTCATAGGACTGCGGCTTTTTGTTCAGACACACCTTCATTTATGTACCCCTGCATTCATCATTAGCACACCAAACAATATCCAGGAACAGATGGCATCTACTTTTGTTTTATTGATTGAGAGCAAGAATTCGTATATCTATATCACCTCTGACATGATGGTCAACACGTTCATGACTGAGAACAATCTTATCATGACTAGAGAACAATCTTATCTTGACTTGAGAACAATCTAATCTTATTGGGTTATAACGTTTAGATACTGATGAATCAATATGAATTTTGATCGTTATATAGGTTATTATTACCTTGCCAAAATCTGTAAGACCATTAAGTGGTGTAATTGTATTATCAGCATTATCCATCTTCCAGTTATCAGCCCTGGAATGAGTATTCAATGAATTTATTCCTTTCTTTATTCAAAAATCAACTAATCTCTCGTCTTTGGACCCCGCCCTCTCTCCATCGACTGCACCAAGGCCCCTTTTAAATGCAGACCTCCTTGATATCGATGTCATTTAATATTATTTCTTTATTTGTTTATTTTGACAATAAGTTTTCGTTGAAAATTTTACCTCTTTAAAACACAGATTATCCAACATATTCTATAATGTTTCTTAAAAAGAAATTAAAGAGAGCCATTTACGTTATTTAAATCATCAATATGATCCATGACTGCCCATCAAACATCTTTTTTATCGGACATCGGCGTCCACAGTCATAGACTCTAACACAACTGCCTCCCGTTCGACGTCAACGAATAATAGGGCCTACTCTACGCATAAACCACATACAAATTTTTTTATTATGTCTAACAATTGGTTGAGACAAAAATGTGATTGAAATATGCATAATGGTGGTTTACTGGAGGATTGAGACAGCACTTCCTTAAGGAAATTACTCCCCGGTAGCTCATCTATTGATAGTACCCTCCCCCTCCCCTTCTGCATGGCGATTTTTGTTGTTCACTTTTTGGTATAGAATCGAAGAAGCGTTGTCTATTTGCATTCCCCGCCACGCTTTAGTGAATATTATATGATTTTCAGGAGGGAGGGGACGGGGATACGAAGACAAATGAGTGAAATCACGTACGAAAATGACGTCACAGCCTAGAGTTACCTTGTACCGGGAGTAAAAACGTTATCAGACAATTGTGTCATATTGTGTTCATTGCTTGCACTATATACACGAAAAAGTTACCACCAACGCAACCGACTAATATTCATTGTAATCGAAGACGGTGAGACTATTAGGCTGGAGCGATTGAGTCTTCAGAAAAATCAACACATACCATGGTGTATTGCAACTGTGAGTAATTGTCATGTATCTGACCCCAAGGTCATAAAACATGCGCAGATTACCAAGACTGCTATCTATAGAATGTCCACCTTCTAATCCAACCAAACTAGCGAATCTTTTAAATTTGAATTCATTCATTATTCCTGTTTGATAAATGAAAAAGTTAATTTATTTTCAAAGACATAAATCGATCATTTTTTTGTTTAAGGTTTTCAACGATGACAAGTTTGGTACTATGGCGTTATTTCAACAAGAGACAATACCATCCTGTTAACTTACTATTTTTATTAGTCTCTTGTTTAACCTTGTAGACCAATGAAAACAATCACTCATTCTGTATATAGTTTTGCAATGGTTAATGGTCTAATGATGCTATCAATGACAATAGATAAATTTTACTATGATGGAACTATTTCCCTGACAACAGCGTTTCAGCCTACTCTTTATCGAATTCAAACTGCCAAGGCTTCTTTCAGGTGCACGCTAGCCTAGCGTGTATACGGGACTCCACAACACCACTTTGAGAGAGTGTTCACAAACGGCCAATGTTAGACTATGCCCGTTTTAAATTCTCTCGGCTTAAGGAAGTAACATTTGTATATAAAATAATGGATAGTTTTACGAAACAGAAATATGCTACTTCAATAAAACGACGTTACGACATCAGCAACGCTATGGTATCGTAAGTTTCCTTTATAGTGTCTTCGCCTTAATGCTCTCCTAATGCTCCGTTATTAAACGATTGATATTTTACATGGCCACTATCAGCCACCATGTGTGTTCATGAATCTTTTACCCGTGCTTTGAGTATCGGAAGCAATAACTTACCATCCGCAGTTGTCACGAATCTGAAGACGTCTGGGTAACGTGCTACAAATTTCTTTATTGTATCCATTTGATCAAGAGACTGGCGAACAGCGTCTATATACTGGGAATCACATGGTACATACAAGGCCCAAAACTGAAACCATAACGTATAATCAGAATATAAATTCTGGCAATTTTATATTCCTACGTGCCAATATGGTCGTATAGGTTCCGCTAGCCCACAATTGTTTGTTGAAACACTACAGGCCGGAGATTTCCATGTTTTTGAAAATTGCAATTAAAGATGTAAGATTTAGAGAAAGAGCTGGCCATATTTTCTATGATAGTTCAATAATGAAAAATGAATATATTAAAAATTAATTTCAAATTAATCTATTCTGAGCGGAGTTACCAGTTTTTGATGTTTTGACAAGATGTAGCATGTATTGTTTATGATCGCAGCAACAGTACTTAACAATCGAGACTAAGTCTTGATTCACCAGTTTAAATTAATTATTAAATGGCGATCGTGTTTCAATCCATTTAAATCTCGGTCATCCGATGATATAGAGAGTTGATTTGTAGACTTAGCATGTGAATTTGTCTAAATAATAGTTTATATAACATTTGAAGCTACAATACAGACCTGTAATAGGTAGATTTTACACTTACATAATGCACCTTTAAATAAGACGCCCTTCAAACGGATTCCTAAAGCAACGTCACAAACGGACTAACTCATTTTTTTATCGGCAAATATTTTTTTAAAAATATGTCTTCACTACAATAAAAACGTTTCTCGAGATTAACACTGTTTATGATAATACAGTATACTCATTAATTTATTTGTCAATTCTCTATCATACTCCTCGCAGTGTTTCGTTTGATTAGAGCTAACCCCACTACTCACTGCTGTCAAGAAAGCAAATTCTTGTTCCAAATTATGACTGGTCAATATTCCGATTAACAACCAATAGCTAACTGCGTAACAATATCATTACGCTTTTTAAAAACAGAGCTCCAAATTGGACCAAATAATTATGTTTACATAACGTTACGCCATGACTCACGATTTTATTATGCCCAATTAACCAGTGCATAGCAGAATATTGCAGAAAAACTAATTGTGTGACAAACGAGGCTATCATCACGGATATAATTTTTAATACCTTAAACCACAGTCCAAAGTTTAAGGGAAGACCCCAGATTAAACGAAGGGCTGTCATGTTGCTGTGCTTGGGGATAGATTTGATTGAACGGGAAGAATAGACACACTCCCTCAAAAGCGCAAGTATCAGAAGCTAATCCAGCAATGGCCAGAGAGGGATTTCTCGGGTCATTGCTTCAGGAATATGATTCTCTATAAACCTACAGTGGTATTATTATATTCTACACTTAGTCTACACTTGTCGGAACAGTGGGGTTTTTTTTCGGGTTTAAGAGATTTTAAGTACGATTCACAAACGTACAATCTAGTTTGCTTGACCTGTTGGGACATATAAATATGCAGTTAACTTACTACTGATTTGTCAATATATTATATCATATAAAATGTTATAAAATCTGAAATGGCACAATCAACATAAAAACGTAAAATTATATTTGCATATCTCGAGCTTTAAAGAGCTAGAATGAATTTATTTGGCTAGGCCGCTCGGGGTTCTTTCTTTTTTTATATCTCTTTGTCGGGAATAAGAGATAGAGACAAATGGGGTTTAATTTTATTTCAATAATTCGCTTGCACGTGTGGGGGTGGTGGTCTTTAGCAGGGGGGGGGGAACCTGGAGAAAACTCACGAGGCTGGACAGGAGACCCTATTCCTTGTCAGGTACAACCAGAGAATCGAAACCACGCCATTTGACACAGTGACTGACCTTATGATACAAAGCACAGGCGTTAACCATTCGGCCATCCAATCCCCCGTCGGAAATAAGAATGTTACAAACTGTTTAAATGTAACATGTAACAAATTGCACTTTCAGTTCACTTGGTCGAATTTATTCTGGGAAATTGTTAAGGACCATGTCCAATTTTATTTATTTGCATATTTGCATCGCTTCGCCCGGCAACAACCTCGTTTGCACACCCCCCTCCCCACACAGACACTTGGGTCCGCCCCTACATGTACACACACATTATGAAATTACCTGTGCCCTTAATTGTCCTTGTTTTATTCTAGGTATATCAGTATGTGTTATATTCCATACTCCTATCAACGACTCGGCTAGATTAACTTGATAAATCTGATTTTGTGCCTGCTTACGGTACTGCCATGCCAGATCATTATGTCTGAAAAGAAAAACTGAAACAATGAAGATTTTATGCCTATTCAATGTTTATATTTTGCTTTCGAGAGAAACAACTACTTGGTCTTCAACCAATATGATGACTACTTAAATTCCAGTGTATATATGCGCTCTAATCGAAGTCTGGGAGAAAACATTGAACTAAGACCGTTATTTCTTCAGAGAGAGCCCACTTCTCGATTTAGAGTCATATCAACCCAACGTTTTGAAAAATATGAGATGGCAATTTGACATTCTTATTCCCCAAAATCAATATTTGCGTAACTGCTTTACAACGGTGCTTTATTTCTACACTCCATACTAGAATTTGTCTCTTTTATAGTGACTATTATTTTTCAATAAAAAGTTTATAAAAGGGATCAATGATGTTTATCCAGGCATCCACATGTCTTACACTATAAAACCAATGTTAATTTATATTTTTTGTTGAGTATATTCAACCTTGTAAAATCTTCAACACCAGTCTAATAAATATCAGTGGTTGTTTTTGTTATTTATACATTATTTATGATATTATGGACAGGTAGATTTTAATTACGATTATTTACATATGAAGCAGACATAAAAGGTAAAACTCTTTATTTTCTGGATGTCTGTGACCCTAGTAACTATATTTCACAAAATTCTAATCAGGATCGACCCCCTTGAATAAGCTACCCACACAGTTGCATCCGGAAGAGACCTGAATTCAAACCGAATAGATGGTGACATGTTTTCTTTAGCAGTGTTAACATAATTGCGCCAAGTTCGAACGAAGCTAAAATTTTTACAACAGTTCAAATAAATTTTAAAATTCATTAGAATTTAAGGGCAAAGATCGAAGGAATCGTCTAAGATACATAAAGGCGGTAGTCGGAGCCCGATAAAAGCCATTGTAATCTTTGAATGACTATAAATGGTAGAGTCGAAAAATACTAAAAAGTTTTTAAACAAAGGTTCTTTTTTAATCGTGTATGATCTTAAACTATATTACTTAAACCATTGACCATATAGACGGTCCGTGCTTAAACATACATTATGCAAGAGCTAAATCAGTCTATTGCAGGTCTTTCTTTAGGCCTGAAATATAAACTATTAACTAACTTATCCAAACCATAATCAACTCTCGATGTCATCTTATGTGTCGGATTTTCACTGGATTTGAATCTGGTCCTCTGCTCAACGCTCTTTGATGATTAAATCCTAATATGGATTATCGAGATTATGTTATCGTACCGACTTTAGTAATGTATAATCAACGAGGCTAGGCTTAAAATTCAAAGCTAATATCTCGGTTCATAGTGGATCAATTTGACTGCACTTTTCAACATCTTCTATTTACGTAATCTTTTTTTTAACTATTATAGCGAGAACAGTCAACTATTTATCTAATCTCCCATAATGTATCTTTAACCTTTATTTTGGCCTGAATAAAATATGCCTATTATTTCTGTATGTAAAGTAACATCCAGTATAGTTATATTTAAAAGATTTCTTCTTTTTTCCCCCTTAGAAACATGTTAATCGGGTCTAGGTACACATTGGTACATATTGTTTGAGGTATACAAAGGTGAGGTCGTGCAAATATGTTTTGGTAAGTATGTTACGGGACTATCTATTACAACGCCTAGTCCTGATCCTGTATTCCATGTAAATATAATGTTTATTATTTGTTCTCTAGCATTTAGATTTATGCATATCGGTAATATATTTAACAGTTTTATACAAAAAGGTGCATATTTGTGTAATAAATTCTGCCATTTAAACAGTATGGACAGGTTGCTTTTGGGGTTTTTTTTAAAGCCACACTTAACACACACGTATTTCCGTTAAATAAACTGTTTCCAATCGACCCAAGTAAGTAGACCTAACAATAATAATTAAGTAAACCAAAATACAAACAAGTAAGAAATAAAACACCAAATCAAATACTAGCTCTATAGCAGAGTGTTCAATGATAACTTAGTCGTGGAAGTTATGCACTATAAAAATATACAATAATAGTTGAATCCGGGGTTCCCCAGTATGTAAGCCTATAACTACCATTCGTAATTTCTACTTTTCGCCCCTTCAGAACGCGAAAGTCGAAAAGTCAAAAAGTAGAAAAATGTTGCGGCAAAATGTGAGGCGACAGCCCGCTATACAAGCCGAAATCGACTCGATATGATAGCATGTAGGTAAAACCATAAGTCTTTATAATGTGATATAAAGCCCACAAATGAATACATATCACAACAATAATCTGAATAACAATAATAACATAATGTGAACAATGTCTTGTTTTTGTTGTTGTCCATAGAAATTGTTTACTTTTCTTAAAGTGAATACATGTATATATTAAGCTAATTTCGGCTCAGATAGGTTATTATTCTTCCCGCTTCTAGTAATCCGAATCTTTACAACTACAATTATTATCGCATATTAGTATCTCCATTTTCACTAATATGACGTATAAATGGCGCACATATTTTACACAATGCAGCTCTTTTTATTTCGGAATTTAATTGGCGTAGTACGTTGAGTCTATTGCAGGCTTTTTTAAAATGAATTTTAGAAATAATATGTTTCGACCACATTTCGTTTGACCAAAAAGTTAGATCAAAATGACAGTGAGAAGTAACTTTGCTAACATGGAGGCTTTAATGTTTGACTCGAAAATAGGGGAAAAAAACACACCGCGATAAAAGTGCGCGATAAAAGTGCGCGATAGTAGCGACCCTCGTATGTATACAAAACACACAAAAGCTGATATTTGTTGAGGTCAATTCTATAGAAGTAAGCTAAGAAATTATCAAAACAAGATAAGCTGAGACCATGTTTGAATTTGTTTCGGCTAACACACTAGTGTTGTCTGGAGACTCAACCGTGTAATTTTATCCACAGGTGAATAAGGGCGAAAGTTATTTTTAGTCTTTCTCACGCTTTCCCTTTTCACCCTTTTGCATGGCAATCTTTGTTGACTTATTGGTGTAGAATCGAAGAAAGGGGTTTGAATATACATGTTCTGCCAGGTTTTAGTGAATATTCATGATTTTGAGGCGGAAGGATAGGAGAGTTAAGAGGTTGATTAGGTTGAAATGTATGGCGAAAAATTGACTGTTATGTGGTATCCACTTCAGTTTGTGTATCTCAAGTTTTCCATGATGAACCTCATACGTAATTTTGAACAAGAGGTTGTCCCATGTGGCAGAAAGCGTTCTACCCAACGAAAATTTTGGGAAAAATTAGACCAGGTCTAAGAAACGAGAATTAACATTAAAGTCACTGGGAAAAGCATTGGTGATCCGTGGCCATATACAAGCTAAGGATTCAAATGATTATACAATAAACAATGTTAAATTGCATACATGAAACATATTACATCAGATTGATCAACAGTATATTCCGTTGGTCGCTACTTTCACCAGATGTAAACAAAACACGTGCTATCAAGGCCGTGTGATGTGAGGTCATACGTAGACCTATAATGCAGTCATCTTCTACAGATATAAAAGACGGTTTTCACATTAGGGCTGTAAAACAGATTTGAAACATAATATGTTTAAATATAGAACACTTCAAAAGCGTCTGTTGACTATAATTACATAAATTATGTTGTTAAGTTAAAGATACATTATGTAAGATTTAGATAAAGAACTAGCCATTCTTGTTATAATAGTCCGAAAGTAGATGATGTAAAATGAATAATTTGAAAATTTCATTCAAATTACTCTATTGCAAGCGAAGATATTAGCCTTTGACAAAGCCTTTGAAGGTTTGACAGACGTGTGCAATAATTTCAACCACCGTACTGGTTGATCGAAGCTAAGTCTCGGTCCTCCAAATTTGATTAAATCAAAGTATCGCTGAACCATTCTAATCTATTTAATATCGGAGAAATCTGATGCCATCGAGAGTTGATTAAGGCCTGGGTCAGTTAATTAATGTCTAATTAATACTTTAGAAAACATTTCAGGCCTAAAGAAAGACCTGCAATAGGCAGATTTAGCTCTTGCATAATGTATGTTTAAGTAGGATATTAACTCAAACAGTTGAACACTTAACGATTTCGGACATTGTTCAATTGTTAGTTTAATTTTAACCAAAACTGAACAATTATAAAATTGTCCTATAAAAATACACCATACAGTTAGCCAGTTTGTGTACATTAATTTATTGACAATAAGGAGCCTCGGGCTTTTCCAGTCCCAGTTTATTACATTTATTACAACACAATTCAATAATCTTAATCCATATATAATGACTTATAATGTTGGAATTAACTACAACTAAATTAAAGTTCGATAAAAATAAAAACGAAAATGATTACAAATCAACGGTTGGGAAAGTACAGCAACCATTTGTGGTAACAAGGAAACTTGATCTGTGGGAATATATACTCTTCAAAAAAAGTAGGGTATATTGAAATGCAAATACCTATATTATGCAGGTTGTGATATGATAAATAGTCATGGACACTTGACATGCTTTGAGAGTATGTTCACAGATGAAGAACTTATCGCCCCAACAGAACCACTGAGCTGCACATGCGACACGCAATAGCGCCATACACGTGGGAGGGGTTCATTGTCAAATTTGATACATCAAGGAAGAGTTGATGAAAACTGTCGCTTGCTGGTTTATCCTCTCCATGTTTGATTTCCTATCGGTTATTGCATAAGATTTACTGTTTAGCGTATCTTTGCTTTAGTGTGTTACGTTTAATTCGATCGGGAGACGTGTTCGTCGACGTCAACGTCAACCGACAACACTGCAAGAATTGACCGTGGCACTGCAAGAGGAGTGGGTCAGATTGCCCCAAATCGTGATTGGACGGTTGATTAGGAGCATGTCACGGCGAATTGCTGAGTGTCTGAGGATTGGTGGAGCAATTACTCATTATTAAGACAAAAATCAAAAACGTCCATTTCCACTTTTGACGGTGTATCTCATTGCGGGTGAAATGGGGTCGTTAGATAAGCCGCCCATATGAACTTTTTATGTTCATGTGTAGGCAATTGGCCTGTTATTAACATGCACTGGTTACTTCTAATAAAAACAGCAGTGCATTTCTGCAGTTTTGTATTGTTTTTGAATATCCCCTACTTTTTTTGAAGAGTATATTTTGTATGTTTTAGTGACGTGAAAACTCGTTCACGATGTATAATTTATTAACACGCCTTAAAAGGAATCCATCTTGTAACCTTTTAATTTATTCGAAAAACCTGTATTTTAAGGAATGTCTAGAATTCTATATGGATTCAATACCCGAAATACTGAATCTAGGCTCTGGTTACTCCGTGAGCGAAACCCACCCGCCCCGAAATAAATACACTTACCCATCAATGAGTGGAACGTCGTCAAGGACTCTTTTAGCACGTGCAAGGTTTTCCTCGTCAGTGCTTCGTTTAGAAAGTGGGATTCCAACAGCTAATCCAATGACTATAGCTAATACAACGAAACCAATAACTCCTCCAATCAGTAAACGGTTTTTGTTGCAGCCGCCGCCGCCACCAAACGTCAGGGGTTCCTTTCCACTCATCTTGGAATGTTAGCTGAAAATAAACAGAAGGAAAACTGTAATAGGTCGCGTCAGATCTACGTTGCAAGGCGATGGCGTAGTATGTTGACCAAAACACATACCAAGTGCCCATTTTCATCCACTTAACAAAATAAGAAACCGAAATAAAATATTTACTAAAGTTAAGTTAGAAATGAAAAATGGGTTTACAGTGTTAGCTTTCTACAGTAATTAAGACTCCTCGTAGTGTTAGGATCATTGGTTAAATACCCATTTACACCAGACATATGGGTCTGAACTCGACATGTCGATACTCTCTAACTGAAGAATAACTGGTTGTATCTTTTACGCCTTGATCAAATTTTTCTTTTAACTGAATGTTCGCGATCTACACCTTGTGACAGCTTCTTTCTTTTCTTCTTGAATTAAATACTTAATTTGAAGACTTTTGGGAAAGTTGTATTTTTAAACGTAAATACACCCCCGAATTGCAGTTGAAAATGTGGAAAGGATCAACAGAATTATTAAACTAAAACAAGAAAATCTTTAAAAAAAGACATATATCTCAAATAGCATTGCGTAATTTAAATATGCTCTCTACTTTATTATAGATTTTGTAGATTCTCTAACTAAATCCGTTTTCACTATAGCCCTGACGCAAAACATATCACACATCAAACCTCATCTTTTACTGCAGTCAACGTCAATAAATTACTATGAAAATATTAAAATCTTTTCCTCAATTTCTTCAATTTTTGTAAATACCATAGTGTGTTAGGGCCTTAAAAAATACAAACACGTCGCCTTGTACTTTAAAATTTTTCCATGTATACGTTCGTTTGTTTGTTACATGTATAGACTGTACTAATGTCATTTATGCAACTGTATGCAGCTCCCCGTGGGCGCTTATATGCAATAATATTTGTATCTTATCTTAACCAGTAGACCGTAAATACGCGCGTTTCAGTCACAGCGCCCTACCCCTAATCAGTTAGTTCCTATTAGCAGCAATATCATGTAAGCACCGATGTAAACGCTGTGTTTGAAACGTCGATCTACCCTGTAGAATTTACCCCATGTATTTAAAATATATATTAGTACGGCTTACCTCAAAATGTCGGTATTTCTCTGCAGTAACACAGCTTCTAGTATGAACACAATCCACTTAACTCTCAGAATCAACTGTCGACGCACTGTACGTAGGGAGCTAAATATGATCTTGCGTTGAAAGTACTTTTTAAAGTGGCATGACACGGTTAAAAACAGTGTGTTAATTTCAACATATAGAAATGTTTAAGTGCTTATTTATTATAGATATTTTTAGATAATATTATTTAATGTATTAATTAGCCAGTAGCTGATAAGATGTGGAAACACGGTGGTTACGAACACTATCATTTCAAGTTATCTACCACTAAGTTATCTACCGCTGAGTGCAAATCTTTCTTGGCATCAGACCTTAAATTATCTACACTTCGTGCGCTGTTGTGTTGATTCAATCGAGAGACGAGAATCCTATATAAAATGGTATATATATAATATAACCTTGATATATGATACACTTCGACACATCTGGTTAGTAGACACTAACATGTGAGACAGTTGTCCTTAAGACATCTCAGTGGTTACTAGGGCTTATATAAATATACTCAGACGTATATCTTTGAATTGTATATAAACAAAATTTCTAAATATCGCAATTAGCTTAAATTATTATGAACACTAAAGTTTTTGTGAAAACCTCACCGTGTCCCTTTAACTATTTTACTGTAGCTGTAATGTTGATAATATATATATGTGCAAACACGTTCATTGTAATATCACAGCCAAGTTCGCTTCAGCTTCTCTCTTTTACCTACTAAAAACAGTATAATACTAATGTTAATATTTGCTATGTATACAGATGACCTGAAATGTGTGCGTTTCATCCAGACGGAAATAGACCACAAGTCAAAGTGGAATATATTAATTTAAAGTGACACTAAAATTGTGTTCTTCATTTTGTGAAAAAAAAAACCTACTGATTAAGTCAAAATAGGTTATTACAGGCCCGGCGGAGTGGGGAAGGCGCTTGTGGGCAGGGGAGGGGGGGCTTTACCCAATAGTTTGGCCGCAAGTACTCCTATCTCCAGGTTATTGCACGCAAGTAATTATGCGGTTAGATACGAGGCCTGAATTTAACATCGATCTATATAGTACGTAGACTTTCAGAAGAAAACCCTGCTATGCTCTATACTTATCTTTTGGTTGAGAGACCCCTAGTTGGGAGGGTCGCGATTAGTTAACTGAACAGTCGATCTTTATTTCAACCCAATCTCACTCCCATTGTATCTATCACAGATTAGGTAATTAAAAAACGAAGAGGTATAGTTTTTTTCACTCTCTTTCCTTGTGTCCTTTATCCATCAAATAATTCACTGCTATGGGGAAGAGGTAACATCAATAGGGCTCATCCTCTCATTCAAGTTTCCTTAGAATGTGACAACAATTGTATCCCCTCTGGAGGGCCTACAAAATTCATACATATTTCACATTGATTTTGTGTAAAAAGCAAGGGTTATAGCTCTACAATGTAAGGTCTGATTCGTACCAAAGTCGAGCACATCCAAGAACTTTTGATCCTTAACACATAGATAGTCCAAAGGAGCTAAATCGCTAATATTTGGGACCTAGAAATTGACACAAATGCGTCACAACGGATATAATAATGTGTAATATGAATGTATAAAAACTGATTTACATTCAATCGTTTCCGTTTTTACTCTAATTTCAAATCAGTTATGTTCAGCGAAATACGCCAGAAGTCTCAATCGAATAACAATCTCTAGCGCCTGGTTATTACAGTCTACACCGACAGTATTTATTGCGCATGCTCTCCAGATAAGTATATGACGTCGCCGTTTGGCATGACTTGTTGTATATGTCTTGCCTCTTTCTTCAAGTCCCTTGTTACAAATGGCGCTGAAACGCATAATGGTACACGATTCGTGTACCAATGGTAAAATGTTTATTTTGTCTTGAATATTTGATATCAGAAGCCCAACATCAATGTTGATTTAAATTGACAAATAATTCGTGTTTTCAATGTCTAAGACTTTGGATGATATTGAGTTACTCATGAATCGGACAAAAGTTGTCGCCTCTGGAAGGTCCACAAACTTCATTCTAATTTCACATTTTGCGTAAAAGGCAGGGGACCAATGCGCACCAAAATTGAACTCATCCATGAACTAGTCATACTCGGTTTAAGTTTCATCTAGATCAGATAAAAATTGGGACCTCTAGATGGTCCACAACCTGGTCATGACATGCTTTTATACTATTTGGGTGAAGGGGGCGGCCATTTGACTGACAGTGTCGTTTGGATTTTCACGAAATTCGGGCTCGACCATAATTATTATGCAACGGTGATGTATTTGAACGGGTTTGAAAATAGGATAAAAAATGGTGACATCTGGACTACTGTTTGGACTACCAGTGCTTTGTAAATATTATATTTGAACTACCGTTTGGAATACCAGTGCTTTGTAAATATTATATTTGAACTACTGTTTGGACTACCAGTGCTTTGTAAATATTATATTTGGACGACTGTTTGGACGACTTTCAGTGCTTTGTAAATGTTATATTTGGACTACTGTTTGGACGACTTTCAGTGCTTTGTAAATATTATATTTGAACTACTGTTTGGACTACCAGTGCTTTGTAAATGTTATATTTGGACGACTGTTTGGACGACTGTCAGTGCTTTGTAAATATTATATTTGAACTACTGTTTGGACGACTTTCAGTTTCGGTCCGCATGCCGTTGATAATAATAAAGTAAGGCAGTAAGCCTATTTATTATTTTTAGCGGTTTATTATTTCGTGCACATCCTTTCTATCTAATAATTATGTCAATAAACATATTTTACAGGACCCAGACGGGGGTACAGGTTGTATGGCACATCTGAATTCGCGTGTGAACAAATTGATGTATAGTATGTTAATACAATATGGAAGAGTATCGCTGCCAATATTAAATGCTCTGCGACAATGTCGTTTTCATTGATAATATGTAAAAAGTACAATGCACAAAGTCCTAATACCGATAATGATATAGTCAAAATACCTCAAAGGCAAGAGTTAAATGTAAAACGTCAAATATTAAGTGTCAAATGACAAATGTTTTGTAAGAAAATGCTTTTATTGACGTGTATACATTGTACATCTCTCACATTACATTTTACATCTGTGCTCTGCCACATCTCATTTGTCCTTCACGCTTTCTACATATCATCTTTCGCACAGCAACAACTTTCAAATGCAAATGTAGGATACCACGTGACTTACTAACATATACATTATAGGAAACCACATTCAGTGTTTGCGAATGTAATTAATTTAAAGTTGAGTAATTGATCTTGATAAGAATTGTGTGTTTGAATAATTATACAACCTTTTGTTATTGTGCATGATAAGGCTTTTCGAGGAGGTGTGATAAGGCATGTATACTTACTTAAGTATGACTCAACATAGGAACGTAATATTTATATACCGTAACAAAACTTACAACGGTTTACATCAACAAATGGTTAATAAGCGACTTTCTCATCAAGAAATCGAATTTTTTGTTTCTTCTTATAGCTTTTTCTGCTCATTTTGTCAGAATTGTATCCTTCAGTTCATTTTCCGTCAATGGTTTCGCGCGTCCTTTATAAACCTTTTCCTGGGGCTGCAGTGGCCACTGATCCTTTTTAAGAAATTCTAGGGTAGACTGTTTTTAGGTTATAGTTACATTCATTTGTGTGGAATAGTACTACCTAAGTTCTGGTCACTTGTATTAGGTTGGGGTCTGTGTGTGGGGGGGGGGGGGCACATGCTCAAGGTCCAGGCCCCCACCATGGTTAATCCGGCGCTGCTACGAACACGCATTCGTGTACACAGGCAACAAAGTATACAAATAAATCCCATTTTGAAAGTTTCTAAATATCAATAAGTAAAAAAATACGCCTAGTTAAAAATAAAATCAACCACTTTACTTTATTGTCATATACATCAAATCATAAGCTAGCTGTCTGTCTTGTCTTAACCAAAGGTTATAAAGTATAATATAAATACATAATATGACATTAATTTACATTGTTGATACCAGTACAATACAGGAGTAATGAAATGAAATGAATGTCCTTATATTAATTATGTAATCTGGCTAAAAACCTAACCTTTCGTTAACCTCTATCAGTCTTATTACCTACTAATCGATAATAACAATAGGTGGTTTAAAACCCACTTATGTCGTATCGAAGTAAAAAGTGTAAATATTATTTAAATTTATTTGTATATATATTTATATATTCTTTCAATACTTAACTTTACAAACCCTACAATGTTGTATTGTAACACATTTTGCTTGTAAAACAAATTGTGTTTTCTTAAAAAAAAAATCGGAGAAGATTTTCACCGGCTAATTTTTTTAAGTTCGTCATCAGTCCAACCTCATCTAGTTAACTTAGTGTACAAATGTCGAAATGTGATAACAAATGAAGAAATAGCAATTAAGGACAATAAATTAAGAACTAAGAATTAAGAACACCAAATAAAGAGCTGGGTTCCTCCAGCTAAGGTTGCAAAAATATTCTTGGCATTCGGAAGTGCATACTCTTGCTCCTCTAAACACGTATTCACAAATCGTTTTTTGAAACGCATCTATCTTAAGTTAGGATGAAATTTTAGTTTAAGACGATTTTTAAGGACATTTAAGTTTTTGTGAAACAGGGCCCGGGTATCAGACTTAGGAACCGTAAAAATATAGATGTTTCCTATTTTGAGTATGCCACTTTTTAAATCACAACATTAATTCCAAGGCGATTTAATTCATTGTCTACAAGACCGGTTAGAACACAAGGAATTGTTCTATATTTAAACTACTGGATACTTTTTAATATACAACTGTAACTCTGTATCCTTCCTAACTGCATCTACACGAAAAACATTAGACAAATCTAATTTAACGTTCTATAAGAACACTTGTTTGGGTGGTGGCGGTGTCCACAACAAAAGTATCTCGAAATATTATGGCCTATTACCAGAGGTCGCAGTTTTTGTCCGATTCAGATGAAATTGAACATGAATGTTAAGGATCAAACGAACTTCATTTTGATGTGCATCAGACCCTCTTTTCTAGAGTTGTGGGATCTGCTTTTACCCAAAATGTAAATATGTACAAAGTTAGTGGACTCTCCATGTTTGTCCGATACAGATGAAAATGGAGGATGATTCCTATTGATTTCCCTGTTTTCCATCCATCTTTTGCAAAACGGTGGGCGTATGGCAACTGCTTGATGAATAGTCAAATACATTTCAGTGGGATCTTGGTTGGCCGAATGTTCTAACGTGGTTTAATTCCTCACTTAACATACGTTCCTTCGAGATCAATTAACTAGGCCATCTAGTGCAACATTAAAACTAAAAGTATAATATTTAATCGTAGGTAAAGAAATATGTTTATCTTTAATATAGAAGAGAAGGGTTGTTTATAGTCTGGCAATACGAAACCAAAATATTTTAAAACAGCTTTATGATCATCAGTATTTTTGCAGAACATTTAGTGTTCCTATCACTTTTGTATCTAGTGCGGTATTTAATGAAAATATTGACAAGTTGATTACATTATTATGGCTGTTAATAAAATAGAGATTTTTCACCCATGGATCGCCTGGAAAATAAGCTAGTATCCTATAATGTTATTACTTTCCATGAGCTACACCCACCCCCTACTGCTAACAGACTGGTCAATCTACTGGGTTTTATGAAATAAACAGTCACCGTTGAATACGGCATGCTTTAGATGTAACACAGAGTTGAAGGTCAACAAATAGACGCCCACCTGAACCTGCATTAGAATTGTGGTTGTCAAGATTTGGGTGCAATACTGTGAAGAAATAGAAATAAAGTTAAAAAGAAAGAAAAATAGTTTATTTAGGATATAAAATAGAATTCTGAACAGTATGCCCCTGAAAACGCGTGCATAGAAAACAGATTTTATGTTATTGATTTAGGCTACGTTGGTTTAAATGAATTGATAAAAGTTAATCAAAATGAAACTAGAAGATAGACAGGTAATTAAAAGGGGCCGCTACGACATGTTGTGTTTTTGATTTGTTTATTCGGGATATGGTCTTCATATGGTGGTACTTCATCTTTCATCATTTGATCACGAACCTGAAAAACGTTTAAATTTATATTAATTTTACTCTGCATTGATTAAACATTACATTTTACATCCATAATACCTTAGGTATACTCTCCGAACGCAATCTAATCCAAATTTGATGACCATACTCTTTCTTTCATTTTCTGATTCTTACAATGTAATCTACCTGCATGTAGGTGCCATGTTTATATTAGATAGTCTTCCAAAAAAGTAGGGGATATTGAAATGCAAATACCTATGCAGGTTGTGATATGATAAATAGTCCTGGACACTTGACATGCTTTGAGAGTATGTTCACAGATGAAGAACTTATCGCCCCAACAGAAGCACTGAGCTGCATGTGCGACACGCAATAACGCCATACACACAGGAGGGATTCATTGTCAAATTTGACACTTCAAGGAAGGGTTGCTGAAAACTGCCGCTTGCTGGTTTATCCTATCCGTGTTTGCTTTCCTATCGGTTCTTGCATAAGATTTACTGTTTAGCGTATCTTTGCTTTAGTGTGTTGCGTGTAATTTGATCGGGAGACGTGTTTGTCAACGTCAACCGACAACACTGCAAGAATTGGCCGTGACACTGCAAGAGGAGTGGGTCATATTGCCCCAAATCGTGATTGGACGGTTGATTAAGAGCATGTCTCGGCGAATTGCTGAATGTCTGAGGATTGGTGGAGCAATTACTCATTATTAAGACAAAAATCAAAAACGTCCATTTTCACTTTTGACAGTGTATCTCTTTGCGAGTGAAATCTGAATGCCGACATCAAGCAATGGTAAAAATAATAATAATAAAACGAGACGGAATAATAATTCCGAAATTAGTCAGATTGGTTCAAGCTACGTTTTGATGGGGCGTTCCGGCTTTTCACGGTGTCAGTGCGATTGCTAATTTAATATTGCGTTTAAGCGGAAAGAAAGGTGTATCCGTTTTAGTCGCAACCTGCCCAAACTGATGATTCACTACCGCACCCCACCCACTTTAGTCATTCGATCAAACATTACATTTTACGTCCATTTGGTGTTTTTTTTTTAAAAAATCGAAATGAAATTTATCTCGTTTTTGTTCATCTATATCCCACCTCTTCTGCGTTCTTTAAAACTGGGAGAAGATTTTCACCAGCTAATTTTTTAAGTTCAGCATCAGTCCAGCCTCGTCTAGCTAACTCAGCGAATAGCGCGGGATATGTGGATACATCTTCTAAGCCAACAGTTACTCTGTTCAAATATAACACAATATATTACATGGGATCAATATACATGGGATATTTATAAAAACTAAGATTTGCAGGCCAAAAACTCCGATCGTAATACTGAGCAAATGTAAATGGACTACAATCACATTAAAGAGCTGGCCATGAAAATAAAAAGCCCGTCCTTCCAAAGAAAACTGGGGGGTTCGATGGTGTAGTGGTTTGAAATCAAAGGTCTGTGATTGAGAGGCGTGGTGTCGATTCCCCGCTGTAGGGTCGCCTGTCCAACTTTGTGGGTTTTCTCCGGGGACCCGCCACTTCCTTCCACTGCTGAAGGCCCCTACGCCCAAGCTAATTATTAAAAAAAATCGAACCATATCTTAGTCCCGAAATGACCTAGTTTGCGTCGAGTCCTATCTCTCTCCTCAAAATAAAACTTCTGAGACTAATTTTACCTTGGCACGCCATCATAATCAGCACCAATTCCCACATGATCAACACCAGTTAAGTTTTTAATATAATCAATATGATCTGAAAAAAATGATTAATTATATTAAATTGTCATCATCGACAGTTATGGCAATGACACAACAGTGATAAATATTATGTCGACAATGGTGATAATTAATGTGACGTACTAATAAGTGATAGGTCAGTTTAGTGAGTTCAGTTAATGCTTCCAATTCGATGCGTCATTCGTTTCTAAATCATTTCTGAAACTGATATAATGTTTTCTCGGCAGTGGCTGCCTTTATTATTGAGTCATTAACCACAACTACACATACTATAGTAAATTCCTATGTCGACATGGAACAAACAGACTCTCTCTGGGAGCCGTCCCCTGGACACAGCGTATGTTATTACGACTTAATGCAGTCGCATCTTATATGATAATGCCGCTCGGATCGAAAGGAACTATAACTTGCCGAAAAACGTAATCGATGGGTATAACAGTGATAGGTTTAATAGAAATACTAAGTTGTGTCGACGAATGTACTGATGTAATACTATAAGTGTTTCAAGTATAGGAATACGTTGTTCTTTTTAAATGTTGGGATCTGTACCCACATAAGGTTGAACTTGGTAGGGTGATGCTATAGTGCTACTTATAGTGTCTTGTATTAATGTTATAAAACACAAGGTTTTACAAAAAATGCGCTATTGCAGAGTTTCATTATATTAAAAGTACACAACGTGAAGTGCAGTCAAAATATAGAAGTCCACATTGAAATTCAAGAAAGAATTGCAAGATAGTCACACACTAAATCTTTATAAGCAGGCGGTGCAGGATAGTGGCACATAGTGGTGCACTGGTTTATCAAGTGAGGCAATAGTTCCTGAAACGATAATTTTCGTCGCCACTGCTTAGTGAATATGTTCATTGTAAAACTTACTGGCAACTTGAGCTAATGTTGCTTGCGGTAATTCATTTGGAGCACAATTAATGTAACCTGGATAGAAGTTGACCATTACTACACCACCATTTTCTTTCTGGAATGAAATGAAATGAAATGAAATGGGGTTTAACGTCCTACTGTTCTGCTCCTATACTGGGCTAATGAAGACGGGCATACTCCATACAGTGTGCTATGAGGGAAATTTTGCCCGGGCAGCGGCACTATCGCCTATTCCAACTGCCAAGGGATCTTTTACGTGCATTCCAATACTTACACGGGACCTCGGTTTTTCGTCTCATCCGAAGGACTAGACAGCTGTCCGTCCTGCATCACTGACAAGGGGAAACCAAGTCGGAAAATCGGGATGAACTTTCTCGGCCAATGCAGGGATCGAACACCCGACCTCCAGGCTAGCGAGCCAGCGCCTTGCCCACCTAGCCACCGTGGCTCCCCTTTCCTGGAATGAATATGAAGTAAGTGTCTGTAAGTAACTGTATCGATTACAAGGATATTAATTGATTAATTATTTTCTTAGTTTCTGATATCCTAAGTATTGTGTCTTGCAAGAGACGGGGTATGCTTACTAACATCCGATATGTGCACACAGAGCTAACGATTTTGGTTTCAACTAAGAAATAAATAAATAACTTACTGTTTTTAAGAGTACGTTGTCCCTGACATTGCGGTTATGATTACATATAGCCCAGACTGAAGAATGACTGAATATAACAGGAGCTGTCGATACTTCTAGAGAATCTAACATTGTCTTCTCAGATACATGGGATAAATCTACTAACATTCCTAATCTATTCATCTCCTTTATAACTAACTAAAATACAAAAATAAAATATTAGTTCAAATCATTAACACACAAGACGATCAGCTGCTTTAATTCGTTTTTCCCGGGGGTCGCCGATTTATGTTAAGACACGCCTTCTTACTTATGTGAGTTTAAATTCAGTCGAGCACACCAAACAAGGAAGAGGTGATATCTACTGTTTTATTGATTGATAGCAAGACTTCATAATATATCTATATAACCTCTGGCAGGATGGTCAACACTATTTTATATATATCTTATCTCATTGAATAGGTTATAAAGTTTAGATACTGACGAGGCATTATGAATCATGGTCGTTATGTAGACTATTCTTCTTTAAGTAGTGTTAGGTGTAGTGCAAAACGTGGGGTATGCTTACACTTTTCTAGGTCACTTCATATCACTTTATGTAAATAATGTATTATTACCTTGCCAAAATCTGTAAGACCATTAAGTGGTGTAATTGTATTATCAGCATTATCCATCTTCCAGTTATCAGCCCTGGAATGAGTATTCAATGAATTGATTCATTGTTTCATTCAACAAGTGATTGCCATGCAAGATACGATCACATTTTGCAAGAGATGGACAGAAAACAAGAAGTTATTTGTCCGATATGCGCGAATATCAAAAGGAATCGAAATCTCTAGGATATAAACATATATTTTAAGTTTCATCAAAATCAAATAAAATCCTGATCTCTAGAGGATCCGCAACTTTGGTATTACATACTTTACACTATTTGCGTACAAGGAGCGGCCATCTTGTCGAACAGTTTTGGTCTAATCTTCACGATATTCGAACTCAACCGTCATTACATTGTCACACTGATATATTAAAACGATTTTTAAAATCGGATAAAAACTGTGACCTCTAGAGGATCCACAAGCTAAAATCGCAATTTTTTCAATCAGGGGCCATAATCCAGGCACTTACACTCCGATATGAGCGAATAACGACAGGAACCGGATCTGCGGGACATAAACACATGTTTTAAGTTTCATCAAAATTGGATCAAAATTGTGACCTCTAGAGGATCCACAACCTTGATATTACACACTTTAACACTAATTGCATACATAGAGCGGCCATTTTGTCCGGCAGTTTCGGTCCGATTTTCACGAAATTCGAACTCAATCATCATTATGGTGAAACGGTGATATATTTGAACGTGTTTTTTTTTAAATCGGATAAAAATTGTGACCTCTTGGGGGACCACAAGCTAAATACGCGATTTGTCGTACAATCAGCGGCCATAATCCGATACATGCCAATATCGCAAGGAGCCGAGATCTTTTGGAGATAGACCTATATTTCGTCAAAATCGGATAAGAATTATTGTGACCTGTAAAGTGTCCACAAACAAACTGTGGACGGACGGACAGGGGCGACGGCAATATACGTCCATATTAAAATGTGTGCGTATAAAAATCAATTAATCTCTCGTCTATTGGATCCCCCCCCCCTTACCCCGCCCACCATGGTTTATATGGATTTTATTCTATCTTTCGATTTATATTATTAACGCCCCATTAAAGTGCAGATTATCCAAAATGTTTCTTTTCTAAAAAGATATTAAAGATAACCATTTACAAATTTGAAATACAACGTGTTAACTAAATCATCGATATTATCCATGGCTGCCTATCAAATATCTTTATTATCGGACATCGCCTGATCGCTGGTCTAAAAGATAACAGCATTATGCTTACTATAATAAATACTCTCAATGACTCCAACTAAAACATAAAAAAATATATTCGTATGTCTAACAATTGGTTAAGACAAAAATGACCGTCACGTTATGTTTGAAATATGTATAATGGTGGGTTTACTAGCAGATTGTGATAGCACTTGCTTATGGTAATTACTCGTCTATTAATAGTAACCCTCTTTTCTACATGACGATTTTAGTTGACGTTTTAGTCTTGAATCGAAGAAGAGTGGTGTTTGAATTTTCAGTATAACCGTGAATATGATAGTGCTGAGACAGTATAAGACAACAGAGGAGTGGAAGAATGATGTTATAATGGCGCGAAAAAATTTGAGATGTGTAACCGAGCTTTTAATTTTTGGGACTGGGCCTGACAATTTTAGTCAATGTCATGGCAAATGGATCCAAATTCTCGTTAACGAGAGGATAAGAAATGGGACAGAATCTTGAGGCCTATCTGTCAATGTCGCCTGTTTTGTGAGAGTAGAACTAACAATTCTACAGTCTTTTGACCCACGACTCACTCACTAGTGGTACTACTAACTGGGCGATTCACTGTAACTGTGAATATGATAGTGATGAGATAGTAAAAGTCAGAGAAGGAGTTGAAGAATGATGGCATAATGGAATTGAGCGCCGATATGTAACTGAGCTTTTAATTTTTGAGGACTGGGCCTGAGGGCACTTTACCTCAATGGGGCGCTTACTTGGTCTCTGAAATGCCCTGGACTTTGGGGAGAGATTTTGCAGAATTCTGATGGTCAGAAAACAACCCATTAATTCATTTATTCTGAGACCGACTGCGGTGAGCGCTTTTTTTTGGGGACCGACTATTTTTTTGCCATGGGATGAAAAACCTTTTTTTTAAACATGATAAGTCGACAAGGTTATTTTATACTAAAGTTTTGCGTGAGTGGAGTGACGTGTGCAGTGAGCACTTATTTTGATACCGACTGCTCATATCTTAGGGCCGACTGCACTGATTTTGCGACCGACTAGTATTTGGGATCTATTCTGGCATTATTTGTTTACCTCATTAATTCATTAAGACGGCGATGCATAATTTTGAGACCGACTGCAGTGACTGCACTTATTTTGAGACCGACTATTTTCTCCCTGGGGGAAATTTTGTTCTTAGACCTACATACTCACAACAGAATAAAAGTGAAACACATTAAGTTGACAAGGTTATTTTATACTAAAGTTTTGCGTGAGTAGCGTGACGTGTGCAGTCAGCACTTATTTTGATACCGACTGCTCTTATTTTGCGACCGACTGCACTGATTTTGCGACCGACTGCACTGATTTTGCGACCGACTATTTTTTTTCCTGGGGGGGGGGGGGGTACCACCCCCCACCCCCACCCCACATTTACGCCCCTGTGTATTGCAACTGTGAGTAATTGCCATGTATCTGACCCCAAGGTCATAAAACATGCGCAGATTACCAAGACTGCTATCTATAGAATGTCCACCTTCTAATCCAACCAAACTCGCGAATCTTCCAGCGTTAAATTCATTCATTATTCCTGTGTGGTAAATGGAAAATTTAGTTTATTTTCTACGACATAAATCGATCATTTTTGTTTTAGGGTTTCAACGATAACAAGTTTGATACTATGGCGTTATTTCAACAAGAGACAATACCATCCTGTTAACTCACTATTTTTATTAGTGTCTTGTTGAACCTTGTAGACCAATGAAATGAAATGAAATGTTGTTTAATGGCACGTCAGCTCCAACCGGGCTATATTGCGCCAAACATATGGTGAATTTAACGGGACAAATTAAAACAATATCACAGGAATGTATTCATATATGTAAATAAAAACAAATATCACAGAAAATATACTTAAAAATAAATATATCAATTCCTTTACATATATAAATATTTAAAAAACAATATATGATAAATATATACAATTAAAATTTTGAATAAAAGTTTGTCTCTTTTAAAAATGCTAGCAATTCATCATAAAGCTCCGGTTGAGCAAATAGCTGACGTACTGACTGGCAACGGTAATATTTAGATCTAATATGTTTGAGATGATTGCACTCAATCAAGATGTGTTTCACTGTCAAAGGAACATGACAGTGAACACATTGTGGTTGAGGCTCTCGCTTTAAGATGAAAATGTGTGTTAAAAAAGTATGACCAATGCGAGAGCGACACAAAACCACTTCATCTCTCCTGCTGGTTCTATAGGAGCTTGGCCAGTCTCCTAAGAGAGGCTTAATGTGATGAAGTTTGTTTGTGTCTGCAAGATCCCAAGACCGTTGCCAGCGGTCATATACAAATAATTTAATGGACGATTTAAAATCGGTGAAAGGTAAAAGAAATTGTGATATGGGAAGATCTAAAGCAGACTTGGCAGCTAAGTCTGCTTGATCATTCCCTTTAATATCAACATGACTGGGGAGCCAGCAAAGGACAGTGTCCTTGCCGTTAAACTCGTGTGATAGTAGCAGACGATAAATGTCTGCTACTAAAGGGTGTACAAGCTGCTTATTGTTTATTGCCTGTAAAGAGGACAAAGAATCTGTAAATATAATGTGTTTTAAGGATGAAGAGGATTTGATATACTCCAAAGCCTGAAAGATGGCCTGGAGTTCAGCAGTAAATATGGAAGCAGCAGGAGGAAGACGAACAGAAATGGTCTCAGATGGCGTGACAGTAGCCGATGCTACCCGATCGCCATCTTTGGAACCATCTGTATAAATTGGAGCATAATCACCATATTTAGACCTTTTCTCTCTGAAGAGAGATTGAAACACTGTGGAACTAGTATCTTTCTTTTTGTTTTTTGTAAGATCGAGATCGATCTTGGGGGGAGATATAGACCATGGTGGTGTCTCGAAGAAAGGGGTATTCGCAATACTGTCTTGACTGATACCAGCCTGAGACAAAAGGGGTTGAATGCGAATACCGAAGGATGGAATAACATTGGTTTTCAGTAAATATAGATGTTCATAATAGGGTCTAAATATGGTGTTAAATGAAATATGATGAGGCAGAGATGCAATTTTTGTAGCATACTGCAGTGCAAGTTTATCACGTCTGTCGTGCAATGAGGGCTCGTGCGCCTCGACGTATAAACTCTGCACTGGAGATGTTCGGAATGCTCCTAGACTGATTCTAAGTCCTTGGTTGTGAATGGTGTCAAGCTCTTTGAGATAAGACTCGCGGGCTGACCCATACACAATACACCCATAATCGAGTTTAGATCTTATTAATGCTCGATATAATCTGAGCAGGACCTTACGGTCTGCTCCCCAGTCAGTGTTTGATAAGACTCTCAATATGTTGAGGGCTTTCAGACATTTCTTTTTGAGGGTTTTGATGTGGGGGATAAATGATAATTTCTTATCAAATATCAAACCCAATTGTAGACCAATGAACACAATGGTTCATTCTGTATGAAGTATAGAAATGGTTAATGATGTAATGATGCCATCGACAGATAAATTTCAATATGATGAAAATTTTGCCATGACAACGGCGTTTTTTGTCTAACTTTTGTCGAATTCGATTACCAAGGCTTCTTTCAGGTGCACGCTAGCCTAGCGTGTATACGGGATCCCAGAAGCACTTTCAGAGAGTGTCCACAAGCGGTCAATTATGCCCATTTTAAATTCTCTCGGCTCGAGGAAGTAAGATTTGTATATAAAATATTGGATAGTTTTAAGAAAAGGAAATATTATGCTACTTCAATAAAAGGACGTAACGACATCTGTGACGCTATAGTATTTAAGTTCACTTTCTAGTTTCTTCGCGCCAATGCTCTCCTAATGTCTGGTTATTAAACGGGGCCCTGTTTCACAAAAATTTAAATCTCCTTAAAATCGTCTAACTTAAGATAGATGCGTTTCACAAAACGATTTTAAGCATAATAGGTAAAATCCACTAAAATAATATTGTAAGTTAAAATTGTATCTTAACTTACAATAGTGGCGTTTCACAAAACTATTTTAGGGACAATTTTAACTAAAATCTATTGTAACTTAGGACAGCCGCCACCCTCTCCTAACTTAAAATCACGACATTAACAAACAATAATTAGAGCTACGTTGTGAGATCTATTGCGACATATAGATATATTTGGAATAATGTTAATATTGCCAATGGCCCGGGTTATATAATTTAAACATACTATCATTCACAAAAATAATTTTCATTCAATTTCCTTTCATTGCATGGGAAATATAGCTGCGGCCCACCCGTTTATTTTATTGTAAGTCAATATAAGCAATTAGATGACGCCCCAAATTAAAACCCCAAGAACAAAAAACCACTCAAAACCCCAGTAAACAAAACTCTTTGTTACTATTTTATATACTACCAAATGATTCAAGTATAAATTATACTATTTTCAAATAATTAATAGACCCCCCCCCCCCCCAAAAAAAAAACCTCTAAAAAAAAATCTAAACCCACTTCATTCCTAATGTTTATAAAAAAATATTTGGGAGAGAGAGAGAGAGGGGGAGAGAGGGGGAGGGGAGAGGGAGAAGGAGAGAGTTTTTAACGTCCACTAGACACACACTAGGTCATTTCGGGACTAACACATGGTTCAATTTATTTGAATAATTCGCTTGCGCGTAGGGATCTTTAGTAGTGGTAGGAACCGGAGGCAACCCACGAGGTTGGGCGGGCGACCCTACTCCCTGTCACGTACAACCGTGGAATCGAAACCCCGTCAGTCCTATAATACTAGATACGCCATATGCAAAGTATTTATGGTTTTGGATTATGATGATTTACATAGGAGCCAAGGGTATTTGTAGTGTGAAAAAATCATTTTAATTTAATAAGATAGATAGGCATTATCCAATAAGGAGTGTGGCACTTTGGCATTTTCAAATTACTATTGAAGGGGTCCATGGGACTGACATTTTAAATCTAGGCATCAGAACATTGGTTATTTCGTGTATTAGTTTAAAAGTAATTAAATACTTTTAAAATTCGACAATACTTTAGTCTAGATTAATCGTTTGATTCAGAAATATCACATGTTTGTTACAATTTCTAAATAGTTTCTCTTATCCAAAATACCACAAAGCTACGAAATTCAAGCGATTTAGTTTATCGATACGCATTATTTCCATTGAAGCCTGCGAGTAAATCCAATGCCAAGGTCACGAAAGCGACATGCAAGTTCAAGGCCAACCAACTGATACATTTCAAAACAAATAACACGCAATAAACTTATTTATTTCATCTCTTTACGACTGTCTGACCATGTGTAGGAATTGTTACAACGTATGAAACTCTCATCATTGGTATTGTAACGGTTAGTTCACTCTGGCAACAGTTTTCAGTTCCGAAGCGTGTATGCTTACTCCGTAAGTGCCCTCGCCGGAATTGTGCACTGCGCGAGCGCAAGCAATTTTAACTAAAATCTATTAAAATTGCATTTTAAGTTACAATCGATCTTCGTGAAACGCATAAAATTTAAAATTTCAGTTTGATTTTAGTTAAAATCTATTTTAGTGATTTTAGTTTAAGTTTTTGTGAAACAGGGCCCAGTTGATATTTTACACCATAGATTTATGTGTTCATAAATCTTTTAACCGTGCTTTGGGTATCGAAAGCAATTACTTACCGTCCGCAGTTGTCACGAATCTAAAGACGTCTGGGTAACGTGCTACAAATTTCTTTATTGTGTCCATTTGATCAAAAGACTGGCGAACAGCGTCTATATACTGGGAATCACATGGTACATACAAGGCCCAAAACTAAAACCATAAAAAATCAGAATATTTATTCTGGCAATCTTATATTTCTACGTGCCAATATTGTCGTATAGGGTCCGCCCGCCTACAATTGTTTGTTGAAACACCACAGACCGGATATTTCCATGTTGCTTCTTTTCAAAATTGCAATTAAAAATGCATTGTGTAAGAGTAAGAGAAATAGCTAAGTCTTGATTCACCATTTTAAATCGAAGTATTAAATAGCGATCGTGATTCAGTCCTTTTAATTCTCAACCATCCGATGGCCTAGAGAGTTGATAATAGGCTTACCATGTTGGGAAATGTCTAAATAATAGTTTATATAACATTTGAAGTCAAAATATAGAACTTTAGTAGGTAGATTTTGCACTTACATAATGCACCTATAAAAAAGACGCCCTTCAAAAGGATTCCTAGAGCAGCGTCACAAATGGACTAACTCATTTTTTTTTATCGGCAAATACTTTTTTAAAAATATACCTTCACTACAATAAAAACACTGTTTATAATAATATCCCCATTAATTTTCAAAATTCCTGTATCCGCCCCTGCATCATAATCTTGAAGCAATGGCCCGAGAAATCCCTCGATGACCATTGCTGGAGAGGCTTCTGATACTTGAGCGTCTGAGGGAGTGTGTCTATTCTTCCCGTTCAATCAAATCTATCCCAAGTACAGCAACATGACAGGCCTTCGTTTAATCTGGGGTCTTCCCTAAAACTTTGGACAATGATTTAAGGTATTAAAAACGGAGAAAGTATTGTTCGTCTCCAAACAGTATTGCTTACATTGTATCAGTTTTATTAGCCTCGTGTGTCACGCAATTAGTTCTTCTGCTATATTCTGATATGCACTGGTTAATTGGGCGTAATAAAATTGTAGGTCATGACGTAACCTTATGTAAACGTATTTGGTCAGATTTGGAGCTCTGTTGAAAGCGTAATGATAGTTTTACGCAATTAGCTATTGGTTGTTAATCGGACTATTGGCCAGTCATAATTTTGAACAGAAATTTGCTTCCATTGCAGCAGTGTTAAGTGGGATTAGCTCTAATCAAACGAAACACTGCGAGGAGTTTGCCCCTACATGTACACACACATTATGAAATTACCTGTGCCCTTAATTGTCCTTGTTCTATTCTAGGTATATCAGTATGTGTTGTATTCCATATTCCTATCAACGACTCGGCTAAATTGACTTGATGAACCTGATTCTGTGCTTGCGCACGATACTGCCATGCCAGATCATTATGTCTGAAAAGAAAGAATGAAACAATGAAGATTTTATCCCTGTTCAATGTTTATATTTTGCTTAGGCGAGAGTACTTTTCTTGATTTTGCATGCTTTATATCTGCCAGTTTGGCGTGGTGGTGGTGGTGGTGTGAGGGGTGGGGGAGTATGGGTCCCTTTAAAGACAAGAAGTTTCAAACAACTACTTATGTCCATTGTTACTCTACAATCAATATGCTGATTTCTGAAAATCCAGTGTAATGTCTGCTCAAATAGACGTCAAACAAAACATAGCATGGTGGTCGTTGAGTTTACTCAACCTTGCTTCTAACGTTTTAAACAATTTAAGATGGCAATTGGACATTGTTATCCCCCAAACTGTCAATATTTGAGTAACCGTTTTACAAGGGTGCTTCATTTCTACTCCATACTAGAATTTATTATCTCTTTTATAGTGACCATTATTTTTCAATAAAAAGTTTATAAAAGGGGTCAATGATGTTTATCCAGGCATCCACCTTTACTTTCTTACACTACAAAAACCAATGTTAATTTACAATTATTGTTGAGTATATTCAGCCTTGTACAACCTAACCTATCATCAACACCAGTCTAATTCATAACAGTGGTTGTTTTTGTTGTTTATTGCAGTTTTAACGCCCAATACACAGGTTGATTTAAATTTAGATTATCTACATATGAAGCAGTCATAAATAAGAGGGAAAACTATACATTTTTGTTAATATATTCACCAACAGGGTCGACACCTTGGTGGTTGAAAAGGCTACCTACACAGTCGTATCCGGAAATGACATGAGTTCAATTCAGAATGTAGCTAAAATAACTTTACAGCAGCTCAAATAAATTATGAAATACATTGGAATTTTCGGGCACAGATCTAAGAAATCGTCTAAGACACATAAAGCAACTCTTAAAACCACATGTATTTCCGTTAAATCTTTTGTTTTCAGTCGAACCAAGTAAGTAGACCTAACAATAATAATTAAAGAAGCTAAATCGTTATTCTTTAACACCTAGAAATGGACACAATTGGGTCGCATCGCATAGAATAATGTAATATGATATGTATATAAACTGATTTACATTCAATCGTTTCTGTTTTTACTGTAATATCTAATCAGTTATGTTCGACGAAATACGCGATGAGTCTGAATTGAATGGCCGTCTAAGGCGTCTGGATATTCCAGTCTACACCGGTAGTATTCTCCTACGTGAGATATGTTTAGTCTCTTTTGTATGCCAATTTTAAAATTGTTCATTTTGTCTTAAATATTGGATATCAAAAGCCCAACTTTTCACGGTAAAATAACAACATCAATGTTGATTTAAATTGACCAATAAGTCTTGTTTGCAATGTCCACTTACAAAACAAGATATATTGTCAACCGTAAGTAAACTCTGTTTTCGATCCACTTGGCGTTCAGTAATGTACTTATTTGAGGTTGATAGACCCCCGCATCATTAGTTTTATCCCAGTCTAAAGTTACCCCTACAAAAGTTGTAACCATACCTCGCCTTAAGTTAACAGCCACCGCTGTCTCGATTAATGTAGCTGCTATGTTGAAGAAGGGGTTGGATTATGACAGTCTAAAGGAGTACTTTTAGACAGATAGCCTAGTGGTTTGGGGGTATGTTTCAATTGAAGTTAAGCGATTCCATACGTATGTAGCTAATCGTGTACATCAGAGCCTATTCTACTTCTGAACAATGGAATTATATACAGTTCAATAATAACCCGGCCGATGATGCTTCTCGTGGTCTATAAGTGAAGGAATTAGTTGACAGTAGAAGGTGGTGGAATGGCCCTGAAAATTTATGGAGAACCACCGACTTACGATTTGATCATCAGGATGAAATTAGAGAACTCGATGAAGGGGACCATGAAGTAAGAAGATCATCCTCTGCATCTACAACAACAGAGATGCCAGAGAAATCACTACTTGAAAAGATGTCGAAATTTTCGAAATGTCACAAATTACGCGTTCACAGGTGTTATAGTGAACATTGTTTGAAAGCAAATAAAAGTCTGTATACGAATGGTGTATTTAATCGCCAGTAGTTGAAGATTTAAAACCCTCAGAAGTAATGATATTAAGGGAAGTACAAAATGTATATTTTTCAGAAGAATTCAAGGTTTTAACGAAACTACAAAAGAAAGAGGGAGTAAAGGATAGAAATATAAGAAAGGATAGATAGTGTCACGTTAAAGGCTTCTAGTCCTTTGTACAAATTGGATGTAGGCGGGCACACCCAGAAGATCTACCTTTGGATTGCAAGCACCCTGTTATTATTCCAAAACAAGGTTATATGACAGAACTCATAGTGAGAGCTTATGACTCCAAGTCGTGACATTACTCATAACCTGATAAGGTCACCGGGATATTGGATAGTGGGTGGAAGATTTGTAATTTCCAGAATCATATCTAAGTGTGTAACTTGCAAGAAGTTAATTGGTAGTACACGAGTTCAAAAGATGTCTTCACTTCCAAAAGATCGACTTGAAACAGCTCATTCAGTTATGCAGCCGTAGAGGTTAAAAGATACGGCGTAGTATTTGTATGCATGACCTCTCGCGCCATTCACTTAGAGGTCACAATAAAATGGATACAGACTCGTTCTTAAATTCAAATAGACATTTCATCTGCAGAAGGGGACCTGTTGGACAGCCATGTTTAGATCATGGCAATAAAACTAACCCCGATGTGTTTTGATTTCGACTCTGAAACAACCTGTGGAGTAAAGTAGAAAGTAAAGCTCCCCACGTTACACAATCCTTTCAAAATTATGTGATCTTTTAATATATTCTAAAATTTGCATTTCAATGAATTCATGTCTAGAACCCCGAAATAATGAATCTAGGCTCGGGTTACTCCGTGAGCGAAACCCACCCATCTCCGAAATAAATACACTTACCCATCAATGAGTGGAACTTCGTTAAGGATCTTTTTAGCACGTGCAAGGTTTTCTTCATCAGTGCTTCGTTTAGAAAGTGGGATTCCAACAGCTAATCCAGTGATTATGGCGAATACAACGAAACCGATAACTCCTCCAATCAGTAAACGGTTTTTGTTACAGCCGCCGCCACCAAACGTCAGGGGTTCCTTTCCACTCATCTTGGAATGTTAGCTGAAAATAAACAGAAGGTAAACTAATAGGTCGGGTTAGATTCACGTTGTGGGGAGGTGGCGTAGTGTGTTTGACCAAAACACACCCCCAAGTGCCCTTTTTAATCCACTTAACGAAAAGAAAATCCGAAATAAAAATATTTAATAAAGCTAGGTTAGAAACGAAAACGAGGTTTACAGTCTTAGCTTTATATAGTGGTTAAGATTTCTCGTGGTGTTAAGATCATCATTGGTTAAGTATCCCTTTCCATCAGAAATCTGGGTCTGAACTCGATATATCGAAACTCTCTAACTGAAGAGTACTTATTGTTGCTGGTTGTATCTTTTACGCCTCCACCAAAAGAAAAATATCTGCGGTAAATTTTCTTTTAACCGACTGTTGGCGACCTACACCTTTTGACAGCTTTTTTCTTTCTTTTTGAATTGAATACTTAATTTGAAGGGTTTTGGGAAAGCTGTAAACATATTATTTTTAAATATGTTGAAAAAAATCAACAGAATTTTTAAACTAAAACAGTAAAACCTTATAAAAAGATATATATCTAAAATACCATTGCGTAATTTAAATATGCCCTCTTCTTTATTATAGATTTTGTAGATGTTCTCACTAAATCCGCTTTGACTATAGCCCTATGGCGCAAAACAAATCACACGATTTTCAGTGCCTTCCCTACCCCTAATCAGTTAGCTCCTATTGGCAGGAATGTCATGTAAGCACTGATGTATCTTCGGCGTTCGAAACGTCGATCTAACCAGTCGAATTTACCCCATGTATTTAAAATAATATGGCATTTCCGCTTAGCTCAAAATGTCGGTATTTCTCTGCAGTAACTCCTAAAGCCAACCCACTTAAACCCCAGAATCAAGGAGCTAAATATGATCTTGCGTAAAAAGCACAGTTTAAAGGGGCATGACCCGGTTAAACACAGGGTGCTAATTTCAACATATAGAAATGTTTAAGTGCTTATATATTATGAACTTTTTTAGATGATATTATTTAATGTATTTATTAGCCAGTAGCAGATAAGATGTGGAAACACGGTGGTTACGAACACTATCATTTCAGGTTATCTACCACTAAGTTATCTACCGTTGGGTGCAAATCTTTCTTGGAATCAGGCTTAAATTATCTACACTTGTTGTGTTGATACAAACGAGAGACCAGAATCCTATATAAAATGGTATATATAATTTAACATTCATGTATGATGCACTTCGACACATCTGGTTAGTAGACAATGCTAGACAATTCTCCTTAAGACCTAGTCAGCAGTTACTGAGACTGATATCAATATACTCAGACCTATATCTTTGACTTGTATATAAACCACATTTCGAAATACCACAATTAGATTAAATTACTTTAGGTTTTTGTGTCCCTTTAACTATTTACAATAGCTGTAATGTTAATATGTGTGCAGACACGTTCATTTTATAATAGGATATCACAGCCAAGAAACACTATAGTACTAATGTTAATATTTGCTGTGTATACAGATGAGCTAAAATGTGTGTGTTTCATTCACGATTCAAACACTAGACGGACATAGGCCACAAGTCAAAGTGGAATATAATAATTTAAAGTGACACTGACATTTTGTTCTTCTTTTTGTGAAAAAAAACCTACTGATTATATCAAAATAGGTTATTGGTGAAATGGTAATGATAGCTAAAGACATTTATAATTATCTACGATTTATCGAAAGGATGACTAACCCACAGCGCATGCGCCAATCACGGCACAGACTTTGATGATCAGCAATAACACATTGCATGCCTGTGATAAAATGAAAATAAAGCAGTAAGCCTATTTATTATTTTTAGCGGTTTTATTATTTCGTGCACATCCTTTCTATCTGATAATTTTGTTTATAAAAATATTTTACAGGACGTAGTGTGAACAAATTGACGCATAGTATGTTTATGGTTGCGCCCCCGCCCCCTCCCGTTCATTGTTCACAGTTCTATGCAAAATAAACATCACATAACCATAATTATACAAAGTACATTTACCATGCAAAATATTTAAATGCAAAGTTTTGCTTTCATTCACTTGAATTTGAAACATAATTGAGGGAGGGGTAAATTAAAACATCTAATATGCGGGTGGGGGTGTAACAATTTCAAATATAAACTGCATAAAGCAACGCATGTAGATGGTATGCTTCGAATATAAAATATGATTGCCAGGGAACAAATAGTCCGCACCACCAGCATTTTGAATGGTGGCTGGTGAGCAGTTATTTATCGTATAGCGCTAATGACCCGTGGTTGCACGATAAATAAAGTGAGAGACTACGCCGTCTAGTATGTATTTTCTTGTGCATTACTTTGCCGAAATAATAACATAAACTAAGGAAAGTAGTTTATTTAGAATTATATTATAATGGATTTAATACGAATATGTGAATAAAACTTAAAGGGGAAGACCAACGATTTTCAACACGGTTTTCATAATTCTTAAATAAATATTTAGAAATAATCCTCTCTGTATTACAAGCAAATACGTTTTTGCAAGCGAGATATTTTTTTTTAAATCGTAAGTACGCTGTGACCAAATTCACATCGCTAATTGTTTAGATCACGTGGTTTGTTTGACAGCTTTCAAGCGACAGCTATTTCATCTGCTTTGATGTTTTTCTGCTTGTTGAGAGTGTTTCTCAACATGAACAGACCACAATTATGGGCACGTGAGACACATAATGTCGACGTGAACGGCTTTATTTCATGTCCTCTTCATATACTCTTCACACAAAAAGTAGGGGATATTGAAATGCAAATACCTATGCAGGTTGTGATATGATAAATAGTCATGGACACTTGACATGCTTTGAGAGTATGTTCACAGATGAAGAACTTATCGCCACTGAGCTGCATGTGCGACACGCAATAGCATCATACACGGGGGAGGAGTTCATTGCCAAATTTGACACTTCAAGGAAGGGTTGATGAAAACTGCCGCTTGCTGATTTATCCTATCCATGCTTGCTTTCCTATCGGTTCTTGCAGAAGATTTACTGTTTATTGTATCTTTGCTTTAGTGTGCTACGTTTAATTTGATCGGGAGACGTGTTCGTCAACGTCAACCGACAACACTGCAAGAATTGGCCGTGGCAATGCAAGAGGAGTGGGTCAGATTGCCCCAAATCGTGATTGGACGGTTGATTAGGAGCATGCCACGACGAATTGCTGAATATCTGAGGATTGGTGAGCAATTATTAATTATTAAGACACAAATCAAAAACGTCCATTTTCACTTTCGACAGTGTATCTCTTTGCGAGTGAAATGGGGCCGTCAGATAAGCCGCCCATATGAACTGTTTATGTTCATGTGTAGGCAATTGGCCTGTTATTAACATACACTGGCTACCTCTAATAAAAACAGCAGTGCATTTCCGCAGTTTTGTATTGTTTCTGAATATAGCCTACTTTGTTTGAAGAGTATGTATATAACGATACGTTGTGGATTGGTGGGTCTAAAAACTAAAGGAAAAGAACATTTTTAAGAACAACTGACATTTATTGCGGGTGCTGGTATATACAGGGTGAGTGAGTTTTATAATAATATTCAATGTATGATAAGGAATATAAAATCCATATTAATATGGTTATAAGAAATGCAAAATACACCTGCTAGATGTAATAAAGCTAATGTACTAACTGTAATAAAGTGAACTTTAAGGATACCATACGGACCTCATGTGTCAGTTAGTTGTATTTTACGTCCACTTCCACCGAGGTGATATCGCGGACCTCATGTAAATGTAATGTCCTTTATATGGATCATGCATGTGTGCGTGTCATATCTGCACAATTATAACATTAAATATAATTTCAAGATGTAATCTATAATCCATTAGAGCTGGGTGAGATATAAAGTTCTACTTCAAAAATTATACATCGTTTATACATCATCCAAAACGCTTATGGATATTAATCATGAAATCATATTTGAGACAATTCTATTTGCCCCTGAAATATGAAATAATACACTGACAATACAAAACAATTAAAAGGTAACATAATTTAGACTGATATTTATTACAGGAGCTCACACCCAAACCTAACAGCGCTAACCTTTATCGTCAGTGTTAAGAAATATTTAATCCTCTTAGTTTCTTAACTTGGTCTAAATCTATGATTCTATTTCTAGGAAACCACATTTAATGTTGCGAATGTAATTAATTTAAAGTTGAGTAATTGATCTTGATAAGAATTAAATATTTAAAATATTATACAACTTTTTGTTCTCGTGGATTGTCACCAACTTTAGCCTCCGGGGCTTCTGCGTCTCATGACCTAAAACGCTGTATATAATTTGAAGTCAATCGGATATTAACTTTAGCCACTAGAGCGTCAACAAGATATTTCAAAGAGATCAAGGGCCATAACTCCAGCAGTTACTATTGAAATCGCTGAAAATCAAATCAATGACCTTAAACAATGTGCATAAAATTGAAGTCAATCGGATATTAGCTTTAGCTTCTAGAGCGTCCACAAGCGATTGTGAACGCCGGACGGACCCACGGACGGACGGGGCGCCGACAATATACGACCACATTTCAAGGTGGGCGTATAAAAACAAATATTTAAAGTTATTTGTATATTTACGGATTAGTGGTGGGTGGGGGTGGGGACTAATAAAAATTAAGCATTTAATTCTAAACGTATAATTAGCATTAGAAAAGGTGAATTATATATTCTCTCAAAACTAAACTTTACAAACCCTACAGTGTTGTATTGTAACACATTTTGCTTGTAAAACAAAGAATACTTGTGAAGCGTAGACTATAGTCTATAAAGCTGTGCAATGCTTTTATTCCTTTTAATGAATCATTCTTCCGTACATAACAGCTTATTTGGATGGATGACGTTGGTTTAATATGTCTTGTCTGAAACTTCATTTATCGGCACTTAAATCCCGTTAATCAAGTCTTAACAAAAAGACCCCAAACCATGATCATAGAACGTTACTGGTCAACAGCTTTTATTCGCGATCGTCAAGCTGAAGGCTAGTGGGCATTTAAACAGTTAGTTAAAATGGGCCGCTCCGACATGTTGTGTTTTTTATTTGTCCATCAGCGATATGATCTTCATATGGTGGTACTCCATCTTTTATCATTTGATCACGAATCTGAAAAACGTTTAAATTTATATTTATATTAATCCCTTTTGATAAAACTTTTTAAACTCTTTACATACATAAAACATACTGTTCGATGACAATTTCGTTTCGTATGTTTTTCAGTCTGATTCTTAGAATTCACTCTAAGCTAACTAACTTGACATCATCGCGCAAACTGCACGCAGCAATCCATCTACGTCATACGTCATTATGATCACTGCCCTAGTTAGCCGCCATTTAAAATGCTCACGTGATCATTTTGGGGCGGGACTTATCGACTGGACTACAACTTTGTGTACACAACAGAGTAAAAATAACCCGATCAAGCACGTGTTTTATGTAAACACATGTCTTTAGCAAAATGTCAACGTCTGCCAATCCGGTAAAAGCGGAGCTAGCTGTAGACAGGCAGCCTAAGTGTGGGATGATCATCGCGTTGTCCTGCCTGTTGATTAACATTTATGCGAGACAACTTTATTCCACTTAGAATCATTCACATATATATTTCTACATATACTAAGCAGAAAAAGAAACGTCAGGTTGGTATGTTATTGTATATTTGTGACCACATCTCCAACTTTACCTGAGCAATAAGGCTCTTTCCCAAACACAGAACTGACCCCAGGAAATGTTCTCAAAAACGCAACCTGACTTCTGAGGTGGTAATATGTTCTCCATGATTTTCATGTAACTCATGCTGCGCATGCTGTTCACCAGGACCAGCCGTATAAAATGCACCCCATACCTTGTTGAATCATTCACATTACAACGTCAGCAGCATGCCACGACTCACGATAGCTCAGAGGAACACCGCGCTTGGAATACTCGCCGCTAACCACACTGCCCAAGCCGTTGCCAGTCACTTCCAGGTAAATGTTCGAAATGAAATGAAATGGGGTTTAACGTCCTACTGTTTTGCTCCGAACTGGGCTAATGAAGATAAATGTTCGAACCATCTACAGACTTCAGCAACGCTTTCTGGTCACCAACACCACGGATGATCGCCCCCGAACAAGTAGACCAAGGGTTACCACAAAGAGACAAGGCCGCCATGTTGTGCAGAATCCACGTCTCAACACAGAGACATCCATTACCGTGTACCGATCCTCACCTCTCGTCATCGACGTGAACGTCTACAGTTTTCCCAACAACACCAGAACTGGCGAAACAGGAAATGGAGTACTGTTCTGTTCACAGAAGAGAGTCGGTATTGTGTATCAACTGCAGATGGCAGGACTAGAATATGGCGTTGACGTTATTCTGCAGCGTTATTAGAACCAATCTGTCATGGAACGAGACTCAAGTATAATGGTTTTTGATGGAATCGGCCTGAACCAGAGAGTGAGTGGTGTTCCAAATTCTTGGTCCAGAGAGAGGAGGCGGCATCACAGCAGTGCGCTACATCGATCAAAGTCTCAGACCCCACGTCATACCACATTTCGCACATCATCGAAAAAACGTTTTCCAGCATGACAACGTCCGTACCCAGACCGTCAGAGTTACTCAGCCATTAGTCCGGACTTAAACCCGATTGAACATCTTTGGGATAAAATTAAGAGGAGAATTAATAATGTCGTACCGAGACCAAACACAGCCGATGGATTGTGCCAGGCTATTCTAAGAGTGTGGTTCCAGGTGGCAATGGCGTTCATCAATCTCTTGTCCACTCCATGTACAGACGCTGCGATGGACACACCAGATACTGATGTATAGACTGTGTACAGACTCTACACCTTCTCGTAATGTCTTGGAATTGTGATGAATTAATCACTAATGTGTCAACATACTGTTCACAAAAAATTGCTTTGATCCATTTAGTAAGTCGTTTTCTAGAATGATTTGATTAAAATGCATCTCTGATTTTGAAATCGTACTAACGTTTTTTATTTTTTTGCTGTTTAGTATAATAATTCACCATAATAGGCAGTCCCGTATACTAGAGAATTTGATTAAACAAAACCTTCACGTGATCTGAACGCCAACATCAAACAAAATAAGCCAGTTGTCAGTGGATTAAACATTACATTTTATATCCATTTACTGAGTCCTTCATGCCTCTGTATATTATCCTACCTCTTCTGCTTTCTTAAAAACTCGGAGAAGATTTTCACCAGCTAATTTTTTAAGTTCGCCATCAGTCCATCCTCGTCTAGCTAACTCAGCAAATAGTGCGGGATATTTGGATACATCTTCTAAGCCAACAGATGTGCTGTTTAAATATAACAAAATATACATGGGATATTGTAGTTTATTTTGATACAGTGCTAGATATCAAGTCACACACGGGTCCAAAGGGGAGCCCGGACCCCTACTCCCTTCTTCGCGTAAAGAATATTTTGTTCTCTCCTAAATTTATCGAAATAATATCGGACAAAAAAGCATTGTCACTCCACTCTAACTTATTCCATGTATGAATCTAAATGAACAGAAATATTGTCTCAGAGCTTCTGATTTTATAATATTATGTGGTAATCTTCCAGACTTCACGCTAAAATGACACTGTTTTCACCTTTGACCCCCCCCCCCCCCGCCTCGAAGCTCCGCTGATCATACGTATGGACATTGCAAAAGTATCAGATTTGTAAATTGTGCATGTGTGAATGGACAAAAAAATACGATGATATTCACGTGTGGGTCTTGAACATGAAAAAGTATCAGATTTGTAAATTGTGCATGTGTGAACGGACAAAAAAATACGATGATATTAACATGTGGGTCTTGAACATGAAAAGCCTGTCCTTCTAATGAAATCTAGGTCAAATTTTACCTTTTTGGACCATAATCAGCACCAATTCCCACATGATCAACACCGGTTAGGTTTTTTATATAATCAATATGATCTGAAAAAAATGATTAATTATATTAAATTGTCATCAACGACTGTGATGGCAATGACACACCATTATTGAACGATGGCAAAATACACAAAGCGTGGAAATCCGCCCACTTAGAAGCTGCCTCGAGAAAGAGTTTGAAAAGGATCCTTTACGCTTTCAAAAAATATTCTGATCTCAAAAGCTTAAAAAATCCATTTAAACCGTGGCTGTAAAAGGTTTGTGGAAAGGGCATAATCCTGGAGGTCGCGGAACAATGAATATCGATAGGGTTCGTCCTCTCATGACCCTAATGCTTCAGGCCAAATTTGAAAAGAAAATGCATGTATGTTTTAAAAGAAAGTGACCTCTATCCTATTGTCAACTTGGGGTTGGGACGGGGAGGTCGCGAAACGCTTAATATTGATAATGTTCTTCCCACCCTAGTCCTAATGCTACATAACACCAAACTGGAAAATAATCAGTTGTAAACAATCGCCTCTGTTGCCTTCGAAAGGTTTGCGATAAAGAGCTGGTAAGTTCGGAATAGAATGCCGCGAAATACTGAGTATCGATAGGGTTTGTCCATTCATCACCCCGATGTTTCATACGAAATTTAAAAAAAAACATGAGTCAAAACTATAGCCTCTACCACGTTCATAAAGTGTTCGTCCTCTAATGACCTCAGTACTTCACACCAAATTTGAAAAAGATCCGTTAAGAATAGTAGTCTTTATTGCGCGCACAAGCTTGACAAAATACACCCACACTAAATTTTTGGCATGTAAAGGTCATCAATAAAAACATTTGAGCATTTAACTATTATGTTGACGATAATGGTGACGACGTGGATAATTTGTATTTATGACGATTGCCTTGGTGATGTTCCTTATCAATTAGAGCACAGGAATAAGGGTGCAGGGAGTCGTTTCACATGTTTTTGAACCAATGGTTGCGAGTACTTTCAGCTCATTAACCGTTGCTACCCTTACTGTAGTAGACTCTCACGTTGACATAGAGCTATCATCCTGTCTGTAGCTACCAGGTCCATACATACAGTGTATGTCATTAGATAAAGTCGCCTCTTATTTGTTAAAGCCTCTCGGATTAAAACGAACTATTTATTGCCAAGAATCCTTAATCGATGTTTGTTTTTATGGACTTAGAAATTCGAAATTGCATCGACTAGTCTACTGCGTTCTTCAATGGACACCATCGCTAACATTTGCTGTCAAGCGTGGCAATGGTTTATGAAACTATAATGCTCGTCGACATTGCTAAGGGAATGTGTTCTTTGCAGGACTTACCGGTAACTTGAGCTAATGTTGCTTGTGGTAATTTTTTTGGAGCACAATTAACGTAAACTGGAGAAAAGTTGACCATTACTACACCGCCATTCTCTGCCTGGAATGAATACGTGTCCCGATTACAAGGATAATAATTGATTAATCTTTCTTGTCGTCAGTCTGTGCGAACACTATTTCCCAAGCATGGTCATCTACATATTCCTGAAGCAATGGCCCGAGAAATCCCTCTCTGGTGGTGGGATTAGCTCTAATCAAACGGAACACTGCGAGGAGTATGGGCCACCTACCTTGCAGCTTTTGTTTTTGATATTCTAATATATCACCTGTGGTTTGCAAAAGTCAGCAAAAATCAGGGCAAGTTGTCATGCACATGGATGTCTCTCTGGATTGCAAGTAAGAGTTTGGGCTAATCTGGTGTCCTATTAACTGATTCAGTGACGCCGAGGGAGGGAGGGAGGGAAATGGGTTTTAACGTCAACTCGACACAAACTAGGTCATTTCGGGACTAACATATGGTTTATTTTTTTATTTCAATAGTTGGCTTGCGCGTAGGGGTCTTTAGCAGTCAGTGACGCCGAATGTACCCATAATTGTCGCGCTAGAATCCTCACCTCCTGACCAATTCTTTGAAAACTGAAACGCGGTTTTCATATAAGTACACTACATTACAGCCTTTGCAAATGAGAAGTCAAATAAATAGTACTGCGTTTTCTTCGTATTTAAAAGAGCGAAGCGGGTTCTGATTACCATGACACCACCCGGAAGTCTTATCGACAACATAAGGAAAAGGCCATACACAGCATTCTGCTTTTCTAGAAAGCCACCATTCAGTGGTCTTGGGGACATCATAAGGGAAGACTTGTCGCCTTTCATAAGTTAGGGCTATAGGCTCGTTGAACTCAGACTATAATATATATATATATTATATCTTGTAATATAGCTTTTGTAATTTCTTGTATTTGAAAGGGGATAATCCTATTTACACTGGAGAGTTTGGGGCTTCAAAAAAAATCAACACATACCATGGTGTATTGCAGTTGTGAGTAAGTGTCATGTATCTGACCCCAAGGTCATAAAACATGCGCAGATTACCAAGACTACTATCTATGGAATGTCCACCTTCTAATCCAACCAAACTGGCGATCCTTCCAGCCTTAAATTCATCCATTATTCCTGCGTGATAAACAAAGAACTGTTTATTTTTTTCAGGTATAACAACTTTGATACTATGCTATAATTTTTAACAAGAGACAATGTTCCGCTCTACTCCACTAGCCTATGGGTCCATTCGCAAGGGAGACACTTAGTCAAATTATACGCCCTTGATACTTGTGAAAGGGGATGCTCAATTCACAGTCCAGAACGTCCCGCATTGACACAATTGCAATCGATTTACACGGAATTCAGCCCTTTCACAGTTCTGTCAGTCCCGACTACGGGGGTGGTGTGAGTAGAACCCATCCCAAACTTAGGCTGCCTATCTACAGCTAGCTCCGGCTGAGAATAGGCCCTAAGCTAATTAACCGACATTTAAATTCCTACATCGACGATTTTAGTCGAAAACACTGAGTATGCTTTTAGAAATTTTTAAAAGTATTTATTTCTCTTCTATTGTCATATTGAATGAAATTAAATATGTTTATTTAGCCGCTGTGTGTTTGAAGGATGTCAAACTAATCAAAGCCGAATCACAAAATAGTCCTCTAATTATTCAATATGGCAGCGCCCATGAAACATAAATTCACAGAGGCGGTTTTATTTGCGAAAACAAATTTAGGAGTATCTAACCTTGTTTTGAAAGATAAACAGATTGAAACTCTAAAGACAGTTTACAATGGTAAAGAATTTATTGCAATATTACCCATAGCACATATTATATATCGCTTTTACGCGAGTGTCAGCGACATGCCGTGTTTACATAAAAGACACGTGCGTGGGTTATTTTTACTCTGTTGTCTAAACAAAGCGGTCTCGAGTCGATAAGTCCCGCCCCAAAATGATCACATCAGCGTTTTAAATGGCGGATAATCAGTGCAGTGTCACCTTCTGGGAAGTATGACGTAGATGGGTCGCTGCGTGCAGTATGAGTAGAACCGTGGGGTATTTAAACACAACGAATATGTTTCGGCTGCATAATTGTTTGAGATTTACTTAAGTATTTATTTCTCTTCTATTGTCATATTGAATGAAATTAAATATGTTTATTTAGCCGCTGTGTGTATGAAAAATGTCAAACTAATCAAAGCCGAATCACAAAATAGTCCTCTAATTATTCAATATGGCAGCGCCCATGAAACATAAATTCACAGAGGCGGTTTTATTTGCGAAAACAAATTTAGGAGTATCTAACCTTGTTTTGAAAGATAAACAGATTGAAACTCTAAAGACAGTTTACAATGGTAAAGAATTTATTGCAATATTACCCATAGCACATATTATATATCGCTTTTACGCGAGTGTCAGCGACATGCCATGTTTACATAAAACACACGTGCGTGGGTTATTTTTACTCTGTTGTCTAAACAAAGCGGTCTCGAGTCGATAAGTCCCGCCCCAAAGTGATCACATCAGCGTTTTAAATGGCGGATAATCAGTGCAGTGTCACCTTCTGGGAAGTATGACGTAGATGGGTCGCTGCGTGCAGTATGAGTAGAACCGTGGGGTATTTAAACACAACGAATATGTTTCGGCTGCATAATTGTTTGAGATTTACTTATTCAGTCGACACATGCGCTGTAGCCCGAAATCCCCCTATGCACTCGATTGTCACTAAATTTTGAGATTGAGTGAATTCAATTCCGGAACGTTCAATCGAGTACCCCCCCCCCCCCCCTTAGTTTTCTCGACCAATGGGCCACAGATCACTAATGATTTCCCCATGGACTTTAATGTTAATTCTCGTCTCTTAGACTGCCTCTAAAGCTGGAAGTAGAGACAAATAAACATGCAATTTTCGGCCCTACATTTCAACCTAACCCACCTCTCAACTCTGTATCCTTCCGCCTCAAAATGATGAATATTCACCGAAACTTGGCAGAAAATGTATTTTCAAACCCTTTTCTTCGATTTTACGCCAAAACGTCAGCAAAAATCGCCATGCAAAAAGGGGGGGGGGAAGGGAGAGAAAGACTAAAAATAGCTTTGACTCTTGTTTCGTGGGTGACGGCGTAGGACTATTTGGTGAGCTGTGTCCAATCGAGTGGGCGAAGGGAAGTAACCCGCATTTTATTGCAACTAAGATGGACTAAGACTAGCAATTATTTGCCCATTGACTTCAATGTTAATGGTTGTAACATCACAGGCTGTAGCTTTTTGCTCAACATTCCGTTGGTTCCAATATTTATAGGCACAATGGGGACAACATTTGGCAATCTCCTCATTATAATTTTGTAGGGGGTTGACCATTTAGATTTTTTGCTACGCGGATTTGAAGTTGACTGGGGTGAAAATCTCACTTCCGACACAATGATTTCTCTGCAGAAAGACACTTTACACCCCCTATCCCTCCGCTGTAATATCATCAGTATTACCCAAAACTGCTATGAAATTGCAAATTTGATCCCTTTTCTCCAATTCTAGACCAAAAAGTCAACCAAAAAATGCAGGAAGAGGGGAGAAAAAAATTAAGGGAAAAATTGTCTATTTATAACTCGCAAATAATTACTAGTCTTAGTCCAGATAGCCGAATCGGTGTTGCAAACTTAGCTGATCAGCGTGAAAACTAGTATGAAAATTGTTTTTGATTGGTTCTTAGAATCAACCTAGATCAAGGGCAGATAATTTGAATTCCTGCAAACCCATTGGGAGGCAGACCACCATTAATTTCCCCCATTGACTTCAATGTTAATTCTGGCCTCTTTGCCCACCTCCAACTTTTCCCAAAATTTTCGTTGGGCTGAATGCTTTTCACTACAGACAGAGGAACAAATGGTCATGTCTTTGCAATAAAATTTGTATGAGGTTAACCACCAAAATTTTGAGATATACAAACTTGAAGAAGCATACTAAAAACATGGAACTAGTTGCCGTGCATATCACCGTAGCTAACTTGACAACTCCGTTATCCTTCCGCCTCAAAATCATAAATATTTACCAAAAACTGGCAGAAAATGTTAATTCAAACCCTCTTCGTCCATTCTAGACCAAAAAATCAACAAAAATGGGCATGCAGAAGGAGAGAAAGGAGACAGAGAGAGAATTGCTATAAATAGACGAACTACAATTGGGTACCGAGATGGTGAAATATAATGGTGGTCTGCCTCCATTGAATAGACCAAGAGGTTAGTAGAGAAGAACGGAACGATACCACTGGAGATACTGAGGATGAGCAAAAGTCGACCAATGAACACAATCTTTCAAACTTATATATGAAGCATGGCGGTGATTAATGAGCTAATGATGCTATGGTCCATTAGGGAAATTAAATGAATTGAGGTTTAATGCCCTAATCATTATCGAATTCCATTTGGCAAGTGTAGTGTTGTACATGGAAGCATTTTGTTTGATTATTTGCTTGCCTTGTTTTTCAGTTAGATGTTGACTAATTAATTTTTAGTTTACTTTACAGTCCTATCAAAATTCTTCCACACCAATTTATTGATTCCTAAATTAAAGGCCTCGAAACATTAAAATAAACATAAGGGTGGAAGGCGGGTGCAAATAATTCAGGGTCCACACCAGGGGAACATAATATGCAACTTTCAGCTATGACGCCAAACTGAAGAATAAGCGATAAGTTCGATAAGAGCGGTGCATCGTTCTCCGTGCTATATCCTCAAACAGCTTTCCTAACGCTATGGGTGTCGGTAGGTAAAACCGAATCGATGATTTGAAATATATCAACCCGACTGAAGGAGAGAAAGGGAGAGAGATACGGTTTAATGTCCATGTCGGGACTAACATACTGTACAATTCTACTTCGATAATTCGCCTACGTGTAGTCTTTAGCATTCGGGGAAAACCGGGGAACCAAGAGAATACTCCCGAAGTTAGACAAGCGATCCTACACCTTGTCACGTGCAAGTAAGTGATGGAAGCCCCCGCCTCTTGACTCAATGACAGCCTTTGTGAACTAAAGCGCGCGTTAGACCGTGTACTCCCTCAACCACCACCGACTGAAGGCGCGTAGGCTTCTTAAATCCTAGCCGAAACTCTATATCTATATTACTACTTGAATTGGAATCAACTTACCATCCGCAGTTGTCACGAATCTGAAGACGTCTGGGTAACGTGCTACAAATTTCTTTATTGTATCCATTTGATCAAGAGACTGGCGAACAGCATCTTTATACTGGGAATCACATTTTACAAACAGGGACCAAAACTGAAACCATAAAGTATAATCCGAATATCTTCCAGCAATTATAGACGCCTACAAGCTACACCAGGATTCGAACCATGAACTTTTCACAGATCTTTCGAATACACATGTCCCTACTAGTTTCGGATAGTAATCCGATTGGTGTATACGAAAACAGATGCATGTAATACTGAACCGAAAGTTTCGGATAAAATATCATTTTGAAAACACATAATAATATAGTGGACCCTATATGATTACGCGCACCCATACTAGTAGATTGTATATAATTACCTGTGCCTTTAGATGTCCTTGTTTTATTCTAGGTATATCAGTATGTGTTGTATTCCATACTCCTATCAACGACTCGGCTAAATTGACTTGATGAACCTGGTTCTGTGCCTGTGCACGGTACTGCCATGCCAGGTCATTATGTCTGAATAGAAATGAAATTAAATAATGGAGATTTTATATATTGTGATTATAGCTCATACGACAAATTCCAAGGCACGAACCAATAATAATATATGTACCCTTTTAATTTATTCTAAAATTTGTATGATAATGAATTCGTGCCTGTAATATCATGGTTTCAACCCCCGAATACTGAATCTATGAGAGAAACCCATCCATCGCCAAAATAAATACACTTACCCATCAATGAGTGGAACTTCGTTAAGGACTCTTTTAGCACGTGCAATGTTTTCTTCGTCAATGCTTCGTTTAGAAAGTGGGATTCCAACAGCTAATCCAGTGACTATAGCTAATACAACGAAACCAATAACTCCTCCAATCAGTAAATGTTTTTGTTGCAGCCGCCGCTACCAAACGTCAGGGGTTCCTTTCCACTCATCTTGGAATGTTAGCTGAAAATAAACAAACTGTATCTGGTCGGAACCGTAACCACATTGGGAGGGGTGGAGCAGTAGGCTTGCCACCCCAAATAATTCAAGTGCCCTTTTTTATTCATAAAAAGTAACAATGAAAAATTAAAAAAATGAACTATATTGACTAAAACGAGCCTTGGAATGAAATGTGGTTTGATGGCTCACTTTTCTACTACAACCGGGTTAATGAATTAGAGAAGAGCAATTAGTCTCAAATGGTCTCTGACGGTCAGCTGCGGTAACAGGAACCAAGCCCCTGTTAGATCAAAGAATACATAAAATTGCAAGGAAATGTGTAATGGGAAAAAGATCGAGTTTTCCCAAAATAGTTCAATTCGGAAATAACATCAAAATGTAAAATTGCTATGTCAATATATCGCTTGCGCATATGATCTTTAATTAACTAGTGGAAGAACCCACTGAAAACATTTATACGACAGACCTTGTGACCTTACACATACGCCATATCAAGTCGGGATGGGACTTCAAAATAATGTTATCGGGTGTTCTTTAGACTTATATCGACACTATATATATCGACACTAAAACCCCCTTCCCACTCGACATATTGAGGGCTCTCCTATGAAGAACACATCGTTGCTATTTGTATCTTTTCCACCTTGATTACAAGAAATAAATCCATGGTAGATTATCTTTAATTGGATGTTCAAACAGCTGATTAAACCTGTTTTACGATAGAAATACACATAATTTATAGGTATGTAAATGGAATGCCTTTGGCTATAGTCAAGTTAAACTGCTTATCTTGGTAAGTTAGTATATGGAATAGTTAATAACATATCTCAATATTAAAGATACGTTATTCAAGAGCTAAATTTGCCTACTGTGGGTCTTTCTTTGGACCTTAAATGTTATATAAATTATTATTTAGACGTTTATTAACACGACAAGACCATAATCAACTCTCGGTATCTTAGCCGAACGGGCAGGTTATTTAATGATTTGATTTAAAATTGGAGAAGGTAGGCTTAGTCTTGAATAATATTATAAACATCTTGTCAAAACTAAAAACATTGATAACTTTTGAACTATTATAGTAAGAACGACCAGCTCTGTATCTAAATCTTTCGTAAACAATTTCGTTTTAAACGTAAATGTAGAAAGAATCAGTACATGCTGTTATACTGATTAAAAGCATAGTATTTAAAATAAATATTCTCCTCTTTGTTCCAGATTTTATAGATTCTCCTACTCAATATGTCTTCATTAGTGTCTCAGTAAATATGGCACTGGTTTGTGCAGAAAAGGGGGCGCTTAATAAACACCATTTATCGGGTAATCATTGTCAATAAATTATACGTAAATATTAAAATGGCAATAGAAACAAACACATTTTGAAAGTTTCCTCAATATTTATGAATACCTGAGTGTGTTAGCTGTTTTTTAATATACTCAAATGCAAAACAATATTTAACAGGGGTTTCGAACCATAACCAGTTAGCGCCTATATAAGTATCCATTTACCCTGCGAATCGTTGGTCAACGTAGTAGAACGTACACTAAAAATGAAAACTTATAGTATATAAGAGTACAGCTTACCTCAAAATGTCGGTATTTCTTTGCAGCCACACAAATTCTAGAATGAAATCATTTACTGCCTAAAGCTAGCTCACATACATCTGGGAATCACCTGACTTTGCGCTGTTAGCACTGTGAATATAATCTTTCATTCAAGTACAGTTTAAAGAAACACGAGATGGTTAAAACACGGTGCTAGTTTCAACATATAGAATGGCCACTTCTAATCCGAGGAGTTCACGCAGTGACGAACGTATAATATTTGGATAGGATATTTCACCGATACAGTCGTCTTTATATTTCAGAGCCGCCTTGATATTTCCAGTTACAACCGCATTGATATTTTACAGATACAGTCGCCTTGATATTTTACAGATACAGCCGCCTTGATATCTTAAAGATCCAGTCGCCTTGATATTTAAAGATCCAATCGCCTTGATATTTCAACCTGCTAGTCCAGTAAAAACAATTGTGGAAGCCAGAGTGACAAGAAAGTTTGGCAATATTTAATAATCTAAAAATACCACTGATTCAACATAAAAAGGTCTTTACTAATTTAAACGAATAAAAAAAATGTACCAGTGATTTAAATCGGGTCAATGATGAAATTCGCTTGACAAGATTTGTCACAACTAATATTAAATCAACAGAAAACTGTCAACAATATGCGTTGTACTAGGCATGTCACATTGTTTCAAAGCCATTTAAAGATGCATCATGTAAAAGCTCAAGCTGCCTAATGCAGATGTTATTTCTGGCTTCAAATGTTATATAAATTATAATTTAAAAATTTATTGACAAGACAAGCCTATAGCCGTCGGGTGACAGAGATATTGAGTGGACTAAAGCAACTGGCAATCGAGACTTCGTTTATTGGCATGCCAATCGGATATTCCTTGACAAAGCTTCAAACATTCATAACTTCGCTCAGAATAAAGTAATTTGACTGAAATTTTCGATATATATTATTATAGCATGAACGTCCAGCTCTTTTTCCAAATCTTACATAATGCACTTTTAAAGGACAATATTGGTGTCGGTCATTATCACATATGTGATAGAACTCGTTATAGTTTTCTGTAATACTATTTGGTAATTTATGCGAAATTAGATTAGGCGAATATAAGTGCACCAGAGGACATGATTTATAAATTGATAAATACTTATGTTTTATTTGTCTTCTCCATTGGTTTCAAATTCATAGACAAGGATGGAGAAATATGATGGCCGAAACAATAGTATTATCTCTACAAATTATTGATTCTAAGTTCATAACCAAATATAGGGAATGTATGCTTGTTGTTTAGATACGTTAACTCAGCTATACTTTAATAAATATGATGGTCGTTTGCATTTTTCAAGGATAAATTGTTATTGTTTGAAATACACGTGGTAGGAAAGTTACCATTTCATATTTGGCAAGAGTGACCAATCACATGATTAATTACATCATAATTAGCCAATAGAATAATTAATGGGTGTGAATCTGAGAATATATAATTAATAGAATGTGCGTTCTAGGGTTGTCTACGATATCACCTTAGGTGGAAGTGGACGTAAAACACCAGAAACAAACGAACGAACGAACGTTCTAGGGTAGACAGCAAATGTAGTTTTCGTAGGGAGAAGATGAATGGAAATTTCATCAGCAAACTCGCCGAGTCTGCATGAGGGCGGGTTAAAGGGAATGACTTTATTATGTTTGTAACTTGGTAACCTATGTAGCAATGCTTAATATAAAATGTAGAAACGAAATGTGGTATTGTTGTTACTGTGTGTAACCATAAACTGAATGGCAGAATAAATGCACAATATTTAAAGTGGTGTCCTACAAGAAGAAAATAAGAAAGAAATGCAGCCAGAGACAATACTAGACGATCATGGGCTGTTCCAGAATATGTAGTACGAAACGATGTATGGGTCATACGCCGAATGGGGCGACCGGTTTTCCCGCGTCCGCTCTCCACGTCTGACAGACGACTCATGGTGTTACATTTCTCCCGCTAGTGATGGGGTACTGTGGTAGATCGGATGGGATTTTTTCGGGCGGCAATTTTTTCCGTCCGAACAGTAGACATGTAGCAGACGACTGACACAAAGTGGGTGGACTCATTTCAATTTATAAGTATCGAAAAGATGTGAATGTAAATGGTTAAACAACCTTGTAACACTCCCAGTATAATGGCCACAGGTCATCATTGATTTCCCCATTGTTTTTAATCTTAATTCATCAACTTTAATCGTCCCCAATTGTTTTCACAGTACTCAAATATTGCTTTAATTAGAAAGATTTTTGAAATCTTAAAACAAAAGGTCCGTGGACATAAGATGGACCGATACAAAACAGCATACTAAAAAGGCCACCATTTTTACAGTTATTTTTTGATTGTGATTGCTGGCACAGCACCCTGCACGTTTCAAGTCAGTAGCTTGAAGCGTATATATGGTATTAGTGTCAGTGGCTTGTGGCACGAAGTAACAGTATATTGTCGCATACATAATATATTATGTCAACGCTTGGGCGACATAATATATTGTGTTGACGCTCCAAGCGTGTTAGCATATTAGACCTGTAGACTCAGTGGAATGTACGCGTCATCAGAGCGGATCCAGGGGTTGGACCATGGGGACCGGTCCACCCCCTTAAGGGTTAGGGTTAGGGTTAGGGTTACCAACTTGCAAATTTTAAACACTTTGTCTTTGGGTTTCCTTCGCTATTTTCTATTTTCATGTTTAGCCTAGTATTTGTATTCATGTGTACGTTTATTGCAAAATAAATCTATATGTCTCACAGACACAGAAAAGAGAGAAAAAACAGAAAAGAAAAAAACAATCGAAACTTACCGATTCCATGATGGAAAATACCGCCAAAATATGTCTCCAAAGCATTCATTGGTTATCAAAGCGCCAATTAAATCTATCGTTGCAAGTTCATGCCTAGTCACCTCCATCCTAGTTCCAAGCGTTGACATAATATATTATATCGCCCAAGCGTTGACATAATATATTATGTATGCGACAATATACTGTTACTTCGTGCCACAGGCCACTGACACTAATACCATATATACGCTTCAAGCTACTGACTTGAAACGTATCGCCTGGGCACAGATGGGAAGCAAATAATAAAGACCTTTTTGCTGATACATGAAGTTTCACCCCTAAAAAAACATAGTACACCAATAAATTCCTTATATATCACTTCCTTTCCATCCCCCCACCCCGTGCATGGCGAATGGGAAAAAACACGGTGCACTGTCCTGATTCTATTTATAGATATTCACAGCTGTTCTGGGAAATTTGAATCTGGGAGTTTGTGTTACCTTTGCATTTTTACGTCTGTGCAACTACCTTGGCAACAATAACATGGCTGGGCCTTGGGACGATGATGAATAAATGACAAAGGAAGTCCCCTAAAAACCTTGCGTTTTTAAACCCGATTTATGTTAAAATTGTTTTTCAATTTTATTTCTAGCTGTCAGTAGAAGTATGCTTTACAGATTTAGGAGTGAAACCCCCTGAGACAATTTTGCAATTTGGAGCGCAACTCAGATTTATTATTCTATACCCAATAAAATATGATGAAATATAAAGCCTTTTAAACTGTAATAATGGAAATAAAACACGAGTAACAAAACATACGACTACTAGTAGATTTGTTTCCGGGCCGTAATGTAACACTGTCAGAATTAAAGTGTTTTCTTGAATCAAAAATGCATTTCAAAATAGCAATACAACTATGTTATTGCTCTAAGATTATTCAAGGTAATCAAGGGCAATAACCCTGAAATTAATTACGGTACAGGAAATAATTTATATTCTCTAATGTAAACAATACATATACATTTTAAAAATAAATGTGATATCTTGAGCAGACAGACAGGGGGTGGCAATAAATCTTGCCTGTAAAGCCTAATCATTAGTTTGGGAACAGGTGGGCGATTTATGAGCCAAAAAGATAACTAATCCATGATATACATTTACATACAATCTGTCTTGTTTTAAAACTGCTGTCAGTATCACGGTTAAGTTATATTTTGTTAGATTTAAATAATTATAAAAAAAACTATATGGAATAACAATTACTTTGCTTTCATTACTGCGACGTTTAAACTGCTTCTCTAAACAAGATATATTATGTAAGATTTAGCTTACAAGGGGAGTGGGAGTGGGGGTGGGAGAAGTTATAGTGGGGATGGATCGATTGTGGATGCTTAGATTCAGAAGAGAGCTTGCGGTGTTGTTGATATAATATACTGTGTGTGAAATATCTTCCTCTGACGTTATCTAGAATAGACTGAATATTTTTATTTCCATTATTTATAACACTATAATATAAACTAAATGATTATACATAATTAATAACAATTAATACAACATTGTGTATATTACCCTATATAAATAACTAATTATAATTAATATATTAATAACCAACAAAATACACACATAAATCGTTTTAATATGGAAGTATAAATGAAGGGATTGAAAATTGCAATGAATAAAACACTTATAAAATTGCTTGAAAAATATGTATTAAATTATATTATATTCCAGCCAGACATTATTTCATATTTTTCAAGCATCTTCAAGCATTATAATATTGATTTTGTTCTCCAAATTCCCCATTTTGATGACGCTTTTAGATTAACCGCTGTTAAAACTAAATTAAGGATCTTGAGAATTGAGTTCCACACCCCTCATGTATGTTTCCAGTAATAAACTATAGATAAATATTATAATATATATATATATATACATTAACATAAATAATAAACAGATATGAATAAATAAAAACAAATAATCAAAGAAAATAAAATTCAAAATGTAGGATTAAGATGGCTCCAATAGAAATGAATGATCTCGTTAGAATAATTATCTCTAAATCATTTAAGACATTTTAATAGACTATTTCTAAATCATACAAGTCATTTCAATAGAATAATCTAAATCATGTAAGTGATTTCATTAGACTATCTCAAAATCATGAAAGCCATTCATTAGAATTTCTCATTATCATGTAAGTCATTTCATTAGAATATCTCAAAATCATGTAATCCATTTCATTAGAATATCTCTAAATTATTTAAACAGAGGACTCTTGTGCTCTAGTGTAGCCCTGTGTGCAGAAAATTTCGGGTTTTAAGACTAAGGGGCAATAACTCCTGAATACTTATACACACCCGAAACCTATACTATTTTTTAATATTCCACAAAATATGTTATTAAGCTTGAAAGTTGAAACAAATTTAAAATCAGAATTACAAGGACCGGAATATTTACAATGCAACACAAAATTTATTTGATTGAGGCGCTTAGTCTTTTTAAAAATATATATCTTGTAATTCAATTTGAAAAATAAGTCTATGTCACAATCCGAAGAATATATCGGTAACTGACAAAATACATAAAACTAAATCGTTCTTAAACTATTAATTAAAACAACAAATAAAATCTCTAACAAAATTATACTATTTACTTGACCATTGTTCGACCAGTCAAGGATATACAGGCACATTCTACATGATATACAAGACCAGGGAGAATATAGCAATGGCAATCAAGCATTAGAATCTAAATATCTAGAGTGAAATAAGAGGAACTTTTATCTTCTAATTGTGAATCATACCCAATCTGAAATGAAATACTAGTTCTATTTAGCATTTGACATTCTACGACATTTCTCTCGTAATTTATCCTATAGTGGTAGAAGTAGCGTTTATACTATAAATACAGAAGACGTTTCGACTACAATTCCCTAATCATCATAGTATGTTGTTACTAAGTTGTAGTTATTTATGTTTGCATAAGTGTAATGCCCCCTCGTTTTTACAATCGCATACGTTGTTCGTTAATGACTGGAAAATCCTAGTCGAAAAGTCGATCAGTAATGAATAGTAGATGTTTCAATAGAATGGCATCCTGCGTATTTCCAGTTCATTTCCTAAATGCCATTTTTACTTTTGCTTTCGTTTCCCAGAAACAAGTCTTAGAGCATTATGAATATAATACTATCTTGACCAATCACCATATCTGTAACGTTTAATTGCGTCACAATTCAACTCATACCACATCTGATTTCGGGATTGTCAGAACTGTGACAAGACTCAATTATATGTTACTCGATCGCAATTCCGTCAATCCACCCTCTGATGTGTTACAGGTAGACTTGCTTACTTTGACATACTACCCTTCCGTCAGAACTCGAACATGAATAATACTTAACCATAAGACCCGATCTAACTATACACTCGCTAATCTAAAGTAGCTTCATACAATTCCAGAATGTTGAAATTAAGTCAATCAAAGCAACTTGATCTCATGTCCTGTTTCAAAGTGTTTTAATTGCACCATGATTGTTGAGTTCTTGAACCCAAAGCCTTTTATAAAACCATTAACAGTCCGCTGTTTATATTTTCATTTTCCATTCCCATTAAATCTTTTTATTGTTCCAGGATAAAGCACTCGCGCGTCATATACATCAAAAACTGTTTCCATATTTTAGAACTTTTGATTCCATGTTGCCAATTCCCACAAATATTTCACACCATCCCTAAGCTGATGACAAAATGTCCATGCCATGGGTACAGCAAACGATTTAGCTAAGTGTTGCCACGTTGAGATAATGCTAATCCAAAAAAGAGCCTCGCATTCTACCCTTGATGAACACAGATTAGTTCCTCGGTTAAGTAATAAGAGTTCCTGGGAGGTGTACATCAGTACGGTTAGGAAACTAACCAGGCAAATATCAGAAGGGGCTTGCAGACGTTCACCAGCGATGTCCAGACACAGCTCATCTCGCCGCATCATATACATAATAAATGCAGCTAAAAATGTGACGAAGATGCCGATGCACTGAGGAGCAAAGCTGGTGAGGATGATTGCGATTCTAGCCGATTCACTAGTGAAAAACAGCGAACATTTCCTTTCATCAACGGATGCAACCAGTTGCGGTATGGTGATAATGATGGTCAGCACCCATGGGGCTATAGCTAGCGATAGAGCTATACCAATACGTTGAGTCTGCTCACAGTAAAAATACGACGTCATTCTTAAAATATAATTTATATTAATAAGAAAAACTGCCCAGGTAGTGACCGAGGGTATAATAATCGTACTTAAGGCTTGAAGGGACATCTGCGCACTGCAACCGTGGACGAACTTCCTGTTAACTGCCAGGTCGGCTATCATTGGGCAGACAACAATACCCATGACCAGATCCGCAATAGCGGCACTGAAGATTAGAAGATGTTTTACAGAAGATCTAAGCTTCCAATAAGCCGGTATTAAAACTAATAGAAAAATGTTAAAGATTATGATTAACAACGCCCAAATAACCAACAGGGCTATCATGGCATTGTCCTTCCCAACTGGTTCATTTTTAGAGGTCTGGATCTTCAAGGCTTCAGACATCCTGGTTGGTCCTAGTGACAGGTAGAACTGAAATGTAAAGACAAAAAAATTTTAATGTTTTTTTTCTCGTTTGTTCACCCATTTCTTTTATCGCTTGTTTGCACCCATAGGGCAGTCGTTTAAATGCCATCTAACGTCTTGCATACAACATCGTTTGTTTGTAACACTGCCATGTGAATAATCAAATTTCAAATGGGTAGCTACGCGTGTATAACATCATCAGTTCCATATAGGCGTGGTCTAATGGTTATTGTTAGTAAATTAAGAAAGAGGTAATATGTTTTAACTGGGCCAGTGTACGTGCTGGCATGCAATAAGGGTTATATTGTTTCTGTTGTACAGTGACTAATACTTTGCCAGATCACAAAATATGGAAATGAAATGGACTAACGAGAAAAAACAATAACATCTACAATGACGTTAATTATTTTGGTTTCATTAAATATGGATTGTATCCAGTATATTTTGAGATGTTGCAATAAGAATGTATTTGAAACTGAATAACCTTTTGTACTTGAGTTACATGATTTATTGACAAACATAGAAGACTGGGTTGGTATTAAGTTAGATATAAGCTTGTAAATAAATACAGATCAGTGACTCGTTTCACAAAGCGCATTATGAAAAGATACGTATCCTAAAATGTTTGATTTATGTGGAGGTTACGTAACGCAAGTAACGATAGTATTCTTATGTCTCCTGTTTGAAGTATGTTTAGCCTCGTTCATCAAGTTGCTTCATTACAAATGGTGCTCGAAAGCATTCTGACACGCGATTCGTGCGCCAATTTTAAAATTGTCATTTTGTCTTAAATATTGGATATCAGAAGCCCATCTTGTCACTGTAAGATAACAACATCAATGTTGATTTAAACTGACCAATAAGTCCTGGTTTGCCTCCTTTAAAGCAGAGTTGGTGGATATGAGCGTTGCTCTTTTGAATTCGGTTCTTTAAACTTCCGCATCTAGACATTAGAACAATGCTGTACGCGTAGGTCATTTCCGTTATACCAGAGTTATGAGCACAATGAAGGTCAGAACACGTTGTCTCTGGGTCAAAGGTCGTGAGGTAGCTCGGTAACAATGGAATAAAATGCCAGAATGCTATGCGATGTTCTTACTAATATTTTCTTGTAGTATTTTACATACTAGTCTCCATGGCATGGCTCATCCGATATGAACTCTATAAACAATTCAGCGATAAAAGTTTGACTGTTAAACTTTCACATATTTAATTTTAATGAATCTTGGTTTTGTTTTTGTGTTAAATTAAATGGCGAAACCTGCCGATCAGATATTTGTAGAGGTTCCTGCCGCGTTCTCTTACTCATGTGATGTTTATAGCACGCGCTGATATATAAATAACTTGCACATGTTGATAAAAACACTAGAAAACACATGAAATACATGACAATCCAAACCACTGTACTCACCACGTTTATTATTAGCCTATATGTATAGTAGAATGTACCTTGACGAATCTTAAAGGCCTATATATTCTCGGGTGGGGGCGAGGAAAAGTGCATAGTGGTTCGAATGAGACGAAAAAACGAAGTTCCCGTGTATATAATTGTGAAATTTTCCAAGGTATCTGCTCGTCTTCATTTCCGCGGTTGATTTAGAAAAGTACGACGTTACAACCCATTTTATTTCTATACTTTCTTCCAGAGGCCCTACCGTCACAAGCTTTATCAATTTTCTAAATTTAATTGCAGTTTATAATATTTATTTACCTATAGGTTGCGTGCGCTCAATAATGACTGACAACTAAACTTGTCTTAAAGGTGGTCATGGACTGAACATAACGGTGTAAACGTTTAAAGTAAGGATATTTAATCTATCGTTTGAACACAATATTAATCCACTCTTTAAAGGGACTTTAGCAATTAGATTGTAAATTGTTGTCCAGTGTAAGGATTAAATTACTGTGTAAATAGCTGTTGGTAATGTGTTAACGAGATAAAGTAATCAAGTAGTACCTCTACTTAATGAACCGTACTTGATTAGTCTACCAGGTTATAGGTACGAATAGTTCACTCTTGTTCTTACACATTACACATTTTAATCAAATATTAAAGCGACAAATATCAGAATAAAAGACAAACACGGTGCGCTATAACAGACAAAATCAGAGGTTCTCTTTCCACAAACATACTGGTTTAAAAATTATTCAAATCGCTCGCCATTTGAAGTGTATATTAGATTCTATTGACTTGGTGCCCCTATATTTATGCACATCCAATCTTTTCAAATTAAATATATTGATTTGAATCCGCTAACATCTATGCCAAGGTACGCTTCAGTCTTTTTAATAATAAACATTGTATTGCCTTTTATAGTGTCCGTTGAAACGGTACATGTTTGAGAATTTGAACCATCTAGAATTTTTCCATCTACCCTCTAATACTTGTTTAAGTTACAATTCCAAAAACAAAGTACATAAAGTTTAAACAGGGTAACCGACATATCGTCCATATTTATTTATATTCACAAAAAGCACCCAAGTGTCAAAGTTGGTAAAAGGCCAAATATTGAAACACTATCAAATAGAAATAGTATTAATAATTGTCGATATTCAAAGTTCCACGGCTAAAACACGCTTTCAAAAAACATAAAGATTATTGGAACATTTGGAAAATTAATAAAACTACAGAAGCTGTGCGCAATTAAAGAACATTTGTTTATTTTGTTAAAACCCAGAATGGCATCGTCTTTCATCGTATACTGGAATGCCTTAGACCTCTATAACCTTGGCAACGATCAAGTTAAACGGTTTTAATAATTCATATAATATTTTATAAAGTTATGACAATAGCTCACTCACCTGTGTGTAGGAAGATTCTTGGTTGCCCATGATGATGTCTCAATATTCTAGTAGAAATGTTTTTAGTATTGACAACTTGTATGTACATAAAACGAAACGAAACCACTTAGCTAGAAAATAGAAAAACTGCAATGGCGTCCTAGTGCCAGCATTATAGTTCTATAAATATATATACGAGTGCGTCTATATACAGTTAGTTGTTTCTGCTCCCAATTCATAGATTCTATCGTCTGCTAGTCACGTGCTCGCGTGCTAGAAGTAAACAGGGTTTATGGCAGGTTTCTGGTAGTCTTTGCGGTGCCAATATAGAAATAGCATACCGCGTGTCAGCTATAAACTGAAGTGTTCTGTTTTCAACTCATCAGAAGTCAACAACAGTTGATAATATCTGGAACTATAATTGGAGGGGATATAGAATCATTGATTAGAAGTGAAGAGAATAGAGTTTCAAGTCACGCCAAAACAGTACTTCGTTCATTTTGAGGGGTGAAGCCTAAAAAATTTAATGTTTCATAAATAAGAATATAAAACGCGGTTTTAAGATATGTGCAACTTCCCGCCTACCAAATACGCCACTGGCTAGATAAGAAACCCCTTCTCTCGACCCTGCGTGTATCTCAAAACTTCAGTGGTCAGCCTCATGCAATTTTGAAGCAACGGCGTGGCCATTTATTTGTTGCTCTGGCTGTATTGAAAAATTTCAGCCCAACAAAAATTTATGGAGAAAATTGGGCCGGGTAAAGTGACCTGAATTAACATTGAAGTCAATACAGAAATTAATGGGGGTCTGCATCCATTTTTCAAACAAGAGTTACCTCCCATACACTGGTCGTGGGCTATTGTTCGTGGGTTATCTTTCTCTGCTAAATTGTACATTTGTCGTGTGTGAATAAAATGAAATGAAATGACAGCGGCACTACGGGATACTCTCATATCGAATAATATACATTTTAGTTGTAACTGACACTCAATTATCATGATGAAATTTGACATGATAAGGCTATAGTATTGTTGTCGCCCGCTAGTCCGTCAATAAGTCCGGCACTCGTATGTCGTATCTGTGTGTTATGCCTTGAAAACGTATATCATATTCAAAATGGGAAAGCTATTCTTTGAATTATCTACTGTTATGTCCCTTTCGATGCCTGAAAAACGATATTATATTCAAAAAGAGAAGGTTATTCTTTAAGTATAAAATTATTCCGTGGTTGCATAGATTAAACTTAACATCATGTATGATTAAAGTGAGTTACTAGTATATTATTATACACCCATGATTGTGTTTTGTCAGATGTAAACCTCAGTTTCATCAATATTTATTTTTTACGTTTCCTGATATCTAATTTAATATGTTAAAGAAATATAACTAAAATATGATAATAAATTAATTTTCGGGTAATATTCCAATGATATGTAGTGACACTATTCTCCGTGTATGTGTCGCGCAACATACAGGATTTGCACAAACTATCTTAAAAACCTGATAGCTCTTCTCGTTTATGTTCGGAAATCACTCAGCTGGTAATTGTCATTGTAATTAACTCCATATCATCCACAGTCTTCGATATTGCAACCAGGACTTATTGATCAATTTAAATCAACATTGATGTTGTTATCTTACCGAGAAAAGATGGCCTTATGATGTCAAATATTTAAGACAAAATGAAAATTTTTAAATTTGAAATACTTTTGAGCGCCATCTGTACTGCAGCGAAACGATGAACGAGACTGAACATCCCTCATGGGAGAATACTACCGGTGTAGACTGGAATAACCAGACGCCAAAGACTGCCATTCAATTTGGACTTTTCGCGTATTTCGCCGAAAATAACTGATTAGAAATTAGAGTAAAAACACAAACGATTGAATGTACACCAATTTATATACATTCATATACATTCATGGGAGAATACTACCGGAGTAGACTGGAATAACCAGACACCAAAGACTGCCTTTCAATTTGAACTTTTCGCGTATTTCGCCGAAAATAACTGATCAGAAATTAGAGTAAAAACACAAACGATTGAATGTACACCAATTAATATATACTATTCAAAAAAAGTAGGGGATATTTGATTTTTAAGTGTTATTAAAGTCACCTAATGAAACTGACGAAGAAACAAATGACAAAATGAAATGAAGTTCACATTCATCGATTTATTCCAAATGATCGTTAGACTAAGTAAGCCACAGACTGACCATTATAAGGGTAAAATGATACCCGGGGTCAAACAGCAAAGTTACCACAGCATCACAACCAAGAAAGTAACGGGTAAATCCTCCTCTGTTTGCCAAACAAACATTGATCCGACGTGGCATACTCCTAATGAGACGTCTAAGGTCATTTTGGTCCAGATTGTCCCATTCCTGTTGCAACGCAGCAGCAAGTTCTTGGACATTGGCAGGACGTTGTTGACGTTGACGTAACCTCTGTCCAAGCATGTCCCAGACATGCTCGATGGGGGAGAGGTCGGGACTCAGTGCTGGCCAAGGTAATGTGGTGATGTTCTGTTGTTGGAGGTAACCTGTAACGATCCTGGCCCTGTGACATCTTGCGTTGTCATCCTGGAAGATGAAACGGCTGCCATGACGCCGTGCGAACGGCACAACATGGACTGCCAAGATGTTGTCCCGGTAGTACTGGCCTGTAACACGCCCTGCAACAACATGTAAAGCCGTTCTTCCAGCAACAGTGATGCCTCCCCACACCATAACAGAACCACCCCCAAATCGATCATGTCTGATGACGTTAACGTCTTGGAAGCGCTCGTTTCGACGACGCCACACCCTCCTACGTCTGTCCAAAAAATCAACAGTGAACCTTGACTCATCTGAAAACATCACATTGCTCCAGCGTCGATTATCCCAGTGTTGACGATCCCTACACCAACGACGTCTTGCCTGAATGTGATGATCTCTCAAACAAGGGATCACGCGAGGACGTCGGGCGCGAAGGTGACCCCTATGCAGTCGATTCCGAATCGTCTGGCCACTCACTCTCACACCAGTGTCTGTTTGAAGACGAGCGCTGATCTGATTTGCTGTGATGACACGATTTCTCAAGGCAAAGGTACGGATAAATCGATCCTGGGCTTGAGTTGTCGCCCTTGGTCGACCTGAGCGTGGTCTGTCCTGTACAGATTGTGTATCACGGTATCTGGACCATAGCCTGCTTATGACAGACTGAGAAACATTCATCGTCCGCGCCACAACCGCCTGTGTTGTGCCGATCTGTAGCATGCCAAGGGCACGTAACCTTTCATTTTGGGTAAGCCGACGCATATCAAAATTTGTTTTCTGGTCACTAAAACAATTAAACTGATGTTTCCACCCTGGAATTCAATGCCACAATGACTGTAACATTCAAAGTCAGAGTCGTGCAAATCTTGGGTTGGACCCCCATGATGATCCCAAGCATCACCTGCATTCCATGCGGTAGCTATTGGTGCGTTTGGGCGTCACATGTAACTGGAAATGTTTCTTCTGTTAGGTTCTATAGTGACTTTTTTCGTAGTCATTTGCATATTTTAGTATTATGCCCCCAAAATCAAATATCCCCTACTTATTTTGAATAATATACATTCATATTACATTATTATATGCTTTGTGACCCATTTATGTCCAGTTCTAGGTGCCAAAGAATAGCGATTTAGCTCCTTTACAGCATAATTTTCTCACAACGACATTTTAGTCTTGAGCAGGTTTCAAACGGAGATTTTAATTACATAATTACGTCTAATTAATTTAAATAAATTTACTAAAATTCAAACTGTATTGACTGACCAGAATTTTCTATATATATTGTTTCTGTGTGTGTAAAACCATCCCATATTCTCTTTAAATAGTTCAAATATTCCAATAATTAAATTGTATTTATAGTATAGTTTATGATAACATCGCAGTGGATAAAGTAACATTACTTCAGCAAATATACATTGATATTTAATACGTACATTATATAATCAATATTTGTATTATCTGAGATATAGTCAATACTATCAACTTTATTATCATAAATTTAATGATTGTTTTTTGTTTGTTTTTATTTACATTTATCCTGCGATGAGGTTTGAAAGCCAGATCCAGTGTTATGTTGATGGGAATCCACGTGTAGAATTCTAAATATCATGGGTATATTTCTTGGTACTGTTCTCAGCCCCAGTTTCCACTTTAACATCCATTCAACGGTAACTGGGTCATTTCGGGACTACCTTTTCTTTGTTTCAATAATTAAACGCAATGGCTCTTTATAATCAGGATTGGGTGGGGGGGAGTGGATGGTCGAATGGTTAGCACTTGCGCGCTGTATCATACGGTCTGCCATCGAGTCAACTGGCGGGGTTTCGATTCCCCGGTTGTACGTGACAAGGAGTAGGGTCGCCTGTCCAACCCCGTAGGTTTTCTCAGGGTCCTCCGGTTTCCTCCCACTGCTAAAGACGCCAACGCGCAAGCGAATTATTGAAATAAAATTGAATCATGTGTTAGTGCCGAAATGGCCTAGTTTGTGTCGAGTGGACGTTAAACCCCATCTCTCTCTCTCTCGCTCTCTCTCCCTCTCTTTATAATCAAACGTTAACTGGAGTACCCGGTGAAAATTCGGCGTTAGAGACACAGTCTCTACATGGGAACTACATCTTGCCTAGATAACATGACTTATTAACTAGAACACTGGGCCCTCGCACATCTACTGCAGTTCCATGCGCTGCTACGTCTTTGGAAGTGGGCATTTAGTCCTATAAAAACTTTAGAAAAATGTAGATTCGGTCAAAATGACAATAATTACATGAACGTCAAGATTGGCGGTGTGTATCCATATACAAAATAGAGTGACCTCCCTTGATTCTTTATGCTGTCATGCACGAATATCCTCATCAAAATTATCCAAAATTCTATGGCTAACATAATTTCTGATCTATAACAATATTATTTCCCGGGCTCGACACCTAACAACTAGGCATTTGCCCCTAGTTCGACAAGATTTCCCGGTCTATCTGGCTGGCTCTGCCTACAATTCTTGTGGATATTCAGTACTAGTTATCTCCGGTATTTTTTTTTCTTTCAAAGATGCAAATGGTTAGAAATAAGATTTGTCAAAATGATTAACAGGCGCGAGCTTCACAAATCATAAAGGGCTTACAATTAGGGACAACAGAAAACATTTCATTACATGCAACTGTACGCCCCGACTAGGGGCGTGGTGACCCATGATTTTG